GGCTCGTTCTCAATGAGTATCTTGGCACTTCCGAAATCGCAGAGCTTGAGGATGCCGCTGTTGGGGTCGAGAAGCAGGTTTTGAGGCTTGATGTCTCTGTGACAGATGCCCTGGCTGTGAATGTAGGCGAGCGAGCGGAACAGCTGGTATATGTACAGCTTGACCTCGAGAATAGGCATGGTTGTCTTCATCTTATTAAAGTAGCGGGATGCGCGGTAGACGGTCTCAGGAACGAACTCGAGCACGAGATTGAGGTAGACCTCGTCCTTCTAACCAGCTTGCGTTAGTGACTGGGTTGGGGGATGGAAGGGCCTAAGACCTACGCGATCGCCGTTGGAGTAGTAGAAGGCCTTCAGCTCGACAATGTTCGGGTGTCGCACTATCCTCATGATCTGGAGCTCTCTGTTNNCTGCGCGGGGTCAGTCGAGGAGGTAGAGGAACAGAGATCGGGGGTTGGCGACCTTGAAGCGCTTGTCCTGAAGCACACGCTTGATGGCAGCATCTTCGCCGCTGGGAGACAGCTTGGTCTGGAAGACGACACCGAAGGAACCGTTGCCGACGATTTTGCACTGGGTGTACTGCATCTCTTTTGTCTCTCCGGTCAAGCCATCCTGGACCTTTTCGCGAATGACCTCTGCAGGGCGTTAGCACGTGCAAAGCACAAGAACGGGCCAATGGATGGAAGGGAGGAGACGGCGAGCTTCGTGGCGGATGCGCAGATGGCAGAAGGGGAGGAAATGAACAGCGCGGGGGAGGTGATGGTATCCTTACCGCCCATGCGTAAGCTAGAGAACGCCGAAGGCCTGTTCTGCGACATGATTGCGAATGATTTCGAGGTGCAAGGCGAATTGAAGCGAGATCACCGAGGGGTCGGGGGCAGGTAGATGTCGAGAGAGTGATGTAGCGGTGGTGGTTGACGAGGACGGAGGATGCGTCGATGCGGGCCTGTGCTCGGAGCTTGTGTTGACGGGTGTTATGCAGCGATGCGCGACTGAGGGGAATTGGGATCTGAGACGGAGCCGAAAGTGAAGTATGCCGCGCCAAGTGCAGAGTACAGGGGGTGCTGCTGTGAAGAAGGGGTGCGGTCAGTGTCTCGTCGAGGATGAGGTGCGAGAGAGCAGGAGCAGGAGCAGTGGGCAGGACAGGCAATGTGTGAGGGTCGAGAGTGTCACCTGCGCCGCGCTTGAAACGAGGGACACCAGCGCCCACGTGATTGCCTAGCTGATGACTGTCTTACCTGAGATGCTCGTTGTTTCTTGTTATTTTCAATCGTCTTTGGCTGGGCAGACGAGGACTCGACGATGCTCTGAGGGATGCTCTTTCTGCACAACAAGTTCGAGTTGTGGTTGAAGACCTCAGCAGCTCTTTCCCTAAAACGTTGGTTTTGCCCATCCGCTGCGCACCGCATCCCTCACCCCGCTTTACTCCTCGCCCAATTGTCACTCATCTCATCATGGAGCTAATCCTGAACATGTACGCATGACCTACAGTCCGCTTCGATGAGGCTGCCATCACCATCTTGCTTTCCACAATTCCTATTTGCCCGTTGGACACTCCAATTGGCAAGCTTTCATGCTCTATACAGCTTCGATATCCTCACAAATTCATATCTTTGTTTACCTACCCAAAAACGAGCCCATTACCACAGTCACTGCTCTGCGTCTGGCCCTCAACGGCTCCCGCCCAGGAGTTCAATCTCTGCAGTCCATGTGACTTGCTCGGTCGCTAGCGTCGGGGCCCAGGCGCTTTGCACTTTCGCTGATTCGTCAAGGATCCCAATACGCAAGTGGCTGACATGTCTGCCGGGATCCGCACTTGACCATCTCTCTTCTCTCACAAGCCCTGCCCAGCCTGCAAATGCATCATGGTTCTGTAGACTTGAAGAGAGAACCAATTGCAATCTTCTGCCTTCTCCCCGCAGCCGTACAAATGAGTGCGGCAGCGCCTTGTCCATGTTACCGCATTGCGTCAAGTTGCCGTCAAGCAAGCCAGGGTCAGCCATCATGATGCCCTTGTCTATTCGCAAGTGCTCGATCTCAACAGTCTCTCAGCCGAACATCACTTCACTTGCTGACCATTGAAGACGACTTGTCTGCATTGCGGACTGCCGCTTAAATTCACATGAGATTTGGTTGGTGAAACGGACAATACATTCTCCCGGTTTTTCGTTGAAGGACGTCGCTGAATCAGAGTTCGCACTACATCGCAACCGCATGTTCGTTGACTTGTTGTCTGTTGCTTGTCCCAGACTTTCTCTCATTTCGCCTCGTCCCGCCGCCAATAACTACCAATTCAGTTGTTCCCACGCCCATCTTGCTTGTGTTGAAGACTCAACGCTGAAACAATCAAGCCCAGATCTGCAGCCAAACATTGTCGCACTTCGGATTGGCGCACGTCCGAGAGCAGAAACGAACCTGATACCCGTTCTCACCTTGAACCGTTGTCATACTCATGGCGAACCACAACTGATGTGCGCAATCCCAGATGAACGGAACACTATCGCTCCTTCGGCTCGACTAGTCTGTTGTCGGCCCTTGCTGTCCTGCGGCATACTTCTTGACAACAGCCAAAGAGCCACCAAGCAATTGTCTGGACAAGACAATGCCAGCCAAATCGCACATCCTGGCATCAGAGTGCTGTCATGCTTCGGCTGTATATCTGCTTCTGAATTCGTTGATCTCGTGGCTGCACTCGTGTGCATAGCTGCAAGAAGTCGATGCAAGCCCTGGTGGCCGCATCAGTCGACCTGCAGGAACATGATTGATGATCTCGCGAACCAACCAATCCGCTGCCTGTCACGATCTTGTAACTCAACTTATGCCTCTGCGCTGGCCTGACTTCGGTAGTTTGTCACAAACATCGACCCCGCGCCCTGTCGCCATTTATCGCTGCTCCAAAGTCATACCTATACTTGTACGCCTTGCGCTCGCTCAGCTATACCGAGAGCCACTAATTTTCTCTGTTCATGCAGATAAGCGAGCAAAGAAGGCACATACACAAGGCACGACCATTCACGGCACATCTTTAAGGATCACGGCTTTTGCATCCTTCAACGAGCTTAATATCGGTGCCTCTGCCAAACCCCCACGCTTGTTCCTCATGACCAGATTCATTTGGCACCTGCAGACGGCTGGGAACACTCCCAACATGATATCGACCTCACCCTGCATTGACGATACATCACGAGGTATTGGTTTTGAGAGTCACATATCCCTCTTCCGTGCCGTAATCGCTTGTAAGATGAGCACAGAGCTGCTGTATGCATGCGGACTCTTTGGCCACATTCACATGTTTGCTCACAGTCATCGTCTGCCTATCTCAGTCCATGTTCACGACCATCACCATCTGGTCAACTCGTGTCGCGTGTCACTGAACTCAAGCACGTGCTCACTACATTGGTGGTGAGTGTTCGACTCGTTCTATATCATACGTATGAGGTGATTCTTCAGGTCTCACAACAGTCTGGGCACTGCATTCTACTACCAAGTAAGGCATGTGACTTGATCCTCATCGGCGACCTTTGTCTTGGCTCTGAACCACGTACCCTGATCTCAAGGGGATCGTCACCTCTGGACAGCAGGAAGCACTACATAGCGATTTCTAGGAAATAGCGAGCAGGCCACCTCCTGCTTCTCGACCTATTTACCACAATACAATCATCCCTCGACACTCTAGCCATTGCAATGAGAAGAGTTATCATGGAGTCTTTTGAAACTAATTCCTCTTCCGCCGTTCCTCGGAACCCAGCATATCGAAACCACAAAATCCCAACTCCCAAACTCACATCTCCACCTCCCCTTGACCCAAACACCAGAATATCCACTCTCCTCTTGATCAGCCATAGAAAGTGATCATCACATATCATATCTCGACGTCGATTTTGGCACTTCGGATGATCGGCACCGAAAAACAAACGAAAACATTTCGGGACAATTTCGAACAAAACGTGGGTCCTTTTTATAAAGCCAGCAAACATGATTCATGGGAAACGTCGTTCGCTCCACTTGGTGAGATACTGAAATTAGAAAATGATACTGACGTAGAGGAGTGTTTGCGAGGTGTCATTGACGGTGATGGGCGATGACCAGCGATGGTCAGGGTCACTATTCGTAGTTGAAACTTTCTCATCTTTGTTCTTTTTCTCTCTATTCTTCTTCTCTCTCTTTCTCCTTCCATTTCTGCTGCTGAGCAATACACAATCCCACATGAGATACAGATACAAACCACAAGAATATAAAAAGTCGAGGGATGAGTTCTGGAAGATTGTATGGTCAACTTCAGCCCCAGTAAAGCTCATCGTCGTCACCATGTTGTGGACACTCCACAAAAAAACATTTCTTCGAGGACCTAACCTCACCAGCCTTGCATACACCAAAAGTCGTAAGTAAGAGTACCCATGAAGAAACACGTGGTTGTCTATAGATCTGAACGCCTCGAAAGCATTGCACAAGATACGGTAATGGCATCTTGAGGATATGATTAGAGTTGCAAGAGGTCGCCATTGCAAAGAAGCAGTTTTCAAGCTCGATAGCACATGTAAAGACAAAATCCATCCTCTGTCCTTGCATTTCCTTTCGAAGGATCCTTTCCTTTTGGAAAGATTTACCGAGAACAACCATCCTAGGGCCAACTCTTGGTCTATCTGCTTATGATCTGTTTCGAGACATCGACTTCGAAACAATGCACAAAGACAGCATGTACAAGCATAAGTCTCGACAATGGACAAAACTGCAAATATGGCCGAAGTCAAAACTCGATCGATGCTAATAGTACAAGTAATGATCCAAGTATCGTACAATTGATGTAACAACAACAAAACCAAGACCAAAACCGCTAATGCCAATGCCAATGCAAAATGCAAATTGCTGCGCTATGCCCATCAACAAAACTTTTTATCCCCAAAAACAAAAATGAGTCTCTCGTACACACTCGTTCTTCATTGAACTCACGCCAACACGTCCAAAGACAAGCACCAAACATCCAAAAGAGAAGCAAACCCCCTACGAAGCCATCTTCTTCCTGATCGACCCCGAGATATGTCTCAAAATCTTCGGACTCTTGTGCTGTTGCTGCGTCGCTTGCTCAATACCCGTGACAGCACTACCTCTCCTGCTAAACTCTTCACTCTTCAACTCTTTGCCTTCCTGTAGCGCTTCAAACCTTTCAGGTCCAATGGAGAAATCCATATCTGCGTGGTCGCGTAAGCGAGCTTCGGCAGTCATGGGCCGTACACTGTTCCTGCCCAACGTGCTCGATCCTTCACTGATGGAATGCTTAAAATATTCAGGGCGGGATGAGGGTGGTGGTGTGGAGACTACACGGTGGCCGGTTGTGTGAGGACGAGTGGCACCAGAGGCGGAGGAGCGGGAGCTGCGAGAAGAAGAGAATGGCGAGGACATTCTACCGATGAATTGCGACAAGCGACCATGACTGGTTTTGCGACGAAGTGAACCATGACTAGGGTCGGCGGATCCGGGGCGCGACAAGGAACCAGGTGATTCTGCTCGCGTAGGGTGGTAGGTTTCGATGTTGCGATAGAGGTGCTGGTTGCCTTGGAATTGATCGATCGAAGTCACTGAGCGCAGAGGTCTGTGGCGTATGGAAGCCGGGCTATTGGCTGCGCTGTGCAAGCGGTCAATCTGCTCGGACATCTCCTCGAAGCGTTCAGGCCCGATACTGAGGTCAGAGTCTAGCATGTCTTTTTCGCCTAGTAGCTCGGAGATCTTCTTGTCGTACTCTTCGCTCAGGGCTTGGAACTGCAGGTTGTGATGGTGTTGAACCTGCGATTTCCTGTTTGCGAGTCGCTCTGAACATTCCAAGACCAGTCGCTTGTCTTGTATCTGGAACTCGTCCACGTGTCCGTCAGAGGGCGTAGAGGCCGAAGTCTTGATGTCCGTGTTGTAGAGGGGTTGAGAGTAGCTTGCCCTCAGCTTGTTGCGAGCAGCTTCTAGTTCAGTGTCATGCTGAGATTCGAGCTGCTCCTCACGTCTTTCCCTCTCGTCGACCATGGCATCAAACCTCTGCTTGTACACTTGGTTAAGCTGATCTCTGGCTTGCTCCAGACTGCCAATGTGCTCCTTTATTTTCTGGGTGAAGACAGCCTCGTTGGCAGAAATGACCTTGCCCATATCAGAGAAATCGGACTCTGAACGACCAAAGTAATCTTCCGCACCTGACCTCTGGCTCAAACTTCCGACCGAAGCTGACCTGCCATAGGAAATCGTCTTGTTCAGAGGCGTCGTGGGTCTGAGGAGTTGACTTTGCTTGCTGAGCGCTGCGTTCTCTGCTAGCGTTTCTTGGAGCTGTGCTTGGAGGTCCCTGAGCTTCGAGTCTGAATCAGTACCATTGTCGACCAGGCTTTGCTTAGTTTGTTCTAACTCAATGGTAAGGTTTTCCAACCGGGATGTCAAGACATCAAACTCCTTGGAGCTGTCGTCCTTTTCGGAAGTCAGCTGTGCAATGGTGAGAGCGGCTTCTTGTCGTTCGTTTTCCACAGTGGCCAGTTTGGTTTCCAATTTCTTCTCCTCAATCAGTCTTGTATCCAATGTCGTAGCTCTCTCCTCTTCTGTCGCAATCTGCCGTTGTTTTTCATTCTTCATCTCCTTTCTCAAAGCGTCCAACTCGTTCATCAAACTCTGTCTCTCCCCAGCAAGTTCTTGCGTATCCGACTCTGTCTGCTCGAGCTTTTGGTTGGTGACCGCAAGCTCAGCTCTCAACCCTCCGATTGCGGATTCGTGCTCCTCCTTAGCCTGAGCTAGTTGTCGGCCCCGTTCTTGCGTCTCTTTGATACTATTCTCTTGAGCTCTTGCTTCTACTTCGGTCAGTTTTTGCTTTTCTTGCTGAAGCTCTTCTTGGAGGGTTTGTTGCACACGCACGGCCGATGATTGGTTCTCTTTCTTTTCTTCTTCGAGCTTCGAGAGTTGTTGCTCATGTGACTGGACAGCTTGGAGTCGTTGGTCTTCAGCTTGTTGGCGGACGGAGGCGATCTCCTCTTCGTGGCTCTGTTTCAATTGCTCAAGCTTCGTCTCTGCTTCTCCCTGGCTGGTCGTTAGCAGTTGTTGAACCTTTGCCAGTTCTTGCGAATGGTTCGAAGCCATTTCTGTAAGTCTAATTACAGTCTCGTCGGCTTGAAGTTCCAGAGCTTTTTGGTGGCTAGCTTCCAACTGCTCAAGATGGGACTGTAGCTCGGCTTGGGCCTTCTCGGCGGTTTGCTGTACCTCCAAAAGCTTTTGCTCATGATGCTTGTTGACCTCAGAGAGCTTAAGGTCTGTGTCAGCAGCATGGCTGCTGAGCTCCTTCTCATGTTGTTCGCGGAGATCATTGAGCTGAGACTGCAACTTTGCTTCAGCCTCCCCTGCAACCCGCTGAGCATCGGCGACAGCTTGCTCATGACTGCTCTTCAGTTCTGCAATCTTGTTGTCGTTTCCAGCGATGTGGTCGTCGAGATCCTTCTTGTGCTGTTCGCGAAGGGCTTCCAGCTGTGTCTCCATCTCTCCAGTCTTAGCCTGCTCCACTTCTTGACGGACAGTGGCCAGGTGGGTCTCATGAGTACGCTTGAGCTCAGAGAGCTTCTCATCAGATTCAGTGGTGCGGCTGCTCAGTTCCTTCTCGTGATCTTGACGGAGGGCATTCAATTGTGTCTGCGACTCGGTAGTTTTGGCTTGCTCCACTTCTTCACGAACCGCAGATAATTGCGCCTCATGAGAGCGCTTGAGCTCGGTCAGCTTCTCTTCAGATTCGCGTGCATGAGACTCAAGTTGGTCCTGGTGATCCTGACCAAGTTTCTCGATCTGAGCTTGGAAGTCATTGTGTGTTGCTTTTGCGTTGCTGGCTTCCTGGCGAAGAGTCTCGATTTCCTTTTGAATTTGCTGAGTCTCCGCAGACTTGTTCTCGACCTCCTCACGAAGTGAAGACACCTCAGTCTGGCTATCCAGGTGGAGTTTGCTGAGCTGCTCATTGAGTTTCTCCACTTGCTTCTCAACGGTTTGACGAGCTTCGGCGGAGCGCTTTTCGTGGAGATCGAGCTTCTCACGATGGCTGTTTTGCAACTCTTCGAGCTCCTGTTGGTGCTTTTGAACAACCTCAGAAGAAGTGGTTTCAGAAGCCTTCTTGGCCTTGTTGAGCTGCTCACGATGCTTAGCTTCCAGCTCTTCAACCTCTTGCTTGTGCTGTTGCAGAGTCTCTGCGGATGTGGTCTGAGAAGCCTTCTGAGCCTCATCAAGCTGAGCACTGTGTTTGGAATTTAGCTCCTCAATCTCCTGCTGGTGCTTTTGCGTGGTCATTGCGGAGACAGTATCAGAAGTTCTCTTGGCCTCTTCAAGTTCTTCACGAAGCTTGGCTTCTGTGTCCTTCAGAGTAGAACGATGAGTCCCTTCAAGCTGGCTGAGGCGGTCCTCATGACGCTTGTTGAGCTCGTCACGAAGAAGACCAATATTCTTAACATGGTTGGTCTTGACGTCCTTGAGGGCTGAGGCATGTGTGTTTTCAAGCTGTCGGACGTGCTCCTTGTGATCCTTAGCAACCTGTCCAAGAACAGTTTCGAGTGTCTTCGAGTGCTCTTCTTCAGCCGCCTTAGCGCGCTTCTCATGCTTAGCCTCGAGCTGGCGGAGTTGTTTTGCGTGCGCCTCATTGCTCTGGGCCAACGATTCTTCGGAAATCTTGGATTTGTCTGATGCTGCTTGGAGTTCTGTCTGATGCTCGTGCTGTAGACGCTCAATTTGCTGCTTCAATTCGGCTTCAATCTTTTCGGCCTCGTGCTGAGAAGCACGAAGCTTCTCTTCATGTTCAGCTTTCAAGGCTTCCAACTGATCTTGTAATTGACTCTGAGTTGCTTTGGCCTGTTTTTGTTGTCCTCGAGCTTTGCTTGGTGCTCTGTGCTCAAAGCATCCAGTTGCTGCTTGACTGTGCTTCGTGCATCGTTAGCATCTTTGACTGACTTTTCGAGCTTCTGGATTTCCTGTGCTGATTCTTCTCTGGCAGCACTCTCGGCATCTTGGCGGTGTTGCTTTTCTGAAGCAACTCGTTCCTCGTGAGTCTTCTTCAGAGTCTGCAATTCGTGGTCGTGCTTGGACTTCGTGGATTCGAGCTCTTTGTTGACTGATTGGCACTCGTTCTTAGCTTCTTGGACTTGTATTGTCAGGTCGTTCTGCAGCTCGACAATACGCTTCTCAAGTTCGCTTGCACGATGCTCCGCAGCCCCAAGAGCTTTCTGGCTCTCCTCTTGGAGACGACGCCCTTCATGTACTTCAGCTTCGACCTGACTTTGAGCCTCGGCATTCTTCTCCTCGTAACGATTCTTGACGGCCATGAGCATAGACTTGTGACTTTGCGCTGCGTCTTGGAGTCGCTTCTCCAACGTAGCATAGGCGGACTCGTGGGCTTGCTTGGCGGACTCAAGATCCTCGAGATACTTTTTCTCTCGCTCATCCTGCCCAGCGCGAGCTTCTTGAATTTGACGCTGAGCTTCTTCCTTGACTTGCTTCAGCTCAATCTCGTGGGATGCCATGGCTGATGTCAGCTCATCGAGGTGGCGCTCAAGCTCAGAGATAGCAAAATCACGAGCTTGCTTGATATCGGCCAGCTCAGCACTAGACTGTTCCGTGGCAGCTTTCAGTGCATCCTCAAGTTCAAGGCGTAACTTGTGCACTGCTTCCTGATGATCACTCTCCACTTGCACACGGGTAGCTTCGTTGGACTTTTCGACCTCAGCAAGTCTCTTGGTCGCCTTCTGCAATGCTTCTGAAGCCTCTGCTAACTCCTTGTCCTTGACCTCACGCAGATCTTTCAAACTCTTGCGAGACTCTTCGAGATGAATTGACAACTGCGATAACTCCTGTTCAACCTGAACCTTGGATTTGCGTAGTGTTTCGTGCTCCTTCGATGCGGAATCTGCTTGCTCACGAGAGCTGATTAATTGCTGTTCAACTTCACGCTTAGAGTCGCGGAGCTGCTTGAGCTCGTGAGCAGCCTGCGACGCTTGTTCTTGAGAAGCAGCAAGCTGTTGCTGAATCTCGTCCCTAGAGCCGCGCAGCTGCTTGATCTCTGCCAACGAGGTAGACACCTTCTCACGGAAAAGAGTAAGCAATCTCTCAACTTCGACCTTCGATTGTTGCACTTGAGCAATATCATTGGACAAGGCAGTTGTCCTCTCCTTAGAGGTGGTCAAACGCTGCTCGATATCGGTCTTGGTTTGGCGAAGTTGTTCATAGTCCTCGTTAGATTGGAAGACTTCTTCTTGCAAGGATTGTACCTTCTGCTCGAGATCATGTTTGGCTTGACGCAAATCCGCTAGCTCCGATGATGCTGATGAACCTTCCTTGAGAGAGACGGCTAGTTGCTGTTCGACTTCTGCCTTGGAGTTGCGCAAAGATTCGAGCTCGTTGCTCGAAGCCGATGCTTGCTCCTGAGAAGATGCGAGTTGCTGTTCAATCTGATCTTTGGACTCGCGGAGACTTTCGAGCTCTTCCTTGGAAGAAGTGACTTGCTCTTTCAATGAAGTTAGTTGTGATTCGATTTCGTGCTTCGATTGGCGGAGTTCTTCCAGATCCTTGCTGAGCGATGATGCATGATCCTGAGAAGTACTGAGTTGAGATTCAATCTCGGCAATACGTGCTCGGCTTTGCCTGTCGTCCTCTTCTCTTTGTTTGACATCTTTCAGTGATCTTGCGAGTTTTCCAGCGACCTCTGCTAGTCTTGTTTTCAGAGTGCTGTCAGATTCTGCTGCATTCTGGCGGACAGTAGCTAGATCTTTCAAAACAGCCTCGTGTTGTTGCTTGAGATCATCATGAATCTTTTGTGAAGATGATTTATGGTCGTCAAGTTGGCGTGTGTGATCATCTTGGGCCTTCGAAAGCTCGGAGCGGATAGCGTCCAACTCCTTGGTCTTGTTGGCAAGAGAGTTTTCGATAGCCTTCTGAGCCTCGGTATGCTGATCTAGGGCCTGTTCAAGCTTGTGTACAGCATCTTGTCTTTCTTTCTGAGTTGAAGAGAGCTGTGTCTTGGCATCATCGAGCTCTGCGACGACGGTAGCCTTCTCACCCTTGAGCGATTGCAACTCTTGTTCGGCTTTGCGCTTCTCTTCTTCGCGCTCAGAAGTTGCACGTTCCAATGCTTGGGTGGCGGCTGCCAATTGCTTTTCCAGTTCGCTGGCCTTCTCCTTGAAAGTTGCGAGCTCGGCGTCAATGTTGGCCTTGGACGATTTCAGGCTGTGCAGAGTCTCGTCAGCCTCTTTCTGCCTGGTGTGGCTGTCCTGGATGGACTTTTGAAGACTTTCAGCAGCCTGAGCGTTCGCTTGTTCGAGGGCGATAACCTCGTTTGCCTTGCCCTCTAAAGACTCGCGCAGAGTAGCTTGAAGTTTTTCTAGATTCTCGATCTGTGATTTTGCCTCTGCAGCGGTAGTCGAAGCCTCGGCAATGTTGTGTTCCAGCTCCTGAATCTTATTGTTGGCGGCTTGGAGAGAGGTATGAAGACTCTCCTTGTCTTCCTCGGCAGCTTGTGAAGCCTCTTCGAGTTTGCGGAGCGATACAGTGGCCTCTTGGTGCAACTTCTGGTACTTTTCGCTGTCGCTGCGCAGTTGTGGCAACTGGCTCTGGTTCTCTTCCTTTTCCGAAGTCAAGGCCTTGTTTTTTGACACAAGCTCCTGGAGAGACTGCTTGATCTGGTCTCGTTGTGTCTGGCTCTCTTCCAACTCTTTGACAATGTGCTCCAGCTGAGTAGCAACCTGCTCTTTTTCATCGATTAAGACGTCAATGCGGCTCTCGGCGTTTTCGAGCCATTGCTCTCGTTCGCGCTTGACCCTTTCCAGCTCTTCTCGGACTTGTGATAGCTCTTGGAGGTGCTGGTCTTGTGCCCGCTCGAGGTCGGCATCGGATAGAGACTCGTCTTCAGAGTCCGGACTGGGGTCGCGGATGGAGGGTCTCGACTTGCGTAGTCTCTTCTGGAGAGATTCGAGTTCTTTGAGAATGTGTTCTTGGGTGATGTTTGCGTGGAAGGACCTTCGGAAGATCTGGTGGCTGATGTTGGAGCCAGAGGACAGACGGACGAGCTCCTTGATGCGTTCTACATCTCCCGAGAGAGCAGAAGGAGCTACCGGCGACCCATTGGCGGCATCCACAGGCGATGACATGGCCCTGGTGTCGGTAGAAGTGATGTGGTTAGATGCAATGCTCGGAGCGGCCAAAAATCATAACGAAGGCTAAGACGCAGAATGCAACAAATGCAGCAACTCAATCCAGAGAGGAATATATACAGAGAAGGAACAACACACCACTGGCGTGACACGGAAATTGAGGGAGGAACAAATTCAGGCCTTGGGCCGGATGCTCGATTCAGGGTCCGACGCTGCCCGAAGCTTTGGCTGCTGTTCACCGCTCACGTCAAAGAAGACAACAAACACCGTCCATTTTTTCTGCGCTGAAACAACCGAGCGAGCGCAAGCAAATGGTCTGTTTCGAAATCTCATGCCCATGTTGCGAATGCGTGAACTCGTCGATTGTGCACCGACCTCCTGCAGCCACACCGCCGCTCCTGCATCCATGTCGAAGCCTCAACCTGTCGACTATGAAGTCATGGCACTGCAACGTTGAGATGCGAAGACTTCTCTTCCTCCAAACACGACTGAAAACGCTTCACATGCCATCAAAATGCACACTTTTTATTGTCTGGAAACGACTGCCCATTGAGAGCTTGAATTCATATCTACCGAGTACAGCAACCTTCACACCATTAATTCTTACTTTTTCATTTAGACAAGACTGGATTCGCTCTTCTCCTTTTTCGACTTGCCAAACGACATCAAGCGGTTGTAAGCTCCAGGAATACCCATCCACTCCTCGTTGATCGGGCTCTCTCCTGTAAACATAAGAAGATCGTATAAGAAACCGCCAAACGTACATCCGAAAAACGGAGATACCATAGGGATCCAAAAGTAGTATCCACCGGCACTCCACACTTCATGACCGTATCCGAGGAAGTACGACATGAGACGAGGTCCGAAGTCTCTGGCAAGGTTGATAGCGTAGCCGGTCTCCCAGCCCCAGCATGCGCCGATACCGAAAATGATGAAGAAGAGTCCAAGTGGTGTGAGGTTGCCCGAGCCAAGGTTCGAATCATCCTTAAGAGCGAAGATAAGGANCTGTTTTGTTTGTTAGTATATTTGACACAAACATGGACCTCGACGATACTTACACATCAGAAGAGCACTAGCGATAAATTCTGAGAAGAACATGCCCGTCCGCGTCATGAACTCGGCAGGATATGTGCAGAAGATACCGGCGGTCGAGTTGGGACCGCCCACTGTTCTGATACCAGCACCTCCCTCGAAGGTGTCGATGGCTGACTTGTAGTTGCCGTAGACAACACCGGCCGCACAGAATGCTCCAAGGGTCTGAGCCAACATGTAGATCGGGAACTTCTTCCAGGGAAACTTTCGGAACACACAACTCGAGAAGGTGACCGCAGGGTTGAGATGAGCTCCCGACTTGCCGCCAGCGTACACACCCAACATCACTCCAATGCCCCATCCCCAAGAAATTGACTGGTAATCACCCTTGGTACCCTTGGACAGGACGACTTGAGCTACGACACCGTCACCGAACATCAGGATGATGAACGTTCCAATGAACTCGGAGAAGGCATCTTGCAATGTCAATCGGATCCTGGGCCATAGGAACTTGGGATCGGTCTTGTCGAGTGCAGCAGCAGTTTGACTTCTATTGAGTGGAACACCAGTCTCGACGAACTTGGGCTGGGATGCCACAGTGTCATCTGTGCGTTCTGAGTCACTCCTGTTGTGTTCGATNNATCTTTGGACGTATGATCAGCGGCAAGAAATCATATTGCACATGGGCATGGATCACTCACGTGTGATTTCCAGGTCGGAGAGCTTGTCTGAAAAGACTTCAGGGTGTTTGACATCTGCCATGGTGGATGATTGAATGCAGAAGATTGAATGAAGAAAAAAGATGCCCGATGAGATGGTCAAGAAATCAACATGGCCTGGGACCGGCCTTTATCAATGGTCTGACTACGATTGCTTTTGATCCTACTGCATCCCGCCTCCTTGTCTTGGACCGATCCTAAGCAATACCCTTGGTTGTTCGGCAGTCGGACTCGAGAGCACAAGTCACGCTATCATCACAGATCTTGACCAGCCCAACCATTCAGGTGCAAGCGTACCAGGTCTCGTTACGAGTACGCCGTTGCTTGCATGGCGGCGAGTACTGTATCTTTGCCGCGGCCTGACTCCTGCGAAGTAAGCCACTGCCTAGCTGCTCAGTGCTTCCCTGCAGGATTCCAGAGTGTCATTGCTGCCGACGGGTTCTAGGTGGTGGGAAAAGCATCCCAGGCACTCCTGTACCTTCCCAACGTCGTTACCCCGCTGCAGGAATGGGTTACAGGGCACCATCAGTACCGCTGTTTTCCGGTGTCAAAGTCTTGTACGATCACACTTCTGATGAACCTCACTAGACATGCCGAGAAAGCAAGAGACCAGAACGAGACGCTTTCCAATAAGACAAAGACGATGCTCGTATGGGAGCCTCGCTTGCTGGAAGCTTTGGCCCATCTCCATCTCCCCATTTCTGCCCCTGGTCTCTCTGCGATGGGGCATATTGGAAACGGACATGGAGCCTAAGCGCAGCAGGCATCCCAGGATACGGCCGTCAACCAAGAGCCAACGCTTGGACTTGTACCCTTTAGGAATCTGGAAGGCGTGCTCTTGCCTCCTTGCAACCCCACACTTGTCAGACATGAACACGTACACGAATGCAAACGTAACAGGCACCATCTTGTTTACAGGCATTGGTCAGAGCGGATTGCGTCCGCTGGATGCCTAGTCAAGATTGGGATAGATATAGGTACGTATAAGTTCGTGGCGTCAGACGCCACACAGCTCAATACCACGACGCGGCAACGCCGGTTGAGTTAGGTATGATCGCGCCTCTTGACCGTTTGATGGCTTTTTGAGCTCGCACGACTCGCGAGGACATGGCGCCGGCGTGATTGTCGGCAGCCTTTTCCTAACTTTAACACTGTATACCCACTCTGCAAATTTGGTTGCTATTGCCTGTTCAACTGCGCGAATATAGTTTGTCGGCGACGAGTGATCGTGGGGATGCCGGAGCCGAGGGTCAGAAAGGAGACCTCTCTAATTTCTTAATCGAGTACGCGCTTGGACGTCATGCCTTGCGACATTTTGACGTCTTCTATCGCGATCACCAGAAGATCCAAGAACTTGGGTATAGCGCCCAGAGCTCTCGACCCTAGTAGGATTGTAGGAGCTGCGGTCTGTAGTTGGTCGAGCCAGAGAGATTGATCGGCAGGCGGGGAGGCTGCCGAGCGTGGGGTACCGTCTGGGGTCAGCACAGGACAGCATCAATAATCTCAATAATCTCAACAATCTGATCGGGAAGAACACCGTGACAGCGGAATCCTTCGATAACCGTGGCGCTAAAGGCTGGGGAGCATGTGATTGTCGCGACAATGACCTGATGCAGCCAAACGACCCATTGCGCTAAATACAGCCGCATCAACAGGGAGCTAGCATCGTAGGATGGAAGTCTCGAAGTATTGGCATCGTTCGGCCTTGGGAAGATCAATGCGGGGCTCTCAGTTGCGTGCCCATCCGTGCACGTCCAGCAAAGATTTTGAGAAGGATTCTGCTGAGACGCAGGCATCACGAGCAGTTGGTCTGGTGCGGGACACGTTATCAGTATTCGCGGCAAGTAGCATTGCTTTCGAGGTCCAGTCCCCTTCCCTCGGACCTCACGATAGGAGATGTGGAGGCTAAAGGGACGGCCTCGAGATTTTCCGTGTTGGCAGGCACGTGAAAGGTACACGCCGGTACTTAAGTATACTCGCACCTGCCCAAAATCTCCAAAGCTGTCATTCAGAAGCCAAAGTCTATTCTTTTCCACGCGCGTTCATCTTCTGTCCAAACAGCAGCACATCATGGCCGAATTCATTGGTAGCATTGATCAGGGAACCACCAGCTCGAGGTTCTTGATCTTCAACAAGGCAGGAGAGCCAGTCGCATCTCATCAAGAAGTACGCATTTAGTAGCTGTTTCCTTGGCTTGGTGACATGAGATTGACAGTCAACAGNGAATTCTCTCAAATCTACCCTCAGCCTGGGTGGCATGAACACGACCCTGAGGAGATTGTCTCCTCTGTACACAACTGCATTGAGGGTGCTGTTGAGGCCTTCAAGAAAGATGGAAACTCGGTCGACAGCATCAAGGCCATTGGCATCACGAACCGTGAGGAATACTTTGCCATTGAACTGGAAGGGTTCTCACTAACATTTATACANGAGCGTGAGACCACCGTTGTTTGGGATATCGAGTCAGGAGAGGCACTTTACAATGCCATCGTCTGGACAGATACTCGTTCTCAGGCTATCGTGAAAGAGTTGAAGTCTCGCAAGGGCGCCGATGAGTTGACACAAAAGTGCGGTCTGCCGCTCTCCACATACCCCAGTGTCACCAAGCTTCTATGGCTGCTCAAGAACGAGCCCAAGGTGAAGGAGGCATACGAGAAAGGCACTCTTGCATTCGGAACCATTGATGCATGGCTTGTATACAAGCTTAACGGACATGAGAAGAGGGTCTTCGTCTCTGATCCCACCAATGCCTCTCGCACGATGTTCATGGACATCCACACACTCAAGTACAACCCTGAGCTGATTGCCTTCTTCGGCGATGAGGAGTTTGATCTCTCCAGAATTCACATGCCCGACATTGTCAGGTCTTCGGACGCAAAGGCATATGGCAAGATTGGTTCGGGAGTTTTGTCCGGCTTTAGCCTCACCGGATGTTTGGGTGACCAGTCTGCTGCCCTGGTCGGTCAGAAAGGTTTCGATGCAGGCAGCGCAAAGAACACGTAAGTCAAGCTTATATGGTGTATGTCACAGAGCAGCAGACTGACCAGCAAAAAGNNATACGGCACAGGTTCCTTTATCTTGTACAACACTGGTAACAAGCCCGTCATCTCTACCCACGGCCTGCTCACCACTGTTGCATACGACTTTGACGGAACACCAAGCTATGCTCTTGAGGGATCCATTGCAGTTGCTGGTTCAGGTGTCAAGTTCCTCATGAACAACTTGGGTTTCAGCTTCGATTCGTCAAAAATCACCGAGCTCGCGGGCACAGTGGAGAACAACGGCGGCCTCGTTTTCGTCACAGCATTCAGTGGTCTATTTGCACCATACTGGATCACCGATACCCAGGGTACCATTTTCGGTATCACACAACACACACAAAGAGGGCACATTGCTCGCGCTACACTCGAGGCTGTCTGCTACCAGACAAAGGCCGTACTAGACGCCATGGAGAAGGACAGCGGGCACCCTCTCCAAGAGCTCAAGGTCGATGGCGGCATGTCAAACAGCGAACTGTGCATGCAAATTCAAGCAGACATTCTAGCCGAGAACAAGATCCCCATCGTTAGACCCAAGATGCGCGAGACCACCGCATTGGGAGCCGCCATCGCCGCCGGCTTTGCCGCTGGTGTCTGGAAGAACTTTGATGAGCTGAAGGAGGTCAACACTGCTGGTCAGACAGTCTTCGAGGCCAAGATGGAGGCAAAGGACAGCGCCAGGGGAGTCAAGCGCTGGGAAAGAGCAGTCAACATGTGCCGAGGCTGGCTTGTCGACGACGAGTAGAAAGTCGTTGGTCATCTGCTCTTGGACAAACGTCCTTTCACGGCCTTGTTCTCTTTCCTTGTTTTCCATTTTCCCGCAGAGCTGCGATAGCTGCTTAGATACCACGAATGAGCTTTTCAATTTCCAATCTCATGAACCTTTGTATACAACCAGTGATATCTGGCGAGAGCTGTGAGGCTGCCAAGGGATGACTGCAGAAGTTCAGTCAACATTATGATGTTGTTTCTTGTCTACACCACCCTGTCCACGATTCATTCCATCGAATAAACTCTACCCCAGAAATGATGGAGACTTTGGTCAACATCTGATAACGCGCCATACCACATGTCCTCACGTGGTCACTGTTTACGCCATCTTTACCGTCCATCGTGCGTCAACCAGCCACAGCTGAGAACCCCTCCCTGTCGACTTTCAAAGCAACTACCACTCATTCATCTCAAAGTTTGCTTCCAAGTATTATCAGATCTTAATTACCTGATCAACAGGGCGAAGTAAAGTCAGAAGAAAGTCTATTAAACACATATTCCGAGCCCCGAGCTAGATATAACCGACGGGTATACGAAGGAGACGTTCAATCAATCAAGCCGAAACCTTTGTTTCAGCGTCCAGAGCTGCCGAAACAAGGACAACACAGTCGAGTTGTTTGTGTAGGTTCCATGTCGTCGCCAGCCACCTCGTCTATGACCGAGAAACGGTTCGATGTGCTCGGAGAGTTTATGGCGTCTGGGGAAGGTTCGTGGAGAAGAGGGGGAAAGGTAAAGAGGCGTCTGGGGAACGGCAAGGCAGGTAAAGAAAGGTTATCAGTGCTCATGTGACATTGTAAAGGTACTTACACGGTATTTGGTTCCGCAGTGTTGATATACTTTTTTTTGGGCGAGAATTGGCAGATACTTTAGCAAAAGCGTGCTGGCGAACAGTCGTGGCATGGCATGGCAGGATATGCGAGTCTAGCTCTTCCTGCTGCTTGTTGACGTTGGAAACAGCGATTGACAGGGCAGACTTTACGTGTCTTTAGTGCCTACATAGAACATATTCACACGTGGGAATGTGCTGTACAAAAGAGACAAAGTCTGGAATCCTTGGCTTAGAAACGCACGATGGACCTGGTTTGGGTACGTGGGAAGAAGTGTACATGTAGCTACGTATAGATCTGGATGCTCAGGTATCTGGTCAGGAAATTGCCTTCGGATTGGCCTAGAAGGTTTGTTGGCAAGGCAACCCTGACTGCTAGAAGATGGTTTGTGAGTATTGTAAGAAGCGACCCAACAACGGCAAGAAGTCAAGACCAATTGGGGAGACCTAGAACTTCGGAGGAATTGATCGGTGCACTTCGTTGGCTGCTGCATGAACAAAGGCCACTCGAGTTCAGGCAAGTTGTCTCCATGGCCACACTTCTTGTATGGAAAGCATTGTGCGTTCCTACTGCTGGACCGTGCCCGTCTTTAGCACATGGTGAGGCTGGAGTGTTCTTCGAGAGGAAAAGTAGGAGGAAAGATTAACTTTGGTTTGAGATGTTCGTGTGAACTTCTCTATCACATCAGTATACCCAATGACTTCTACCTCAAATCACGATACTTGGCCTCCTCCTTCATTCTCTCCTCGACCAACTTGATAACTTTTGTATCATAAACCTCTTCAGGAGTCTTGTCACCCTTGAGCACCAACTTCTCATGCTGGGTGACCTCGTCCTTGGTCATGCAAACCAAATCCTTGACTGCAATGTTCGAGCTCTTTTGCCCGGCAATGCTGGTATCGATGAATTGGCCTTCGGGCTTGCGCCAGCGCACGAGTGCGAGACGGCTAGCTAGGCCGCTGACGACACTGCGGCCACGGTAGACTTCTTCGACCACGTAACCGACGTCTTCTTGCGTGATGGGGATGCGTAGGCCGAGTGGGTCGAGAGACATGTGGCGAGCTACGCGCTCCTCTGAGCCTTGCAAACTAGCCAAAATGCCATCGTACATCTTGTCCCTCGACTTCGAAGGCAAGTATTCATGTGGGTAACCGCTTATGGCCAACATAACATGGTTAGCTACACAGAGACCAAAGATTGCAGGCATGGTTCCCAGCACGGGCAAGATCCTGACTCTGAATTCTGGGAGCACGCCGAGTTCGCCGACACTGCCTTTTGCGTGTTCTTCGTCAGAGAGGGGCAGCAGTTGGGCTTTGCCAGGTGCAGTCTTCTCGCTGGAGAAGACGACGGGGATGCCATCTTTGACGCCTTTTGCACGTAGTCTTCGTCGTGTGGAGCGCGAGAGAGGGTCGTCTGTGCTGGTGGAAATGTCGCCGAGGAAGACACGGGTAGGGTCTGATTTGCAGCCCGCGCCCATGGAGGAGATGACTTTGATGCTGTGCTTGTGGCAGTAGGCGAGGAGGTCCACCTTGCTGTCAATATTGTCGATGGCGTCGATGACAAAGTCGGGCTTGTGGCCATCGGCCCAGGGTGCTAGTTGGGCTTCTGCCGTCGAGCCGACGAAAAGTTCGTTTCTGCAATCAAAGTGTGTCCAAGGTGTGATTTGCTCGAGACGCTTACGGAGACAGTGTACCTTTGGCGTACCTACGTCTGCCAGGGTGGCCACGGCGTGTCTGTTCAAAGAGGAAAGAGTGACCTGGTCGAAGTCGATAATTCGTAGTTTTCCAGCTCCAGATCTGGCAAGAGCGGCTGCAGCATGAGAACCTACACCACCGACTCCAACGATGATGATGAATGCATTGCGCAGCTTCTTCAGACCGTCATCAGTGAGGAAGACACGATTGCGAGCCAGTTGTTCCAGGATCAATTCTATACATCCTTGTCAGACTGATACTCTTGTACCTTGCGAGATATACCCACCTTCATCGTAGTCTCCCAAGCGAGCCCTTGTAGCAAGAGCAGCACCTCTCTCATCCTCCTTTGACAGCTTCGAGCCATCTTGCACAGCACCACCAAAATTGTTTATCTATGAAAGAATCAGTATCTTCAATGCCAGGTACTTTTCCATGATACACACTTGAACAACATTCTCGTCCTTGTCAAGATCAGGAATCGAGCTCTTGAGATCAGAAACGCGATATTGTTGCTTCGCCTTCTGCAGCCCCAAAATCGCACTTCCAACCAACAATCCAGAAGCAACTGCTGTGGCTGCTAGTTGCAAGTTATGTGACGACCTGACTTGATCAATCCAAGTCGACGACATAATTATGACACACCACCTCTTCTACAATTTGATTTTTGGAATCGAAAGTCGAAAAAAGAGACAGAAGCACGTGAAGCAAGATTGACGTTCGATTTCCCTGATTGTGGCTGGTGTGCTGTGGCTGGCGCAGTCACATGTCAGATAAGATCTTACATCTCCTTCGAGTCCTCCTCGAGTCCTCACCTCTACAAAAGTGAAACCCATACAAGAAATTGGCAAAAAAAAAGCGGTAAGAATACTCAAACCCTTTGCAATCGCTTCACAAAGAAAATATACTAACAATTCAATTATATCCAGTCATGTTTCCCATCCCCAATGCCGAGAAACAATCACACACAAAACAGTCTCAAAACGCGTGCCTGCAGCCATGCGATTCTCCCGGGAAACGTGTCGAGGCAGTGCGCACATGACTGAAAGAACGAACAGAGATCGTAGGGGCACAACATGACTCTTTTCTTTCCATTTCCGGGGTTTCCGTTCTTCTTTCCTAACCTCTCCTCTCCATCACCGCTTCCTGTTTTTAACCACTTTCTTGTTCATCATCTCACTTTTTGCGTGCTGGCTCACTGGAAAACTCACATTCGAAACTGTGTGCACAACAGACAAAGAGCGAAGGTCAGAAAAAGACGTGTTTAGCATTCCAAGGCGCTGCTTGACGATACCGCAATTCTTCGCTCGAGCCATATAGATTCCTCTTTGGGTCTGGCAATGAGAAAGGAAAAACAGAGATAGTTTTCAATCGGATGGCGCTGGCTCCGTCTCTTCCTGCCTTTGTTTTCCTTTTTGCTCTGGCGCATTGCTGCTTCGATGGGGGTTCTCAAAATGTGGTCTCAAGAGGCAAGGAGAGAGATGTTTGCAACATCAAAGGCGGTTGAAGGATGGGGAAAAGCAGAGAAGAGGGAGAGTGTTTGGAGGAAGGGTCATTTCTCGTCCGGTGATGAACATACAAAAGCCAAAGTTGACATGGCAGCCCGCTCGTGCTTAACAACATGAGATCTGTGGTTGTCACTGTGAGAACATTGGAGAGACACAATTCTGAGGACACAAAAACACAACAAGGAAGACTGGGAGATGCTCTTGGATGGACGAATGGTTATGAAGAATATGTAGTAGGGAGTAATTTGCAGTGCTTTTTTGCTGCTGTATTTCCACAATCCAGCAAGTGTCTGCTTTTTTGAAACGCTTTTTATTCCTCTCTCGGATGATGATAACAAGATAAACACAAACGGCCTTCCCTCAAAATCTGTCTCGTCTTCTGTTTGCGCGCAAGACCGTAAATCCAACATAGGCTCCCGTCAAGACCAGGCCGAAAATGACAAACTTCAGGAAGAACCAGCCCCAGCCACCGCCCTCCTTCTTCGCGTACTGGTTCGGTCTGTATGCGCTCTTGCTGTAATCCTTGGGGGTGCCTGCTGCGCCGCTCGGGCTGTACAGGTTTTTGGTCTCGACCTTGATGATGTCGTGGTTGTCGGATAGCTCGCCGGTCTCGGCAGAGAAACCGAGGTAGGTGATGCCAGGAAGCTTGATGCCGGGGACGTCGAAGCAGGGGGTCCATTCGTCTTCCTTCTTGTACATCAATTCGACCTTGAGCGACTTCTCCTGGAAGTAGGTGACGCGGGCTTTGGTGGGGATGTTTGCGTTACGGAGACCACGTGCNNCTAGAAAGTGTTAGCGATGAGGCAGAGATTGGAATGGTAGAAGACGTACGGAACAGCCAGCGAGTTCGTTGGCCTTGCCATCGTGGCCCTGGTCGTAGACAGTCTTTCCGTCGCCCAGCATAGCCATGACATAGGGAAAGACAACACCAGGCCTGTTGTTCTTGTACGTGTCGAAAAAGATGCCCAAACCCTCAAACATGTCCTTGTTGCCAAAGACGGGACCCTGCTGGGCTCTGTCGGTCGTCACCCACATGGCAAAACCGTCACCGAAGAGGTTGCCCTGGCCATTGATGTCAAACTCGACCTCGATCTCCCAGTTGGTTGCGGTCAGGGGCACTCTCGAGTAGATCCAGCCGGATTGCGAGGGACGGTCGGAGCTGAGACGGATGTGCTTGTCGGCGCGGATGATGGTGTCGCCGCCAAAGTCCCACCACCTGCTCTGGAGGTCCGAGTCGAGGTATGGCTGCACCAAAGAATGCGTACGGAGCTGGGCGAGTGTTAGACATATGCTCAAGGTTCATGTAGTGGCAGGTCGCATGTCATACGGNNGGATGCTCTTCACATCAGATGTGTCCTGAGCATTTGCACCAGCTAGCCACGTCGCCGCAGCGGCTCCGAACAGAGACAAAAACCGCATGGTGAATGGGAATATAGAAGAGAATGAGGATAGCGACCCGTTCTATTGTTAGCACCAAGGGGAACCCGTGGCATCTAGAGCAAGCTCCGCGTCCGCCAAGAAGCAGTTCAAACCACGAATGACGTGCATATCAACTTTTGTACTCTCGTCTTCATATCACACACACACACACAACAACTCAACATGTCTTTCCTCGGAGGTTCATCCGCCGCTTCAGGCGCCAGCCAGACCCAGGCCATCAAGCAACAAGTCGCCCAAGAAGCCGCCGTCGCCAACGCAAGACAACTCGTCGAGGTACTTAGCAAGCAGCTTTTCCACACTTCGCCCACACGCAGCTGACCCACGGCTGATCAGAAACTCAACGAACACTGCTTCGAGCGCTGCATCCCCAAGCCCGGTTCTTCGCTGTCGTCAGGCGAGTCGACCTGCTACTCGCAGTGCATGGAAAAGTACATGTCGGCTTGGAACGTCGTGTCTAAGCAATACATCAACCGCATACAGAGAGAGGCTGGTGCAGGAGGCATCATGTAAATTTCTACATTTTCACGACGAACGCACGATCAAAGGAAAAGAGCGAGGCTGAGGAAGGGACCAATTGTACGATATATGCATAGAAAGATGCCCGGTCCAAGATAATTGTACATTTATCAAGACACTTAAAGATTCGCCTTGGGAGGTGGCGGAGAGTTGGCCAATGTCTTTTGCCTTTGCGAGTAATCCTTGACGATGATGGAGCACTTGATCTCCTTGCACAGCGACTTTCTTTGCGCCGGAGGAAGGAGCGATGCAAACTCGAGTCCCGATGCTCNTGCAGTTCTTGTCAGCTCAGTTCCAGTCTGCTCACTGTCAAAGCATATTAGATACCTCTCAACAGCCTCGAGGGGCACTTCAAAGTCTTGGAGGGGCTTGTCGTTTGCAATCTTAGCATTGGGCAATACAAAAGCACCCAGACTGACGTTTCCGCCAATCTTGCCATCTTCGGCAAAGATGACCTTGTAGAAATGCGTGGGCACAGCAACGTTGGGAGGGTTACCAATGACCTCGTAGCTGACCCTCCACTTGCCATCTGCCTCTTTCTTGGGGAGGTACAAAGGCCCTGTCACGATGCGGACCGAAGGGTACCTTCCAGTGAGACGACGGCAAAAGTCCTCAAAGTGAGCCCAGTAATCTCTGTTGAAGCCCTCGCCGACTTGAGGGCACATATTGCTCAATGCAAAGGTATCATCCATGGCTTGCTGCGACCACTTGGCATCGGCGGCGGGCACCTGGTGACCTCTGTCATAGCCACTGCGGAAGTAGTCCTTGAGCTTAGCGCGGAACTTTTCTGGGATGCCCTCGTCCTCGACAAAGACAGAGTGCTTGCGGTCTGCGTTGCTGTTCTTGAGCGATTCGGGTGTGATGTGCTCGACGACCCAAGCAGGGTTTCTTGTTCTGCGATCGTATGCAGAGGTCAAGGACGCAGCAGCTCTCAGGTCGGACACGGGGCCAGGAAAGCCATACTGGTAAAGTCCATTGGGGTCGACAGGTCTAGCTGCAGCAGCAAGAGCTTCCTGAACACCAGCAGGTCTGCCAACAGCCAATGGCGGATTGACGGGAGTAGGAAAGGGAGCGGCGGGAGTGTTGACGCTGACCGGACTCGCCGTCTTGCGAGGAAACAGAGCGGCCGTGGTTGCTGCTCCGAACGCGGCGCCGCCTGCGGCAACGAGTGCGAGCGTGACTTTGGACATGATATCTCGCATTCACTCGAATGATACCGAGGGAGACGGCCGAGGGAACGAACAAACAACACGTCTGTACGCGCGCTACAAAAAGTGCTCGTGATGCTCTAGCGCCAAACAATCCGCGCCAAGCCATCAATGTACAAAGTCTCCTGGCAGCATGCATCATGCAGGAACGTCTTGATGATGTATTAGTTGCTCTAGATTATATCAGATGTAGGAGACCTTTACACCCATGCCTATCGTCCTCTGTACTTTATGCAACCCGCCCTGGAGGCTCCGTTTAACTCTGTCTCTGACATCCCGACGTGCAAATGCCAAAGTGAAAGCCATCAGAAAAAGTACAAACCGGAGCAAAACCATTGGATTCTGGCTGACAGACTTCCCAGCATTCAGTACGGCGGCCTGCATAGTCGCAAACATGGAGCGATGAACGCGAGGTGAGGGAGGCGTGGCTTTCTTCTGGGGAGGTTTCGCCTTCGACGCAGGCGGGTTTCGGTTGGTCTGGCCTGCTCTAGAGTTGTTGTTGCTTGAGGCGGAGGACGTTCTGTTTTGCGAACCAGCTGTACGAGGCCTCTCTTCAGCTTCTCGTCGCCTCCTCTCCTGCTCTGCTCTGGCCTCTTCTTTTCGACGTCTCTCATCCTCGATACGCCTTTGTTGCATCTCTTCATCTTGACGGCGCTGAAGCTCCTTCTCCCGTATACCATCAAGTGCCTTCTCCTCTTTCAATGTATGAAGTGCTTGTAGGAAAGCATCCCTTCTCTCGTCGTCCAGAACCTCACTCATACTGATGAAATCACGGGCATAGTCCCACTCGCCGTTTTGAGGCAGAACGTGGAGAGTGTAAAGCTCGAGCAGCTTGAGACGAGTATTCAGGTCGCGTGGGGTGCTTGTTCCGTTATGGTGAGACGGATTGCGCATGGATTGCTGAGAGGCTTCGAGGTGGGCAGCAATGTCAAAACTGGGGTTTGACAGGGCGGACAGGTAAGTTTCGAGACGCTGTTGGTTCAGCTTCTGCGAGGGCATGTGTGCCAGGAGCAACGTCGNCACTATCACATGTCAGGCGATGTATAACGGAATAGCTTGGGCAGCTTCTTACAGATTGACGACAACCTCAGCATCCACAGCACCCTCATTCCCTTGATAACCCTGCTTGACGACGAGGTCCCAGATGGTGCCCTGACGAGCGTACGAGGCCAGTTCTCGCCATTTAGTGCTTCCGAAGACCAGCTTGCCTTCCTCAGGACCCAGATCTATGATGGCGTTGAGTAAGGTCAAGTAGAAGCTCCACACCTTGACGCGACTGGTCTTGGACGCGAATGCGACAGGTGCAGCGTTGTGGTCGGTTTGGTCATCTTGTGGGAACGGCGAGTCTAAGGCTTCGGGCGAGATGATGATGGGATCAATGGTAGACAAGGCTTCGTACAGCCTGCGAGTTAGGAACAATTGGGCAGCCTGGCGGTAGGTTCTGGCTATTTGCGACGACTGGGCGCGGGCCGATGAGAGCGACGAGATGGACGAGGTCAAGTATTGCGACGAGAGCGAATCCTCGTACGACATGGTTGATGCCGTCGAGTCGGTTGGCATGACGCTCAATGCTCTGTTCTCGAACAACGAAAGTATGCCCCCTTGGCCGGCTATCAGTCGTGTTGTTATCCTCACCTTTCCCCAGTCATTCCTTCCTTCACCGGCTTCTGATCGCGAATGAGCCGAGGTTGACCGACGCTCGGTCCTCCATCCTCACCGCCCAAGCATCATCATATCCATGATGCATCCAGCGCGTCCAGAGCACTCTCACGGTCTCGCCTTCACATTTCTATCATCAACACGCTGCTTAGCCAGTGAATATAGATAGAGGCATAGCCTACGAGGTATTTGCTCTACATTCAGAGCTTGTTGCGTCGAAACAATTAACTTAGCGCGGTAGGTATTCGTTTGCCTCTCAGTTGATTGTCTCTTCTATTCATCATCGCAAATAACATCGATCTGCTGCGATTTGCCTCTGCCTTTTACTTACAAGGCTCTTCACAGCCTGTCTGCTGTCCTCTCGTCATTCTTCAACATGGATATAGATAAATCATCTTTTCCTTCGCGTCTTCTTGACGTGATCGAGGCCATTGCAGAAGCACATTTTGTGTCTTTCGATCTCGAGCTCTCAGGTGTGCCCGTCAAAGGACAAGCAAAGGAGAAGCCTGGCAAGCCTTCGCTCCAAGAGCGCTATCTCGAAACCAAGAAGGCTGCTGAGCAGTATCAGATCTTACAAATTGGCCTCACATGCGTTAAGGACGATGTGCTTCAGGGAGCCTACGTTTGCAAGCCTTTCAACTTCAACCTCAGCCCGATAGTCGAAGAGCGTCTGGACGTCGATCGTACCTTCTCTTTCCATAGTGGAGCCGCCGAATTCTTGCTTGGAGTTGGTTTCAAGTTCGACCTTCCCTTCACATCTGGAGTCCCCTACTTATCTAGAGATGAGGCTCAACTCGCTGAGGAAAGGGCGGCCGCACGGAACGACAAGTCATCATTCACCGACATTGAGATCAAGCCGGAAGATGTTCAAGCTCTGGAGTTCCTTAGAAGGGTCCGATCAGAGGTCGACAACTGGCTCAAGACTGGACAGCCAAGCCCACACTCTGTTGTCATTGGTCCTCTGGACACACAACAAGATGTCAACCCTGAGCTGAATCGCTTCGAGAGACGACTTGTGCACCAGATCGTACGTGCAGAGTATCCCGATCTTGTCAGCATTCCCAACAAAGGCCTGGTCCGTGTGTCTAGACTTGACCCCGAACGCGAAGAGTACATCAAGGCTCAGCGTAAGCGGGAAGTGCACGACCGTATCGTTCGACAGACCGGATTCAGATGGATTGTGGAAGCTCTGTGTGGAAACCCTCCTGAAGCCATCGACGTTCGATCGTTTGCCACAACTCCTGGAGGTGTTCCTGGATTTGTAGATCTTGACAGGCTCAAATTGCGCTTCAATCGTGCTAGGCACATGATCCGCAACAAGAAGACTGCTCTCTTTGGCCATAATCTCTTCCTCGACCTGATCTACTTCTACAGAACCTTCATCGGAGCATTACCCGACACTGTGGACGAGTTTGTCAGTCTAATCCATGAGCTCTTTCCAATCATTGTTGACACAAAATATATGGCCACTCACAACTGTGGAGACATCAACCCTCAATCTTCTCTTGAACAAATAGCAGAGAAGCTTGCAGAACAACAAAAGCCTAGCGTCACCACTCACGAACAATACAACAAGTACACCGATACTACAGCATTCCACGAGGCTGGCTACGACAGTATGCTCACGGCTGAAGTTGGTGTGCGTCTTTCAGCAAAGCTCGAGCTTGCAGGAAATTATGATCACGAGGAGCGACAAAACACGATTCCACCCACACCACCTGATGTTGATGGCGGTGGCGTTCAGCTCGACAACAATACACCCTCGGTGATCAATTCGGCTATTGAAGGTGTCAAAGGCCTTCTCCAAGCACCGTTCAAGGCTTTGGGAGGACAGGCAAACACACCAGATCAGCCATCAAAACAGTCAACACCAGAAGACTCACTAGCCCAGCAAACCGCCGAACTAGACATCACCGAAAACGAATCAGGCACAACGAGCACAAAATCCAAGAAGAAAAAGAAGAAGAACAAGAAGTCCAAAGCCTCCGCTCCTACCCCTTCAGCACAACAAGGCGGCCGCTTTGCTCACGCCACAGCCTTTGACCAACTCCAAGATACCCTCGATGGTTCTGAGGAAGAGGAAGCAAAGACGCCTGAAGAAGTCCTTGAATTCGATGCCCTGCCTTCAGAAAACGCACATGCATCCGATCCCGTGGTTGCAGACACAGACGGTGTTTCTGACTCTCGTGCTGGAGCATCATGGGACACTATCCCCGTACTGGCTGAAGAAAACGCGTCCTGGGACGAGCGTGAAGTAGGAACGGTGATGCCGTCTTTCAAATCCGGCTTCTGGAAGGTCTATGGTAATAAACTGCGTGTCTTTGGCACACAGGAGGGAGTTGCTGTGCTGGACTGAAAGGGCAGTGACTTGTGCTTCCACAGGACGTGAAGGACATGGGCTGGGGTCACTATGATTGAGGAGTTTGACCCGTTGGTCTTTGGAGGCAGTTCGATGGAGATCTGACTTGCAGCAACCTCGATATCTTGGGGAAGCCAGCCTTTGATATGTATTGTGAAACTCCAATCGACCATTCACACCTACTTCATCAGGAGAGTATGTGTACCTTTGATTCCAGACAGTAGGAAAAGGTAGACAGGCACTTCTTACAGAAAAATCAAAGACATTACACTCTTGAAAATGCCCACTTGTTTTACTCGAAATGAATCATTCTCAATCATACCCCTACTAGCAAGAAGTTTACTATCTTCTACCCTTCGTTGGGGTAGCAAAAATTCACTGTACACAAGAGACCACGCAACCAACTTCTCTGCCTTGATTTACCCTCACCTCTGTCTCGTACTTTCTTGTGTTGCTAAGAGACCGATATAATAGTAGTCATTCGAGATGCACAATATCCTTAGAGTACAGTAATGATCTAAGGTAGAGATATCATGCTTGGACCCATCTTCTGTAGACACACTTTGACTCGGTTGATAAAATTACGATATTAGTATCACTATCTATGCCAGAGGACGCCGCAGAACCATGGATGAGTTCCTAAGTCCGTCAGAGGGCAGTAGTATGCATCCACTTGTCAAAGAATCACCGTGGTATAGAGAGAGGACTTTTGTTTCGTTCGTTGGGTATAGCTGTGCTTATGGCATCCTATTCGCCGTGACGAGAAATGTTCGAATGGTGTAGACGGAGAAAGAGGGCTAATATTCTAGCATCTCCAATGGCAGGTTACAAAACCACTCCTTTCTCATGCTCACACTTTGAGACTTCTAATCAATCTTTCCAGTTTGGAAGCAAGGTGCACTCGAAACAAGTTTTTGTTGGCTTTTGTGAGCCAGGCTAGTAAGTAGAATCAGCAAGCAATCGTAAGCAGATAGTGCTAGCACAGTACAATTGGAATCCGTCTGAAACCAGAAAAGGGAGGCACAGGGTGATGCTTCAAGTTTTGGTGACCAAAGACTAAGGTTTCTGATTAAAGAGAAGAGGGTTGCTTGACGAGACAGGGGGAGACATTATATTGGTAACTTTTTAACAGAGACAGTAGAAGTAAAAGTATGGTCGAGTGGTGAGACGTTGCAATGTTCGACAAAGACAACATGCCAGACAAGTAGATATTAGAAACTGGTCTCGAAGGTCAAAATGTAGACATGTCGAGAGAGCTAGAGTGGGCAGAGACTCCGAATAAGGATTCGAGAGTATACTGTGGTTCTACGTGCAGAAAATATGTGGAACAAACAAGAGTGGCAAACAGACTTGGACTTTTTGATGATCGTACTTTTCGAAGAAGGGGGTATGGGCAACTACGAAAAGCTAGGAACCGGACGCCTTCATCCCCATCCATGACCACTGCAACTGCATGATGCAAGTGGTCGTATCTTTAGACGACGCCGATGCGTGTTGTTGCTTGCGCTGTTGTTGCGAATGCACACGACCGCAGCCTTTTCCACAACCCGGCAAGAAAAAAAGAAGACGACAGTTGACGGACCACTACGATGAGCGATGCGCTTATTTGTCCTTCTTGGTCTTGGCACCCTTGACCTTTGCGGTACCGGTGAGGGTCTTCATGCGGTTCTTGCGCTGCTTGCCTGTGATGAGGTGTGAGTGGTTGATTGTGAGGNAACAGGTGATCGGCTCAACGTACGCTGCTGTCTCGAGGCCTTCTCGATCTTGGTGGCCATGCCAACACGGACAAGACGGTAGTGGGGCTCGAATTTCTTCATGGCCTCGTTGGAGTCGTAGATGAGGGCGAAGCCAGTGGACTTGCCACCACCGTACTGGGTGCGGAAACCGAAGACGGAGACCTGGTCTTTGTCGGCCTTGTAGAGCTCGGAGAGCTTCTGGCGGAGCTCATCCTTGGAGACGTTGGGACGGTTGGGGTGGAGGACATCACTGCAAGCAAGGAAAGAAGCCCTAGTCAGTACTGGATCTCAATATAGAGGAGATCAATCGTGCCGGCTGCCTCTGCTGCCACTGCCGTCGACGTAGTGTCTGCGCCTTGCCCATGAGAAACGAGTGCCCGAGAAATGCGGAGTCGATGGAAGAAAATTTCCTTCGCTGATCCTTCCTCCACACATGGCGGCGCAATGTTGAATGTCGTCTGGTCCTCCTCTTGCTTCTCGTTTCCATGGGCGCAGGTTGACATCCGGTCTTTGGCAGGGCGGCGTCGGTGCTCTAGCGGTGGGGAGGGGGCGAGAGAGACTCACACGACCATCTGCTTGCGGGCAAGCAGGGGTTGCGGATGAACTTGCGGGTGCGCAGAGTAACTTGAGCGTCGGCCATTTTTGCGGTATGGGGATGGGATCGATGGTCGTCGAAAAGTTCTTGTCGTCTCAAGCAGAAGTAAAAGCAGAAACCTCAAGGACGGCCGCGCAAATTCGACGGGCAGACTGGCGTTTGTGCGTGGTCTGTGCTGCTCACTGCTTGGCGCGGCCGAGGATGTCGAGCCGCTTCTGCTGTTCACTTTTTGTGCATCTTTATGCATCGCCGACCATCACTCGTGAATTTTGCGTCCTTGCGATTTGCACCTTTGATATCCAATTGCTCATGACATGATCCAGAACATGCCGTCGGAGGAAGCCTTGCATCAGATTCGTCTGTTCCGCAGGCAGTATCTGCAGCTGCTCGACGCCCATAATCTGACCTGGCCGTCTTCAGAGACTCTCCGCTCGTCTCAAGCCCAAGAATGGATATATGAGAATCTCTTCCAAACAGACAATATTGCACACTTTTTGCCTCCAGAAAGATATCGTCTCCGTATCTTGAAGCTACTCATGTCCAAGATTGAGAACTCCACTGTAGATCCAGAAGAAGATGTAAGAGTGTTCTTGTCTTTTTCCTCTTTTTGTCTGCTTTTCTGATGTTTGGGCCTTCGTTGTGATTAGGAAATATCGGATAACCTCATGTCTACACTAGCTGAGCTCATGTTCTCTCCTATGCCGGATGATGCGACTGCTGCCCAACAACGGAACTGGGTGACATATACACCACTCGCTCCGGGTGCGCCTATAGCGGGCGATGAGCCTGAGTTGAAGTTGCTCGAGAACCGTGCAGTTATCTCAGGTGCAGGTACCACTGGTCTGCGTACATGGGAAGCTGCCCTCCACCTCTCTGCATATCTTCTTTCCTCGCCTGCTCTTATGGCAAGTGTCAAAGGCAAGAAGGTGATCGAGCTTGGTGCTGGCACAGGACTGTTGTCCATCCTATGCGCCAGCCATCTAGGTGCTTCCCATGTTACAGCTACCGATGGCGACGAAGGAGTTGTTCAGGCTTTACAAGAGAACGCAGCCTTCAACGACGTCAAGGATACTATGGATATTGGTGTATTGTGGTGGGGTCGAGCACTGAAGGGGTCTTGGATGTTTGAGAAAGACCCTTCGTTCTCTTGCGATCTGGTCCTCGGTGCCGATGTCGTGAGCGACACATCATTCGTTTTTACTGGAAGACACTAACACTCGTTTCAGACATATGACAAAGCTGTCATCCCAGCACTAGTCTCTACCATGAGAGACATGTTTGAAGCCTGGCCTCATGTCCAAATTATCATCTCAGCAACCATTCGAAATGCTGACACGTTTGCTGCTTTCGAATATGCTTGCGGTAGGTCGTCAAGACTACCATGATAGCGTTATGTATATTGACGTTATCATCTAGCACACAACGAGTTCAAAGTCCATGAAGTGGATTATCCNTCGATTCCCATGGAACAGCAGGCTTCTCTGTTCCATTCGACTATGGTTCCCATCAGAATCTTCTCGATCACTGCACCCGAGATGCAGAGAGACCCTTATGCAGTATAGATGATTCCTGAACTAGTCTGCTACGGCAGCTGCAACGAGGACAGATTCAAGCAGTATCAGCAATTCTTCGGATCTCTGCTCTCTCTTCGGCAGTAATAGTGTTTCTTGGCGCCTGCTTAATGACCTTTGCTGGGTTGCCTGCCACAACTGTGTATGGCGCTACATCCTTGTTTAGGCATGAGCACACTGTGCAGAACTTGGATGGTTCTGAAGATGGTTGAACTTACCTTGGTCACAACACTACCCGCACCCACAGTACTGCCACATCCAATCGTCACACCGGGGCAGACTGTCACATTGCCACCAATCCAAACATCCTCCTCGATCGTGATTGGCTTTCCAGACTCTGGGCCGTTTGTTCCGTTCCTCAGGTCAGGATCCAGAGGGTGGGTTCCAGAGTACAGGCTTACGTTTGGTGCCAACAGAGTTCTCGAACCGATGGAAACGAGACAGGTATCAATGATGGTGCAGTTGAAATTGATGAAGACACCTTCTCCTAGGCGTACGTTTGTGCCGTAGTCTGCATGGAACGGAGCTTCAACCCATGCTTCGGAGGCTAGTAGTTCTTCATCTTCATCCTCTGTGCTGCCTTCTTTGCGAGGTGGTAATGGTTTAGTATCTCCCACGATNNGCTGTTGTGTCTAAGTAATGGTGCACAGAAGAATATATGTAACTTACTCCCTCCACAATTCGACCTGACGTCTTCTGGTCATTGCCTCATCTTCTCCTGCTTTGTTGTATTTTGTGCAGGCGCGTGCACACCGACGACGCTCCGCAACTAGCTGTGGAGTGAATGCATGGTAAAGTTCCCCTCTGAGGGACCTGGCCTTGTTCTCGGAAATAGTCATGACGATAAGAGCAATATGTGCAATATCTGTCTTTGTCTTTGCTTCGAGGCAGAAGGTGGTAAGACGGTGAGATGGGCGCCAAGAGCCGCATTCAGGAGTGACGCGGGGAGACCCTGACATTGATATTGTTCCATGCATTCCAGAAGTTTGGAACCTCCGCGACGACCATCTGGGTGTTCTACGAGGCGCTGCCGCCGACGAGTGTTGCCATCTTCCTCATACGTCGCGATCCAAGATGGCACACCAAGGCGACCCAAACATCTCTGCGCCGTCTCCTACATCGCCAACCACAAACAACAATGGAGCAGCCACAGAATCTCGTACACCCCTGGTCGACCCAACCATCTATCCCGGCAAGTCGCGCTCCATCTCGTCAATCGCATTGCACGCTCTGTGCCTAGGTCTTACCCTCTCAGCCTGCAGCATTGGTACCATCCTGCTCGCCCAATCCGGCNNTTTTCGTCTCTGGCGACTCACAGAGTTCATCGCTACACTGTCCCTCTTCCACTTTCTCGAGTTCTGGACGACCGCCCGCTACAACACGTCCAACGCGAAAGTGTCCTCATATCTCCTCACCTCCAATGGNGGTTCCTACCTCGCCGCCCATGTCGCCGCAATGATCGAAATCGTCGTTACTTCGCTCTTCTTCCCCAATCTGCAGGATCGCTACAGTAATATCTATACCGTTGGCGCAGGACTGGCATTGGTGGTTATGGGACAGGTTGTTCGCAGTATTGCCATGGCGCAGGCGGGTGTCAATTTCAATCATATCCCTGCGAAGAGCAAGAAGAATGACCATGTGCTTGTCACCGAGGGCCTATACTCTTATTTCCGCCATCCCAGCTACTTTGGCTACTTTTTCTTTGCCGTGGGCACGCAGATTGTGGTGGGCAACAAGGTTTGCTGTGTTTCTTATTTGATTATCCTGTGGTTCTTCTTCAAGGATAGGATTAATTGTGAGTGCTCTTCTTCATCCTTCTCTTTGTATGGTTGCTAACTCTTATGATCTAGANNTGAGGAACAAGATCTAGTCAAATTCTTTGGTGATGATTACCGCAGTTATCGCCAAAGAGTTGGCACTGGCATTCCGTTCATCCCATAGAATCTGTGTTCTATGTTGTTGCCATACAAGGATATATGAAAATCCAGTTTGAAAGCAATACATCTAATTCCTCTTCTAGTATGAGTTGCGTATGGGTTGCGTATGCGTGTTGTCTGATCTCCTAATCGTGACCACTGATATGACTCTACTCTTTTAATGTTTCTGTAGCAACTCTCTTCACCATTGCTCTCGACTTACCATTATCTGTGCCCTTGATTCTCCCCATCATCTTTGCCTACCTTTGCAATTTTGCAATCAAATGTTGCATCACTCGAGGTCTACTGCCTTCCTTGCCGTCGGGTTAACTGCTTTCCTCGAATTCAGGCAAGCGCGACTCTCAGGCAACAGCTACGCACTTTCCCACTAAGCGCAACTACCTTACACTATTCGTTTTTCCACTCGACATGCACGGTTTTCAGTCTTGGCTTGATAGTCATCACACTTTCTATTCTCTGCTCTTCTCTTCTCATAACGCCATCATGCCTAGACTCAAAGATCATCCCCTTACATCGAAAAGCCAGCGACAAAAGATATCGTGACGGCCGCGACATTCCAGCTGTCTACAACCGAGGCAATTGTTGCGCAGCCAAATACTACATGGAGACCTATCGAACAGTCCATATGGCTTAGGGATACGAAAGATTTAGGCCTGCCAGGATCTTTAGCTACACGAAGGAGGCACTGAGGTATGAAACATTAATTACATATACACTGATCTCTAGATGCTGACTGTTTTTAGAAGAAGAAGGAAGCTGCAGGAGCTTGAGCAACAACAGCTTCTGAAGCTAGAGACAAGGAGAGCGGAGCCATTGACCACTATCTGCCAGATTGACGACCGCCCTGCACTGAACGACAACCATCCTGCACTGGACAACGACCATGTCCTACCGGACGACTACCACTCTCCACAGGATAACCACAAAGATATGGACGACCTTCCCTACGACCAAGATGTGGAGTACGACAAGCTCGACAACGAAGACGAAGACCTTCTAGATCTGCCTAGCACCTACTGGGAATCTGACTCAGTGTTTGGCTCCGCTCAACCCATACCTGGAATCGATAGCGGATCGAGCTGGATCCCAAGTTCTTTGCAAACGGACGAGATAGACGAGATGTTGAGATCACCATTCGCAACCAGAGGCCGCGGCCACGACAGAAAAGGGGTGGTGTAAAGAACAGCAACACGTACCTAGATTCGCCCGAAGAGGAAGCCGTAGTTTTAGTGCTAGGTATTTGCTAGCCTTAATGTCGAAGACATAGATGATGGTGAGGACAAAGGAGAGGAACCGGTTGAATTCGAGAGATGCACTAAGTCTCTCTATCAAAGCAAGGTTACGCCTACATCTTTACCTATACCCGTGTATCAGAACAAATACAGTAGCATTGCCATCATACCTCTAAGACAGGCCAAACATGCCAGCAATGTGTGCAAAAATAGGGTGACATGTAACGAATATCGAGAAGAAGAATCACTATATACAGATTACATCGAAACAAGATGAGATGTGTTAGGAAAATGGCACCGGAAGCCGAGCCATCATACCTCCCTAGCATTCTAGAATATGACAAAAACCAAACCCTGACAATTCTACAAGAAGCCTATAGCAAAACATGTTGCTAAACAAGCAACAGTATCGACAATGCCAAAATCTTAATAAAGAAGGTTAAAGGTGGTAGGCTTACTGGACTGTGGAATGTCTGCTCGGTTTCAAAAGTACAATAACCAAGGGTCTGGATATTGGCTAGCTGTAGTTTCGACGAAGACACCGTGGCGAGGAAGATTTTTGGTTTTGTGGCTATTATATGTTCGTTGGTTGCATTCGGACCTGTAGCTGCCCCCTTAAGAAGTGGATCAGAACTTGTTGAAGCTGGCGATTAAGCTCTCAGCCACTGCTTTTCTAGAGGCGTCCATCGAAGCCGTAAGCTAGAAGTCTGGCTAAGGTAGGTCTTTGTTGATGTACGGCTGGAGTTCACCGCTGGAAATGGATGGTTGGTTGGCAGCATGGGCTAAGATGGAGAGCGGTCCTGTTGTGATGATGCTTTAGCATCTGCTTAGGGTTCTCGATTAAGACTCCCATGATCTCAATCACGAGGTTTGCAGCTCTGGCCTTCAGCACGCAAGTGGTAGTTGTTAGGATGACAGAGTGTCTGTAAGGTTAGCGACCTCTAGCGATGTACTCCAGAAATCAATCATGGCATGCGAAGAAGTATTCTCGATAATGAGTAGAGAATAGTGTCCAGGATCGAATGGCCATGACGTGAGTTATGAGTGGCAGCAGACGCTTATAGGAGCCATAAGAGGCAGAATACGACAAGATTCTTCGGAAAACAAGCCGCAGATGTTGTATTGGTGACCTGTATGCTGTTGTCCGTTCAAGAGCCAGTGGAGGAGAGAAGACAACATCGGAAGTTCATGCTTTGTAGGCTTGAAAGGCTTGTTCGGTCGTGTTTGTTGTGCTCCTACTTGGACCATTGTCGATTGTCCCTGTATCTTGAGGTCACCTACTGGTGATCGTAGACCGTATGAGCTTATCAGATGCTGAATGAGAGCCAGGCGAGAGCATCTACAGAGACCTGATGATGTACGGATATGACCATTGACAGAAGGATTGTGAGGGCATCGGTTCAAGTAGCGTTCTCAATCACGATATCAATCCTGAGTCCAATGGTATAGAGGTCCCTGACCTTCCCACCACGGTGATCAACGGACCGGGCAGGGTCAGTTGTCCATCTATGTGTGATTGGAAGTACACAAGAAAATTAGACGATCACGACATTCAACAAGCCCCTTTAGCTCAGTTGGTAGAGCGCGGCACTAGTATCGCTAGATCATGCCGAGGTCGCCGGTTCGACTCCGTCAGGGGGCATAGCGCTGTGCATTCGTTTTGGTGAGGCCGATGTGGTTGAGACGAATTTTTTCGTTGGTATGGCGGTGTGGGACGTGGTTGTGCAAGCGAAGCCTGCATAATTTGTCGCAAAGCTTTGTGCACGATTGCAGAAATGCGGGAAATCGTCGGCGTGACATCTACCGATCGCCATTGTTTCTTGACCTCGCTCTTTCGAAGCTCTGAACAGAACCGTAAACTTCCAAGTTGCTCACATCGTCTTACGTCATCTTGAATGAGAAGGGTCGTGAAAGTGACAGGCATGTAGGCATAGAGTAGATTCCTGATCCTTTGTCAGTCGTCCCTCGTGTTCAGCTCAGTATATTGAGGAGGCTGACCAAACTGGTATTGCAACGTCCATACAAGTAGCGATCGCAGATAGAGTTGGAGTATAAATCCGGCCACCTCATATCCAGCCTTTGTGATACGCCACTGGACGGACACCACTCTGTAACAACCTCATATCTCTCTGTGCCGTGTAGGGCATCCAAAGTCTGTGATAGTGTTGTCCAGTGACCAGTTCTCTCTCTTATCAGACCACCGGTCAAGCGGTTGTGTTTGGAGAGACAGTCCGTGTACTCATCCAGAGATGTCTTGCAGACGCGCAATAGTTTGCAGAGTTGGAGGACCAGGCTCGCAGGTATCCAAGTACCTTGGACAGAGTTTCGAACCCATGAGACTTTTGCTGACAGGCGCAAGGGAGCACGGCAACGTTCTGTGCTTTCAAGAAACAACCATCATCCATGTCGTCTATCCGGATGCAATGGAGCAAACGATGACAAGGACTCGGCCAGGTTTGTGCGTGATCGTCAGCATCTCCGCATGTTCTCGGAGTGGGGATAACCGTTGGCAGAGTGAGTCCGTGCTCCACTTGATTGCATCTGCATGTTCAGCACCAGCCTTCCCTCTCCGCCGGGATTTCACCTGAAAAGTTACAGCCACAACTTGGAAGACTTGGACATATTTATGCGCGGCCGGTAGATCCTGGCACCACGCTCAGTGACGATTCGCTGGCATCGGGCGGACAGCAGCCGCTCGTGCAGCCTGTGCCGCTCTTGTTCTCAATCCAACCACCTCTTTTGAGACACGGTGGAGTCGAGTAGAGCAGACATCCAATCCGGCAAGCGGCAAGAAGTTTATCTAAAGCTAAACGGGCAGCCCGACGCTCATCACTCTGCATGCTTACTCGACCTTAGAGTTCTTGCATGCATTCACCTACACGTACGCCCGCGGGTCTCGTCCTGCTTGACACGATGTGGAAGTTGCGAGGCATATTGCCTCTGCCATATATAGGCAATGCGAGTGTCCACAATCTTTGCACCGTTTCACCTCGGGCAGGCCCTCTTGCTGTCTGACCCCTCTGTCAATTGTCCCTCAAACTCGCATATTTCCCTCGAAGGTTTCCCAGAGTGCTATGGACTAGTTCTTGTTACCCTGAACTAAAAGCATGATACTTGACTATAGTGATCACATTTATCCCCCGTCGTTTCCAAGACGAACGTGAAACACCTGGCTCGTCATTGTGCTTATTGCATCGATCACCCTTCCTCTGCGAATGCCTTTCTGCAAAGTGAGCGAAGCGGCTGAGAAAGCGAAACACCAGCACGAACTGGCCCAGTAGAGTCTCACCGTGCTGGAATTCTCAGTCGCAACTGCTTCTGTCCTGCGACCATGACTTCCTTCAACACCACGAGTGGACTCAATTCCACCATCGGATTCAATGCAACAACACCTGCAGGTTTCAATCCCGCGGACGGTCTCAATGCCACAGCGGTATCGCCAGGTACGCTTGACTGGGTTCAATCCATACCATGTCTGACCAATGCTAACCGCGCATCTCAGCCAATTTAACTCGCGATGGATTGCCTCTCCAACCACGTCTTACACCCGCGTTCGGTGTGGCCGGTGCCTTGCTCATTCTGACTGGTTTCGCATACGCCTGCGCCAGTATCAGGATCATAAGGTCCTTTACAGCATGGCCTCGCATATGTTTGCTCGCTAACCAATGATCGNNCAGGCTCTACATGTCCCTCAGTTGTGTCTACCTCGTTAGCATTTGTGTTACCGTATGTGTGCTACCCCTTCCGTTCCACCATGATGCTGATCGCCGTGCANNGGTCCTGATAATCTACGTAATGCCCGCACCAGACGCAAACGTTAGCGATGGTATTCAAGGCGCATACCTGGTCGGCATAGTCGTGCCTGGCATTATACTTGGCGGGATCTGCGAACGTTACGTCCAATGGCTGGCGAAACGTTCTGGATGCATTGTAGGAGGCTTCTGCATCGCCATGTGGATCGAGGTACTGGTCCCAGGAGGTCTCATTACATCGTCTCCAATGCTCGCTGTCTTCATTGGAATCATGTGTCTTGCTGCTCTCGCACCCTCATTTTCCAAGAGAACGAAAGAGCCGGCGTACATTATCTTTTCAGCATTTTCTGGCACCACAGCGTTTGTTTTAGGAATCGACTGCTACAGTCGTGCTGGGTTGAAGGAGTTCTGGGTATACACATGGCGTACGTCAGAACTACATTATGGTGTTTCTTCCACTGACTCGTTACANGAATTCCACAGGGTCGAGCTCTTCGGCTTCGGAACCACAACCTACCCTTTGACGAGAGATATCAAAGCCGAGATTGGCATGATCCCCGTCCTTTTCCTACTTGCGATAGTGTTCCAAGGTAAATTCTTCAAACCCATTCGANNCAGAAAAAGGAAAGAGAGGAAGAAGCAATCGCTAGGCTCAGACAAGAACATGAAAGGCAAGAGCTTGACACCGGACGTACAATTCAAAAGGCAGCCGATAGAGAGCGTGCAACCTGGGAACAGAGATACAAGGATCCGGAGAAGAAAATGCCTGATGTCGAGCAGAGACAAGTTNAATCCACCATCTCCATCGAANAGCTGGAAAAGATTCCACGGCGCGGCGAGCTTTGTCCTGGACAAGTTAAAGCCTGATACTCGCACCTTGCTGACAACAAACAACCTCGAACGGCAACGCGACGAGAGGCCCGCTACTGACGCCTTGGTAAAATCAAATGTCCAAGCACAGCACCATGACGGGATTACTCCCGTCAAAGCTCCCAAAGAGACCACCGAAACAGCGTTGGACATCTCGCCAGCACCGCATTTATCGTCCTCCCCGCAATACCCTAGTCTGAGGCCAACCTCGTATCCACCTCCGCCCATCCTCCCACAAACAGGTTACGAATGCGACACATCTTCCGACGGAGTAGACTATGTCAACATGGGTTCTCCGAATACCTCGTTGCCATTCCTTACGGATAGAGTCAGCTCTTTAGGTTTGGCTTTAGATATGGAACACAACGGAACACCTGTAGGACCTGACCAAGACGGATTTGAGGTTGAATCCGCGTCCCAACTCAGCAGAACATACGAAGACGAGAAATTCGCCCCTACACCGATCAGACTGTCACAGCAAGATCTATCCGGATGGGAGCAGCAAATCACTCAAGGACCACTTGGTGAAAAGGCCGCGGACGAAGAGCGTCTAGCTTCAGTAAATCACGACGACACGGACGAACTTCAAAATGCCCATCTTGGACCAAATTGCTCGGATTTGGGCGAGGTTCCTGAGACTCATGATCATGTTGAGTCTTCTACACCCATCGCCGAGTCTTCTGCAGCTAAATGGCAGCAGAGAGAAGAGATAATGAGCCGGACGCATGAGTGGAGCAAGACATTGGTTCACGCAGAGCTGAAGTCGAGACCCTCCAGCATACGATCGTACGACGCAAAAGAGGAAACAAGCTTGTGGTCAGGATTCGAGGGCACCCACACAACTGAAGATACTTTTGAGCCGCTGGAAGGGCAGGAAGCAGTAACCTCACAGCGACCGCAACACAGTCTTGCGAGAGCAGGCCCCCTCAAACAAAACAACCGCAGGTCTAGGCGTGTCTCGGTCGTTGAGGGCAAAACAGCTATCCTACCCACACCAGTTAAGTCTGCAAGGGTCGATGAGCGTAATTCATCGCTTCCGATGCTAGATACTGGATCCACTCTCATCGGCGAACGTCTCGCAATTACAGAGCAGAAACAGAGGCAAATGTCTCTCACCAACAACTTCCTTAGCGATGAGTCTCAAGGCATTGTCGCGAGAAGAAACTTCGGATCGCATGGCAAATTCGCCAACTCAAACGATGTCGAGTCGACGGACCTTGACGAAATAACACTTGCTCAAGCACGAACGACTCTACATGCAAGAAGTATGAGCAACAGTCAAGTCTCTACGATATCGTCTCCCACGTCTCACGCACATCGCACATCGAGCAGTGTGGGTTACCAATCACCCGCCCTCACGACAGCAAGAACGACTCCGATTACATCTTCACCTGTCCATACATGTCCCCCATTCATGATGGTCGCTCACCCGCTACGGAAACCTTACCCAATGCCTCCATGCGAAACCTTCCAGTCCACAGCCCCACCATATCGGCATTCAGGCGGAGTCTCCACTCCAAGTACAGCTTTCACTCTTAGTGGCGTGAATGACCCAGCTACTGTCATGCAGAACAACGACCCATACACCCCACGCGCACCCAGACGATCTTCCGTCCCTGTCGGTTTTGCTGCAAAACCTACTTTAATGCACCGCATGGAGTTCGACGAGAGTCTCAAGAAGCAGAATCAAGAAGCCTTACTCAGAGATCAGAGAAGAGGCGCGGCTGAAGCGGCTCAGAGCAAGAAACAACTGGACAAACAGCGTCGCAGAACACTCGAAGCTGAGAACATGATGAGAAGGGGACACCTCGATGATGCACACAGAGAGGCCATGAGGAAGATTCAGAGGCAGGCCAACAAGAGCTTCCAGCAAGGCTAGTCAAGCCAGAAAGAAAGAAGCACAAAATTCACACAAAACATAATCAAATCAGGGCATCAAGGCTAGGAAAACCCTGACGGAAGGAAGGATCAGACGTTTGTTCCACAACATTGCTGGAAGGTGCAATCCAGGCGCTTGAGGCCATTTGCTTTTTCTAATCTTCATCTTTTTCCTTTGTCTAATATGGGTAATAATATCTTATCGATTCGGGAGGGGAGCTACGAAACTACGATGCATGAAGTATGAAATACGATACCCTCAAAATAAAAACTACACTCTTTATACACCTCTTGATTGTTTTGGGTTCTCGTCTTCATTTCCATGCAAAGAACGTCAGCTATCCCTTGGTCTTTAATCATCTTTGAAAACGTTCATGTTCATCCACCGTCCATGTCATTCTTCGTATCCTTCTCATGTGCTACAATCTGTAATTCCACCCTTCTCCCACAAGAACGTAAAGCGAATGATACGCTACAAAAAGGCACAGTTGTTTTCTGAGATAGAGGGGAGCCAATGAGGATCGCTAGAATATTGGTACTCGGTGGATCCTGCTCTGTTTCTTGATAGCACTGTGCATTAATATAGCTGCATGTGTTACATAGTTTAATATAAATGAAGCATCGGGCACGCTGTTGTGTCTTTGATCTACACACTTACGAACCGTTTCTTTGCAAACAGAGGGGCGTTGATATTCTGCTATATTGGCGAGATTGCAATCAGAAGCGTCGAAGTCTTTGGGCAACTGGGAGGGAAGTGGCTTGTTGGTCTAGTCAACACGACCAGTTTGCCAACCGCAGTGATAGTTGATCGAGTAAAAGCATATTGCCGAGGGAAGATGTGAGAAATAGCGGGCAAGCAATCAAAAAAGACAATACAGATTCAGTGGATGAAAAGCATAGGATAAAGACATTATGGATTTCGTGACGCATCTCCAACTCTTCCTTATATACAAAAAGCCCACCACACTCGATGAAGAGGTGCATCTATCTGTGATACTGAATATTGTTGTCAGCAATCAACTTCATACCCTCAGCTCTCCAGGTATCGGGCTCAGCATGACTGGTAACATTGGCATCAAACACCATGTTCTGTGGGTTAGAGACACTATACACCGGCCAGGTTGGCAAACTCGAGTTCTTGCCCGCATAGCCATTAGGGTTCAGGTCGTGAACAAAAGTAACCCAACTCTTGCTCATGAAGTCTGAGAGCTCAGTGAACGCAGAGGACTTGTTGGCAAAAGGATTGATTGCATAGCCAAGACCGTTGAGGTTGTTAAACACGAAAGCGACTTCTTGGAAGTGGGCGACGTAGGTGGAGCCGGTAGGGATGGCGTTGAAGCGGTATGAGTAGGCGGATACGTTGTTGGCGGCCCAGGTCTCGCAGGTTCTGCGGCGGTTGGCGATGAAGACCTCGTCGCCAAAGTAGGCGGCAGAGGCGCGGTAGGAGGGGCCGAAGCGAGGGCCGAGAGAGGTGACGTTTTGGCCCAGCTCTTCAGTAGAGGGGATCAGGTAGTCGGGCTGGCCGGAGGTGTAGACGGCGAGGAGGTCCTCGACAAGATCGGGTGTCAAGGCGAACTGGGTAGAAGAAGTAGTGTTCAGGTACTTCTCGAGGCCGGCGGTTGAGTTGACGGGAGCGGGACTGAAAGAAACACCTTCATCGCTGTTTGCGCCGTTAATGATGGGGACGTGGACAAAGCTCCGTCGGCCAGCTGTTCACTGCCGTAACGAGCGATGAAGTCGCCGTCGAGAGCAGGGTTCCAGCCGCCGCTGAAATCGGTAGTGTTCAGGATGTTGTTGAGGACAGTAAAGGGCAGAGCACGCAGGCAGTCCAGAGTGTTGGTAGAGTTTCCGCATCCAGCTGCCTTGGTGAGAGCAGAGTATTTGGGTTGGTAGGAGCTGGTGCAAGTCAGTCATGAGCTGTATAGTACTCCTCCCCATGCGTGATAGACTGTCGCCATGTAGTTATAGAAATGCACAATACTTGCCATGAGGGAGCTACCTCCACGGAGAGAGCGTTACGTTTAGGTGTCTCCATGGTGACACCTCTTTCTAGAAAGAAACTGTGCATTTCCATAACTTGTGATGACACAACGAATTGGTGTGGGAGAGGGCTGATTGTGGGGTTGTGGTCGTCTTTGGCACCCGGGAAAGCAGGAAAATTCGGACTTACTCTGAGCCGTTCAGGGCATTGTAAGCAATGGCGTTGCCGGATTCCATGATTGCACCACGGAACAGCTTGTCGTCACGGCCGTTGTATGCAACCAAATGGAAACCAACCGAGGCCGCGCCAGCTGCAATCGTTAGAACAGTGACAATACGAAGATCGAATGGAAAACTTACCAGATTCACCCATAATAGTGACCTTGCTTGTGTCGGCACCGAAGGCAGCACCATTCTCTTGAAGCCAATGCAAAGCCTTGCGTTGGTCCTTGAGTCCGATGTTGGTCTGACCAGCACCGGCAATCTCATCACCGTTGAGGAAACCAAAGGGACCAAGTCTATAAGCAACACTGGCAGCCATGATGGGCTTACCAACCTTGACGGAGTTCTCGACGAGGAAGGTCAAGTTGTATCTGCGGTCAACTGCACCACCCTATGGAAATCGTCAGCATGGCGACCATTTGAGGATCAAAAAGGACATACCATGTAGAAGCCACCGCCATGGATCCAGACAACCATTGGCAGACTGGCATTCTCGTAGCCGGAAGGTCTGACGACGTTCAGGTAGAGACAGTCCTCGCTCTGTTGGTAGCCCACCTGATCACCTCCGTAGCCTACGCACTCGAATGCATAGTTTGTTGCTGGCAGGGCTCCAGTCCAGGATACGTTCAAGGTCTCGGGGTTGGCGAAACGAAGCTCATCGATAGGAGGCTGTGCGAATGGGACACCAAGGAAAAAGTCCTGGTTGTATTGGCTGTTGTGTACACCATAGTATGAGCCGTTCTTCAAGTTGACGACTGGTGCACCAGCGGGTGCTCTGCGCAGCAGAGAAGGGGCAGCAGAGGCGGCAGAGACCGCCAGTGATAGCAATGACCAAGAAGAATGCATGTTTGGCTCGATTGACAGTGCTTGCTGGGGAGGGTACCTACTCTGGGCAGAGCCCTGTCTTTATACAACCACCATATCCTTGCCACCTACCGAGACATTGTGCCGAAGGTCACATTGACAACGACAGTGCATCTTCACAGCACATCGTGCAGCATGGATGTGACATGGGAAGTCCGTGATTGAAGAAAATCAGGACGTGCAAGCGGGGCATGATGGGGAAATGTGGAGTGCAGCGGGGTCCGTGGTTTGCAACCTTTCCTGAAGAGGCAGGGTGTACCTGGGGAATATTGTCACTGCTAGACCAAAAACATGGCAAGATTGACAAGCCACCTTAGCCGACAACAACCCGCAACCCGCCATCCCCAACCCACGAGATGGAAACTCTAGCATCCGGCTGTCATGACGTCGGGCATCTTGAGTCAGGAAGAGACACTGTTCAGTGGAGGAAGTTTGGAGACGGAGTGGTTCGGCTGAGTTTTGAACTGCCGAATTGCTCTGGGCTCCATACCATCAGTGCCTTTCCTGCATCATGCTGAGCATATCAAGTAATGCTCATAACGACCATGTCGGGGGCTATGCTCGATCTCAAGACGGCACCATAGCCGATGGACGTCGGGTCCGATGTCCTGCGTTTTTTCATGAAAGGGAAGCTTAGATGATTGTTTTGATATGCACTCATATCAAAAACAATCAGAACATTGTCCGATCACCTTCCCCAAGTAGAAATCCGATGTCCTCAAAGTGAAGTGCATACAAGTGGCCTGGCACGATGCATACTATATAGGTAGGTGGCATTGCAAGTGCTGCTCGAGTTCAGCCGCAACACGGCCCAATGCACCATGCAGAAGCTTCATCACATTCGTACATCCGCTCCTGAAGGCTTGTTCGCTAGCAAGTGACACCCTCATGGACTCTGCTGGTGGACATGACTTGAAATGGATATGATGTCTCATGGCAGTTCTGCCTTCATTGGTAATGTACAAGGTTTATACAAACGTCTTTTTCTCGTCTCCAGTTTATCTGCCTGTGAGCATATTGGCGATAGAGCTCCAGTACTTGGGAGTGACGGTCTGCTGAATCTCTTCGCTCGAAAGCCACTTGAACTCCTTGTCGCCATATGTGTTGGCCTTGAGGTTGGCCTGACCAGCCATGATGCGAGCCTTCATGAAGAAGGTACGCTCGCCGACCTCCTCGACCTTCTTTTCCGTGTTGGTGATAGTCTTCTTGAAGTTGCCTGAGTAGTGGCCAATGGGTGCGTTTCCAACAACCCATGTGTTCATGTTGATACCTCCCGCTTGTACGATGATACGCTCGGCAGCNNCTAGAACTGTCAGTGATATGGTTTTGGGGAATCTCGCGCCTTGCCGACTTGGGAGGCTGAATGTGTAAAATGTCCGACTAACCTGGTCCAGACCCTCAGGGCCCTTAATCTCGTCTTCAGGGAATCTCCAGACGCCGTTCTTGTTCTTGACCAGCAAGTACAAGGTTCTGTCAAGCAGTCTGTTCAAGCTGGTGTGGTCGCCCTTCTGATCTTGTTCTGTGACTCTGGGCAATGGCCGTTGCACGACAATGTCCTGGCTAGTCTCTCTCTTGGCTCCTGCTTCGCCATCGGTTCCCTCAGCGTCTCTGATCAAAGCCTCGACTTGCGACTCGGGCTCGCTCGTCTTGTCGTTGACCAGAACTTCGTCGTTCCAACCCGACTCGCTGTATGCATTGTAGACACCAACGTCACGGGCAGGGGTCTTTCTCAGCAGCATCTTGCGCTTCCATTCGCGATCTCCGGGAGTTCCTTTCTTGTAGTAAAAGTAGCGTGTGAAGGGCAGTGCCAGACGTTCGTTCAATCGTTTTTGGTAGAGGAAGAAGGCTTTTTCGAAAGGGTGGAGCGCGCGTGTCAGAATGGGAGGTCGTGATAGTACTACGCCAGTGCGTAGCTGGTATGCTGATCGGGTAGCTGGCAAGGCAGATGCATCCTGTGTGGTTTGGGACGGGGTCGGTGCCTCAGGGGCAACAGCGGCAGCAGTAGATGCTGAGCGGTATTGAGATAACCGGGCGAGGCAAGAGTTGCAGACGGATTNCTGGTGTCGAGCGGGCTGGCAATGGGTCAGAGTGGCCAACTATCTAGTATCGACAGACTTACTCGATGATGCGACCAGCCGCCCGGCAGTTCTTTGACCCGAGTTCATGGCGAATTGTACTGTCTTCCAGTCTGTATCGCCCATGCGAATGCGCCGTCGCTGCTGCAACTTTTCGAGACTTGTGCTTGGCACTGGCAACACGCACGGGCCTGCCGGCCGCTCCTTCTCTTTAAAAGCCTGCCTTCTCTCGCTCCTCTTCTTTCCTCTCTCACGCGTTCCTTATCATCAATTGCCTCGATTCTCAACCGCATATTGACCATTTTTAAAGCGCGTAGATTGAAATCGCAAGACTTTTTCGCTAGCCGTGGCTTTCAAAAATAAACCGAGCCCCAGCTAGATAGTTTTTGCAAAATCTATATTCGCATACGTGATGTTTCTGTTAGACCTCTATGACCCTGCTGGCCTGACCTATGGACAAGCCTCGCGGGCTCTTGGGATAAGCGTGTACTCTCCTGTTTCTCCCTACCTACCTACCTCTCAAGGAGAAGGCATTGATGTTTTGCGGTCTCTGAGATTCTAAAAGGACGTGCTGATGGGACAACCCTGACTCATTCACCGTATCATAGAGGGTGCTCTGATATTTGACGCATAGCGGTCTACAAGTTCTCGCCGGATAGTAGTCTGCGTGTTGCTCCGTTTAGAAGCCTGGCAAGTGGTCTGATTCTGGCAGCAGAGCACAAACATGAATCAGCTGTTCGTAGTCGAGATTGGTTGGTGGACATGCCATAGCAACCGACCAAACCACTCAACCCCTTCCCGCTCTGCTTAGATCGCAGCCCGAACTCCCAGAGTCAGTACTGAGCGTGAACAATCTATGTAGTCAAAATGCTGTGTGATAACTTGTATTACTGCATGGAAAGGATGCTTTGAGGCAGATGGTCTGTCTGCGTAGGAGGCTTCAAGTCAAAGGTCCGGACCGTTGACACGGCGCGTCAATGCAGCTCTGGGGCTTGATAGGCAAGCCTAGGACTGGCGACTGCGCGGGTCATCGTCATGTGTGATTTCCAGGGACTTGGACATGCAATTGGAGCTGCCATGCGCTCCTTCTTCTTCTTCTAAAAGGCCACAACAGAGGTTCCTTCTTAGTCTAGGGTCTTTATCCTTAGCTTTCTTACCCATGGACTACGAGTAACGCACTGCATGCATGACATCTCCTTTGTCGCATCCACCACCACTACCATTGTTGTAATCCACCCACCGCGCACATCAACACTGGCAGCATGGCTGAGTGAGCGACCTCATTCTCTCGCAAACCAACGCCCTCTAACTGTATGACCTAGATACGGCTTCCTCGTGGCTGGCGGGCTGGCCACGCCTACTTCGAGTCACGTCCGCTCCGTGACGCCTTCTCCCAATATGCCCAGATCAGACTCGCCTACCCTGGTCAAGGCCAAATCCGCTTCACATCTGTCCACCATGAAGACCTTCTCCACNCCNCCTCGCGGCCGCTCCAACTTCGACAACGACGACGACTATCTTAATACCATTCCCGATCCACGAACACCCAGTCCAAACCCACCGCGTACAAGTGCGCCAGAAGACGAGCAGGACCAGCATCCCGACCTTAGTAACGAAGTTGCTATGCTTAGCACAAAGCTCATAAACGCCATCAACTACCAAACCAATCTGGACGACTCGCTACAGCACGCCCGCCATGAGCTTGACGCTGCGAAGCAGCGCATAGTTCAGCTGGAACAAGAGACGCAGCAACACAAGTCTCTGGTCTCAAGCGGCGCTCTCGTCACCAAACAACAAGTGGACACACTCAGACAAGAATTGACAGAGTCGCAGAAGCAAAGAGATGTTGCCGAGAAGGGCAGGAAGGAGATGGAGGTCGAACTTGAGAACCTCACTAGCGCCTTGTTCGAGGAGGCCAACACTGTGAGCGACCAACAGCAGCATATTTCAAGAAGAACATGCTAACATGCATCANNGATGGTAGCCGCTGCGCGCAAAGACGCCGAAGCTGTCGAACGCAAGAACGCGCAGCTAAGGGCTCAGCTCAACGACACTGAACTTCTTCTAGCCTCACAGCAGGAACAATTACAAGATCTGAAGAGTGTCATGGAGAAGATGACCGAAGACCGAGATCGCGACGAGACCGACACCATACCCCGTTCTTCGACCGCTCCATCAACGCCCGGCGTAGACTCAACCAAGATGAGCACCATGTTTGACTCGCTCCCCTTCTCCCCCAACGCAACAAACTTTAGCGACGTTCCTCCAGACCAACCTCTACGATTCTCGCATCTCATCGTCCCCGTCATGCGTAACGATGTAGTTGCTTATGTCGACTTTGCCGATCTGCTCAAGTCCGCCCGAGCAGCTGCNCCCGCTCATTCTCGCAATTCTTCAGGCATCAGCTCAAGTATGTTCGTCGCTTCTGCCTCTTCGTCCTCGCCGAATATCCCAGGCTCCTTCAGCTCTGGCGCTGCTGCATCGCCTCGCGACACGTCATTCCAAACATCCGTACCGCCGCTCAAAGATAGCAAATTCTACAAGAGATGTCTCGTTGAGGATGTAGAACCCACATTACGTCTTGACCTCGCTCCGGGTCTTTCGTGGCTGGCCCGACGTACAGTTATCGCTGCCGTGACTGGTGGAAACCTGGTCGTGGAGCCCTTCATACCACAATCGCGCTTCTATGGGAACGCTTATGCATGTGCGCTTTGCGGAGAATCTCGCCGAACAGAGGCACATGCTCGAAGACATAGATTCCGGACCAGTGAGGACGAAAACGCTCAACGTTACCCCTTGTGTGAATTCTGTTTGGGCCGTGTCCGAGCAACAGGCGATTTCTTGGGCTTCCTAAGAATGGTTCGTGACGGGCTCTGGAGAGCATCAACCGATGAGGACATCAAAGCCGCTTGGGAAGAGAGTGTACGCCTGAGAGAGAAAATGTTCTGGGCCAGGCTCGGAGGTGGTGTGGTTCCAGCAATTGCCAGAGAGCCGAGCCCTACAGGAACTCAACGCCGCGCAGACGCAAGGTCGTTGCGCAGAAACAGCACCGAATCGAGTATTCCAAGGTTCTCGAGAGACTCAATCGAAAGCATCCACTCCAAGACATTGGAAGTCCCGAAACTCGGTGAACCTCGACCCCCGAGTCGCAACAACAGTACATCGGCTGCCAACATCAGTGATGGCAGTACGACCTCTCTACATACTTCGGAGAGCTCGGATACTAGAGACTTTGCAGATGCACAGACCGACGTGGAACACTCGGTGAATACACCAACCACGGTCAGCCATGAGGAAACAACAAGCCATCCAGATCACACAGACTCGCAAACACCACGACTAGCGCAAGAAGATGGGCCGAAAGACAATATCGACACAGTCACCGAGACATACTCACCTAAGGAGCAGTATACATCCATCATAGAATCAGAGAAGGAAACCCAAACTCCCGCAACGGACGGCCAAAACGGCAAGGAGACCGAGGCACCAGTCGAACAGTCGCCGCAGCCAGGAATGCCTGGATCCTTTGATTGAGCCTTGCATTAGCCGCTGCCTTCTCCTTTTATCACTTTTGTATACCCATGCGGGCACAAGAACAGACGCTTGCAATGAAAAAGGCCAAAGCGATACAAGTAGTATATATATGTATAAACACCAATCCTCGACGGCCTTAAAGTCCGTTTCATTTTTGAATACGCCAGTTTCTGTTTTGCACGATTTGATTGTGATGCTTTTTGCTCGTCTATACCTAGTCCTTTCCCATTTTGCTCTCTTTATATTTGACATGCGCGTCCATGGCTGATTTGAACTACAGCTCCGCGAGGTCAAGGATAAAAACATGAATAACTCAGGAAAGCAAAAAAGGAGACGAAAGGTATTGGGTCATGCACGGGACCTCACCATTTCTAATATCGTTCATGTAGTCTTCTGTCTTGTTTCCTTGCTCCACATGATGCCTTCTCTCTGTTTGTGAACCATCTTGTGCCTTTCCGTCTGCTTTTTCATATCCCGTTCTTCTTCTGGTCGATATGCAAATGCAACAAGGCGAAAACTATGCATGATGTCCCTCATCCCCGCTTCTAATAAATCCCCTGTGTACGATATTGAAACGTGTCATANNACTATTTCACACATCAAAAGTCAGTATTGCATGATCGCAGAAAAGAGAGAAAGGGAACAGAAGGCGGCAACAAGAAAACTCACAGCCTGGTGTAATAACTTCCTGCACTTTTCGCCACCAAATCATCCACATAGGCAGCAGCTTCAGGCACGCTTTTCTCTAGTACAAAGCGCTGACGCAATGAGGCGATGACATTCACCACGCCGCCAGAGTAACACGGCATTTTGGAGTCACGGCCCATGAGTTCGACGAGCATGACGATGCGCTCGGCGTCGCGGCGGAGCGCTTGGAAAGCAGTTTTCATATGTTGTTTAAACGAAGCAAAAGGCGCAGAGTCTACACCGCCGAGCACGTCGATGTACTCTTGGGTGAGTTTGAAGGNGGCGGCTTCAAAGCCCATGCTGCCGGGTGTGTTGGACAGCATGAAGCCAAAGTCGATGTGCACGATGTGGCCTACATTGTCGATGAGGATGTTGCCGTTGTGGCGGTCCTTGAGCTGCAGGATATACGAGATGACAGAGTAGGCAGCGAGGCTCTTTGCAAAGTTGTCGACGGCGGAGAGGTAGGTGCTCGAGTCTGGCTTGCCGAATGTGGTGACAAAGTGGTCGTGCAGCGTAGCGATGCGTTTGCGTGGGTTGGCGCCCGAGGCGATGGAGGATAGCGTCAGGGAGCGCTTGAGAGAGTGCAGGGAGACGCCGTTAGTGATTGTCTCGATCAGGCCTGAAGACTCGCCCGTGACGAGGATACGCATGTTCTTGACCCAGACGTCGCAGTTGGCTTCGGCCCAGATCTTGGAGCATACGGCGATGAGTTGGCATGCAAACGCCTCTTGCCGCAAATCGGCCCCAGTCTTGACAATCATGGAGATCAAGTCCCAGTTCTTCATCCAGCCGTAGGGTGAAGAGCGGCGTATACGCTCTTNTTTCATTTCCCAGGCTTCGCCAAAGGTTGCCGCCGAAGGGTCATCTCGGTCGCCTTTGCGCTGCACTCCTCCCGTCTTGATGTCGTTTTCCATGCGTGCGGCGCCTGCATTGGAACTCAAGTTGGGATCCGCATCAGCAGCCTCCAACGCAGGGTCCTCGATATCTGCCGGCTCGGCGTGCGAGCCAATGTTGTTCGCATTGGCCATGATGGCATCGAAGTTGGTGGCGTGTGCAGCATCATCAGTATAGAAGCTCTGCTCCTCCAGACTCTGCATGCTGGCAATGATCCTGGCCTTGATGGCAGCAACCTCGGCCTTTGGTCGTTTCGAACTGCTCAGGTCGAGCTGTGAAAGCATAGACGAAGCAGCTCGCATATGGGTTGCCAAGGCAGAAAAGTCGGGTTGGTCTGGTGCTTGCGAGCGGCCAGCCGCTGAAGCAAAAGGAGAAGGACTGACAGATCTACTCATCGGAAGATCAGAGGTGCGAGGGGTAGTCAGGCTTATTGATGACAAAGTGCTCACGCCACTAGACAATCGAGGGAGTTCCCTCAGCATAGCGGCGTTGGAAGGGGTGTGTGATCTAGAAATGTTGCGGGGAGTGTCGCGTCCATCCAGTTCCTGCAATAAGGCAGGGCTAGCCAAATCGCCGGATGCAGGCTCAAGAACGCTGTCATTCTCGACTGTCGTTTCACTCTGATAGCGAGCAGATTCTCGTGATGCATCTGTGATGTCGAACAGACGACGCTTAGGCTTCCCCTTCTCGAGTACCAGTTTGGTGAGAAGTTGAGTATTTTGGTCAGACTCTGGATCGAAATCGAAATCCTCGCGCAAGACTTCAACCATCAACAGGTAAGGCACTCTCTCGGCACTGTTCAGACTAGTGGCCTCGGCAGGGTTAAGCCTGACAATACGATGATGTTGGCTACGGCTTGCACTGCCGTCTGGGAGGGTCGCGGGACAGAGCAAAGGCACGTCGACCTCTGCAGGCAGGTCTTGAGCGATTAGAGCGAGCTCAGCACGAAGAGCACTCAATCTGGCAGGCTTCGGCACAGCTACCAAACGATTCGAGATATCCTCGAGAGCGCTGAGGAATTGCGTTTGACTACGGAAATAGTTTGAACGAAGCATGCGGACTTTTTGTGAGCGTGACATGTTGGCAAGGTTGATTGCTTTTGTGCTAGCGGAATGACGGCGGATCGAGTGCTCTGTGTGCTGGCGAGACAGACGCGGCGGTTCGGGAGCAGGCTGTGACGGAAGCTCTGGAAGAGACGATGTGCTTGCAAAGGCCTGGTTGTTTTGTGTTGCACGCAAAGCTTCCGCCATGGCGCTTTTGCTAGTCGGCTCTTTCGTAGGTGTCGAGGTATCCTTGGCTATCATTGACATGGGTCGCGAGGCTCTTCTGGGTGTAGAGGTTCCTGGTGGAGTTTGCGCATCCTTGGTTGCTTGAGGTGGAGGACGGGGTCTTCTGCTCCGCCCAGGGGCACCTGAGACAGTATGGCTCCTAGATATTCGCTGTGGTTGTATGTTGTCCGAAATGGTCTCTTCTACAGGACGAGGTCTCCTGGCTTGTGCAATGGCCAGCGGACCAGCATGGCGAGGAAGGAAGGGCGCGGCTATGGCACCGAGCACAAGACTGGACAGTAGAGTGACGGGTAAGACATTGTCGGTGATCTTCTCTCGGCGGACGGGCTCAGATGAACCAAATACGATGCGTTGGACTCGGTTGTAGACGCGGCGGCATGTTTTGAAGGCGTTCGAGGTGGGCGTTTGGGCGAGGTCGCGGAGGTATGTTTGTAGGAGCCAGAAGGTNNCTGCACAGGGGCCGTGTTAGGAAGTTGCAAGTGTCAAGGAAGGATGTAACAAAATAGAGGAAGGAGCATATGTTAGGAAGGTGCGCCGTACCAGAAGAGCGCCATTCACCGACTCTTCGCATAGATCTAGGATGAAGTCCTCGAGCGCCATGCTTTCGTTGTCTAGCGACATGACCAGGTGGCATAGCTGCGGTAGGAAGAACTCAATGTCCTCGTAGCTGAACTGGCGCAGCTTGGAGCAGAGGACGTATTGGATACCAACATGGTCGGCATATCGAGCCAGATAGGCCACAGTCAATGACGGGTCCCTATTGAAGTGTTCCGACTCGATGAAGCGCTCGAGCAAGTTCCAACTCATCGAGTCCAGGCAATGCGCATGTTATGAAGAGCAGAATGTAACAAGCGAATGTCGCACGACTCGAGTTTCGTACTTGTATACCACAAGAAGACACCGAGGCTGTCCGAGTTGCGTGTGCTTCTCCAACAAGGGTCCAGCCATCATCCCAGATCCACCTTCTCCTGAACTCCATTTGCCCATGCACCAACAACATCAATATCAATCAACAACGGTTGCACAATACGAATGCCCCTAATATTCTCCCCATCACCAACCCCTTTCTCGTCCGCGACATCTAAACACTCAAGTTGGCGGATATAAGTCTCGGAGAAGACCGATACGAGTAGGAGCAAATGCACCATGACTACTACCCTCTTCCCGACTCTTCATTCATGTCCATGCCGTGATTGTCCTGCAACGAGGCATTGTAAATTTACCCGCTCTACTACATCTCTACCGCTTCCTGCCATTACTTCCTCAATCCACGCCTGCATACAAGTCGACCACGATATTGATGACGGCCACCATGATCTCGGCTGCAATCAGCACAATCACAATCCACTCCAAGTATTCACCNNTGCATCATACGTCAGCCTAGTTCTATCATGTCTGCGTTGTCCGCTTACCGTGTGAATGTGTCAACTGATCCTTCAGCACTGCCAGGAGATCTGCAATGACGTCCAGTCGTTCCGTCAAGAGACTCACTCTCTGATCCATCTCCAAGTAGCTCCTCACGGCCTGGTAAACCGGATCGAGTTGCGGTTCTGCCCACATGAGTTCCGGCGCGTCCAGCACTGATCCCTGCAGATGGATATTGATTCGTAGGATAAACAGCTCTCCGATCTGCATGTTGATTTCCTTGCGTGACATGTTGACTTTGCCTGTCAGTGCGATTTGTGCTGGAATCTCCTTGTTGACGTCGATGGTGTTGTCTACCAAGTCCTCGTACAATGATGTCTGCAACACGAATTAGTCCCGCGTGTTTGCTTGCTCTTGGTTGATGTACAAACCTTNTGTACTCTGTGCCAAAGCATGACTGATGGCCAGCTTGGTCATGTAATTCTTCTTTTCTCTCAAACTGATAAAGTCGTTGTAAATTCGAGCCTGGTATTCTTTGGTGTAGTAGAAGTTGAAGTTTTCTTGTTGTATGTCGTCCTTCGAGAGTTTTTCGGTCTCAAACTTGGCGAGCTCCTTCAAGAACTTCTGCTCGTGCTGGACGGACATGCCCCATATTACAACAACTCCATACTCAAAGCAGAAGACTTCGGGAACGTGGACTGTCGTGTCGAAGTCAGGAGTGTCGTTTTGCGGCATGATGAGGGCTTCGTTGGACGTCGATGCTTCGTGGTTCTCTAGTATGGCTGACTCTCCATTCTCGTCCTGCAAGTCCAGCAAATCCTCCCGTCTTCTCTCAGCATTACCTTCGACCTCAATAGCACTATCGGAGAATCTACGTTGAGCGGTGGAGTGCACGACCTTTGCGTCTTCGATCTGCGGCTCTGATTTGGCGTTGTATTGGTATGGGGTGTATATGCACTCGTCGAATTGCTTTGGTGCAGCCTNTTTAAGTTTGCGACCCTTGAGGAAGCGCAACAGATCTTCCATGCGGTATGAGCTGGCGGTGCAGTATGCTGTGACACGAGGCAGCTTGTTTCTGTCGTCCTTGCCCAACCTTGCGGCATCACGGCGGGCAGTCGGATCCTTTATCCTGGTGAATTGCGAGTAAACGTCGCGACCACTCTCTTCGTCAGGACCGTCGTCACCATGTTCGGGATTGGGTAAGAGTTTTAGTTTTTGTGCCGTCCTTGTTGTACGCTGGGGACCGATCTTTGCAGCGGGAACAGCGGGACCTATCGACAATGGAGCGCCTTGACTATTTCTTCTGCGGAGTTTGCTGTTGAGAGCCGAGAGCATGGGCTGGCTGCCATCACGCGGCGGAGTGTTTATGGTTGCGACCGAGCCTGTTGAATGTGCGGAAGCCGAAGGGAACATAGGTCTACGTGTCGGCGGGCTGCTTGTTGCAATGGTAGGATTGAAGGTGACGCTGCGAGCAGGACGATCGGGCTTCTTGCCCAGGAGGGGAGTCGACTCGGCCGTCGTCGCCATGATGGATATGATGTGTCTGAGTGTGTCGTGGAAGGGTCGGCGATAGGCTCGAGTATCGACGCACGCCTGTCTTGTCCAGTATGAGTGGTCGAAAGTGACAATGATCCTGGCAGTCCCAGACGTCTCACACCAAGCACGCCGTTCCGTCGAGGGCTGGGCGTCGCAACTTCCTCTTCTTTTCTTGAAGTCAACGTCATCAGCAGCGTCCGAGCGCTGTATATTAACCCACGTTTACTCTGTATCCTCACTATCCTTCACTGTCAAAACAAGTTTATACCTTGTTTATACTGCAACTTCTATCCAAGTCTAGATGTCTCTATACCCTTCTCTCTACTGCTTCCAAGCCTCGGCATCATCCCAAGACGGAAGTGCATACGGAATACTGTCGGGAGCGTGCTCTGGTAGTTTCTCTGTGATCAACTTCATCAACTCTCTGTAGATGATCTCATATCCTTCAGGATTCAAGTGAAGCCCATCGTGCAGCATTTGCGCAAGAGTTTGGTTCTGTTCGATCTCGCTAGATCCGGGCAATGGCTCTCCCTCCTTCCAGCCGGCTTCCTTCATGAAAGCGGCCCAAACGTCGAGCACAGGAAGACCAAATTCTTGACCGAGTTGGCGAACCGCTTCTGCGTACTTGGCCGTGTTTGAAGCAGTACGTCTCATGACATTGATGCCGTTTGTCTTATCGTGCGCAAATGCCTTTCTCTCCTCGATCGGCGGTGGAGTGAGCAAGATGAGCTGAGGCTTGTGTGCTTGCAGCATAGGGTGGTTGATGATGTCGGTCAGGTTCTTCTTGTACTGTTCGAGATCGACAGTCTGCGAGAATCCTGGGGTGTTGGGTAACCGAGCATCGTTGGCACCTAGAAAGATGGTNNCTGCGGATCCCAATGAGTAACATTTTATCGTTGCACCACATGTCAGACTAACCATCAAGCGGATACGGCCCTGCTCAGGAGTTGGAAGGATGCGAGGAAGGACACTCAAAGCCTGAGTGGTGTTGTAGCCACTGATGGTAACTTGTCAGATGGAGGCTATCATTCAACGCTTCACAAAGGCCTACCTGAATCCTCTGTTGATTACATCAAGACGACGAATGTATGCTATCAGGACTTAGCCAAGTATTGAGACATGGCGCTGTAATGGCATACCATCCTGCAATGCTGGAGTCCAGGCGAAACCTTTGGCCTGGTTGGCGGATTGTTGCGTGATACTGTCACCAAACAGGATGAATTGTTCCATGATGAATCTGTGGAAGGGTGTTCGATGATGAAACAGACAAGGAAAGGTACAAAGCACTAGCGTGATGATATGGCAGTTGTGGAGAGGAGTGGAGTATACTAGACGACGGGATTTGGCGGCTCATCGGATAAACAGGCGGAGGAATTGTCCATCACTTATCTCGGTCCTTATCACCGAACTCGAGCTGTTTCAAGTGATGGTATTGTTGACTGAGGTAGTCTATGGCTTCAAACGGGTAGAGAACAGTTTAAGGTCGGTGGTAAGGACGAAGAAACGGGAAAAGGAGAAGTACTGTGTACAGAAAACGACGTGTAGGACGAGATATGGAGGTGATGTCCAGCTGCTGTCCAGTCACACCGCTCTGATGGTCCTTGGCACAGCAAGCGCAGGGTCTCCAAAGCTTAAACGGCAGGGTCATCTGCACTTTTGGATGCGGGATGTAGCATTTCTTGTTATGGCTGTCGACGATTGGCAGCATGAACGATAAGTCAGGGGGCCCCTTGAGACGTCTTTCATGTCATGAGCACCCCCAGATCGACTAGCATGGTCATGTGCCAAGGGCTCCACCGGTCCATCGCGTCAGAGGGCACTTGATAGTTAGGTAGCGACTCGAGGCATTGCTGCTAGCCAGCGGTCAAGGGGGCACTGATACTCTCTCATCTCCGAGCGTGCATGTGAAGGACTACATCTTGTCTAACACCCTCGAGTCTGCATCTTGAGTTACAAACAACATGCACATGCAACCTGTGGTGCTTCCTAGTACATATATGCACTAACCCCTAATGCCGAGACCTGTAGCCTCATATGCGTACGACGCAGATGCCTTCGACCAGGACAGCACGCCACCTACTCCCAGGAGCAGCAGAGGCAGCACTGTAAGAAGACATGGTCGACGTCTCGCCTCTGACTGGGATCTAAAGAGCCGGCTGCCCTCACGCCTGATTCTCGATGACCACGCTTCCCTTCTCGACAACCCTGATGGCCGCCCATCTTATCGTGCCATTGCTTCAGCACCACAGTCTCCAAAGAAGACATTTCGAAGAAGGAACAGCGCTCCAAGCGTTGATAGGCGTCCAGGAACCTTCAGCAGAACGCTCAGCTCGAGGGTCGCAAAAGCCTTTGGCGCTGAAGCGAANCCGCGAAGAAGGTAGTCACTCTGCTCCTTACGCAATGCCGCAGCACTAACACCTAAGTCAGACGACGAGAACGAGGATCAACAAAAGCTATCCGAATCGATTTATTACGACGACCGCGTCTGGTACGATCAATACACGAGTACCGATTGGGTCCAAGACAGCATAAGCGATGCCTTCCGCTTGAAAGAGTTGCGTAGCCGGAAAGGCTTCAGGGGGAGAACGGAAGCTCTATTTGATTCTGCTCAAGGTTGGATACTGGTCGCTGTCATCGGGTGCGTCACTGCAGGCATCGCATATATTGTGGACGTGTCCGAATCTTTCATATTCGACTTGAAGACAGGCTATTGCTCCACTACATGGTACCATGGAAAAAGGAGTTGCTGTGGAGGCGCCAGTACCTGCGACCAATGGTCTCGATGGTCGCTGCATCTGACTCCTGGCCCTGACGAGAACGGCTGGTTCGACTATGCTGCTTTTGTCTTCTGGGTGATAGCTCTGTCTCTGGCAGCGTGTCTGGTCACTCTACAAACAAAGACAGTCGTCAGCTCGGCCGTCAGTCTATCCACGCTCGACGAGAACCTTGCTGCGCCTGCACACGCCCCGACCACCGCTGAAGCTAGAAAGGACAGCTCAGGAAGTCCCACGCGACGCTTCGCCCAAGCTGCTCAACGTCCTCCTATGATATACTACCCAGCTGCTGGAAGTGGTGTCGCAGAGGTCAAGGTCATACTGAGCGGTTTCATCATTCGAGGATACCTCGGTCTGCGAACTCTTGTATTCAAGACTTTGGGTCTGATCCTCAGTGTTGCTTCTGGACTCTCGCTCGGNAAAAGTAGCCATTCTGCTCTCTGTGCATCATTGCTTTGCTAACGCCAATCGCAGGAGGGGCCGTTTGTCCACATTGCAACCTGCGTCGGTAACGTCGCCTGCCGTATGTTTGAAAAGTATCATGTCAATGACGCCAAAAGACGAGAGATTCTCAGTGCGAGCGCTGCAAGTGGTGTGGCAGTGGCATTTGGCTCTCCAATAGGAGGTGTTCTTTTCAGCTTGGAGGAAGTTAGCTACTACTTCCCGCCAAAGACTCTGTTTCGAACCTTCTTCTGCTGCATTGTAAGTCTGTTGTAATATCTCAAGTACATGGCAGCTAATCGGGTGAATCGCAGNGCTGCAGCACTGTCGCTGAAATTCCTCAATCCCTATGGGACCAACAAGATTGTGTTATTCGAAGTCCGCTACTTGACGGATTGGCAGTTCTTTGAGATGATCATCTTCATACTCTTGGGTGTCATGGGTGGCATCCTGGGAGCACTCTTCATCAAAGCCTCACGTCTTTGGGCAACAACTTTCCGACGTATCCCAAGCATCAAAAAGTATCCGGTTCTCGAGGTCTTCTTGGTGGCTTTGATTACTGGACTCGTCAGCTTCTGGAACAGATATACAAGAATTCCTGTCTCAGAGCTGCTGTTCGAATTGGCCAGCCCTTGCAACTCTTTCAGTTCATCTGGTTATGGACTTTGCCCTACTGAAGAGAATATCCCCAATGTCATTGGATATCTATGCATCGCATTTGTGGTCAAGTCTGCGCTCACGGTGGTGACGTTCGGTATCAAATTGCCTGCAGGCATCTACGTGCCCTCGATGGTGGTCGGTGGTCTCCTTGGACGCATTGTCGGCCATACGGTGCAGTTCATCACATTGAAGTACCCACAGCTGGAGATATTCGGAAACTGCCCTGCCAATGGGAATCCAGAGTCTTGTGTCGTGCCAGGTGTGTACGCGCTTGTGGCAGCCGGAGCCACTATGACGGGTGTAACGAGACTGTCGGTCACTCTTGCTGTCATCTTGTTCGAACTCACTGGCTCTTTGGAGCATGTTCTGCCTNNTTTCTCGATTGGCGTCTTGGTGTCGAAATGGACAGCCGACGCCCTCGAGCCACTCAGCATCTACGTAAGTTGCCCGTTCTTCTCCTTTTTCCAACATGACTCACCCTAAACTTCATTCTGACATGCTTGCAACAGNGACCTTCTCACCGACATGAACTCCTACCCCTACCTCGACGCAAAGTCACACCCACCCTTCCTCGGCGACCTCGGCGACATCACCCACGCCCCAAACCCCAAACGCCTCATCGACATTTCCTCGTCGCCGTTCGTGCCCGCACACCAACTACGCAGTAAACTCGAGTACATGCACATGGCCGGTGAGCTTGACGGTGGCCTNCCCCTCCTCCGCCACGGCGTCCTCGTCGGCATAATCCCCGGCCCAGACCTCGAATTCGCTCTCGATCACCTCGACAATGACGGGCCTGATGATCAAGACTTGCTGTGCTATCTGGGACGCCCTGCTTGCCGCTCTGCCTCTACGTCTGAGGAATCGCTGCATATTCTCGAGTCTTCTGCTGCAGATATCGGTAGAGGGTTCCATGACAACGAGGTTGATCTTTCTTCTTGCGTGGATCCTTCGCCCATGGCATTGGATATAAAGTCTCCTTTGGAACTGGTCTTTGAGTTGTATTCGAAGCTGGGATTGAGGTATTTGTGTGTCTTGGACGGGGGCAAGTTTGCGGGCTTGGTGCATAAAAAGGCGTTTGTGCGCTATGTCAAGGAATTGGAGCATCAAGAGAGGAAAGGGGGCATTGATTTTTTGGTTTCTGTTTGCTGCAGGATGAGAGAGAAAGGTATGTTGCGGGAGGAAGTGGAGGGGTTTGATGTGGAGTTGTATTGCATTGCAGAGAAACATGATTATGAAGGCATTCAGGCATGTATATGAATGAGCACTATGAAGTTTGGGTTTTCTGGCAAGCGAATCTTGAGTCGTTGATTTAAAACACATCCACGAGCTGCGAACTGCGAACTACATATATCGGACCACGACGCAAAGAAAAGTCAAGATGAACGAGAGTCGAGCAAGTGGTGGTGAATCACAAGATTAGGGCTGATCTCAACAGAACAACCAAGATACTCGGTCTTGGGGAGGATGCTGATGAAGCTGACTATGGTACTGTGTTTATCCCGTCCTTTTACCGTCTCACGGGTGACCAGGTGAAGAAGAGCCGAGGGGCTGGAAAAGGTTGGGATCGAAGATGTGTATTATAGCATCGGGTAGGCCTATCTTTGATGGCACCAATGAGTGGCAGCTTTTTCTCGAAAGCGGCTCTATGCGACAGTGTGTATGGCTATGCGATCGGTTGCAATCGACGGGTTTGGGGTTCGTGGTCGCGTGGTCGGCTCGTGTCAGGTCTTAAGTGATAAGGGCGCTTGGAGGAAGGTTTGTTTTCATCGAGAGGGGTGAAAGTTCTCAATCGTCGTTCAAGAGATCCTCGAGGTCGTCGTCGTCCCAGCCTCCCTTTCTCCTCGACACCTTAACAGTCTCCTTCTTTTCTTGCTGCTCGGACATGGCGCCCAGGATGTCCTTGAGTTGAGCTTCCGAGAGCTTTTGTCTGAGCTGACCGCTACGAGCCAGCATGATGAGTCTGTTTTCGACGTCTTCAGCGCGCGATGCCTTGACCAGGCGGATGCGGCCTAGACGGTCTGCGGCATCGGGTTCGAGGATTTGCGACAGGATGCTTGCGCGTGCTTCGGCTGTGTGTTGCAATTGTGTTAGTTGGAGAGACATGAACAAGAAAGCAATTCGATTTCTGACCTTCACGTTGCTGCTTCTGCTCTTGCTCGCCTCCTTGGCCTCCCTGACCGCCAGATTGGCCCTGCTGCTGCTGCATTTCTTGCAGGCGTGCACGCCTGATCTAGCATACCGGGTTAGACGAGCCCTGTGTCGAGAGCAGAGTTTGTCGACTTACTTGTTCAAGATCGGCGTCACCCATGATGATTTTTGTTCTCTGCAACAAATGTTTTCCTTGTCTTTGTCGAGACGAAAAGTCCCGAGAGCTTCGATGGCCGAAACCCCTCGCTGCCGCCGCTGCTGCGACGAACCCCGCCAAACTTGATGCCAAGCTTTGTCTTTCGATTGCTGCTTCCAGAAATGCTGTCCTGCACTTGATATTGGCTGTCCTCTATCGTGTGACTTGGGCCTACTGGCTTCCAATCGTTGTAATCGCGATGGCTCACTATGTACATGACCCTAAATCAGGCAAGGTAAGTCGGTACGCTGAGGGGCTTGCTGCTCGTCTTCCTGAACTTTCCGTTCGAGGGTTCCTATCTCTTTTGGTTGTTTCTTATCAGATCGGGTATAAAGAGCTATGTACCCTCGTCAGCGCTGTCTGTTTGACTGTACGAGCGACATCGTTGCACCTGCTGTTGTGACTGTTTTGTGTTCACCTCTCTTCTATCCATCTTCCTCGATCCCATCTCTCTTCCTTTGTCTCTTGAAAGCTAGCAACATGGCGGGTTTATACCTTTCCATGCTCGGCATCGCCTTTGCCATCGTCACTACCTTCTACTTTGCTCTAGACAGCAAGCAACGAGCTTTGCTTTTGAGCAGATCCGGCCTCGACAGGCAACACAGACTACCATGGGCACCTCAAACATCTCCATCTCCAACAAGACAACCGTCCGAGAAATCAACTCTTCCCACCGGCCAACAGTACAAAGACACNTTTCCTCCTTGCAGACGTCCCGCCCTGGCCGAGCTCACGGACACCCGCTTCAGCGTGGGTGGAAAGTCTGGAAAGGGCTTGAGCGAGCTTCCTCACAATACCGAAAAGAGCCTCCCAGACAATGTCAACGTGCTGGCTCCACAATACAAGAAACGCTTTACGCCCACTGGCTTTACGGTCGAGGAAATCAAAGCTCTGGGCAATTTCCCGGATTATGCTGCTCTGAGTGGTGTGCCTCTGCCTGCAGCTTACACAGACTTTGACATCAAGACTGCTTTGGCGAGACCTTATCGCCCCTTTCGCTGGCCATACCATCAAACAATGTGTAAGACTACACCAAACACGCTCCTGACTTTACACAATGTACTCATCATATCTCTCTCCTTTCACAGCNNATACAAGAAACTAGAACCAGACTACTGGCTCGAACTCGATAAACACTACGCCACACGCATAAAGCAGCGTCAAGACCTCTTCGCCACCCACAGCACCTCCATCCTGCAATCCCTCCCCGGCACCGAGCTCGCCACAAAAGAACTCCTAGAAATGGTGCTCCAGTTCCTGTGCTCGCGCTACCCTGCCCACTTTACCCTAAACCCTCGCACCTTGATATTTACCAACAAACTCCTTGGCACAGAGACAAACCTCAGGGAAATCGATGCTATGGAGTGTTTGTTGAATAATGTGCCAGAGGACTTTGCAATCGTGCTCAGGGATCCCGAGACTGGGAGTTATAGCTTTAGGGCTGGTGTGATTTGTAGCGCCCTAGGCTGGAGTATATCCACAAAACTCGGCAAAGAGTTGAAGGATATACACGCAGAGATTCCAGACTACAAGGAAAAGATGGAGGTTTCGATGGACAGGTAAGTTGTTTGCCTTTTTTCTTTCTTTTTTTTTACTTTCCCTTCTCTTTGTGCATGCATCTAACAAACCAAACCTCACAGGTTCTTCGCCAAACTTCCCACAGACAAACCCATCCAACGCGGTTCCTGGAGCCTCGAAGTCGACGAACCACTCTTCGCACCTACCCTCTCTAGCCCTTCTGCTCAAAACACTCCATCCCTCTCCCACTGCAATCTACGTGTGGATTGGCAAACCCTGCGTCGTCTNCCCCTCTCCGGCGCCATAGTATTCAACTATAAATGCTTGTTTACTCCCATCACTTCCTTAGCCACCGAACCTTGCATCCCAGGCTTACTTGTTAAAGTCCTCAGCGATGGCAAGAGGGAACTAATGGAGTACAAAGGTGCAGACAGCATCAAACAAGTTGCGCTTCCAGCACTGCAGGAAATGGATACGCAGCAAAGGCAACAAGACATGGCGGATAAGAAGTGGGAGCCGAGTACATTGGACGAATACCCTTGGTTTCCTGGGTGGGAGGACAAGTGGCGCGAGGAGCAGGGGTTTTAAAGAGTGGGCAGGCACTGGAAAGTAAGGGTTTGGAATTAAATAGTCAGATCAACAATGATATAAATGTTTTGGTGTTTCAAGATCTCATGTCAGCAATGTTCGTTTGCTTCTGGTGTGTACTCTGAGATGGCACGTCTTGTGTCCTTGACGAAGTGATACAAAGCACTTGCCTTGCCATACACAAGTTCAAAAAGAAAATTTGATATTTCATGCCGCGAAGACAATATATTCCTTTACTCGCAGAAGATCACAAGGAGAAACAGTCCCAAATAGTTGAAACACCAAACCCATCATTTCCAGTATCAAAAACAATATGCGAAGAGAAACAAAAAGAGTTGTAAAGTACTTTAAGAAAAAGGATAATAGTGATAAGTAGATAATAAAAACACACAAAAAGATAAGAAGAAAAAAGAAGACCCCCCCGAGGAATTACAACAAATTGAGTGTCAGAAAAGGATGAACAAAAACCTGTTGTTCCTTCATCCCTGGGCCTTTCTTTTCTCTGGACCTCTTTCACAAAAATTCCTCCTTGTGCCATTCCCACCGTGTCTGGGATCTTGACACCCTCTTTGCAGATACTGTTCGTGAACACACCCTTTTCCTGTCTCGTTTCACAGGGTCATTTGTTGAGTATGCGTTTGCTTCGTGTCATTGTTTCTTTCCAAAGCGTGGGTTTCGGACGCTCGCGTAATTTAGAAGTCGGGGAAGAGGCGGCCGTGACTATGAGTGAAAATGTCAGTTCGTGTGAATCGTCAGATGCGAAAATGGAGATTTGCTTACGGGTCGTCACCCATGCTTCCATATGCTTCAGTCTCTTCTGGGTACTTGTCGAAAAGACTGGCATCACCCTGACCACCCTTGACTGGAGGCACGTAAGGAGCATCTATATCCTTCTTTGCCAGTCTCTCCCAGGTGACCTCGGCGAACCAAGGGTGCTGCATGACATCCTTGCTGCCACCGTGCAAGTTACCAAGACGCTTGGTCAGGTCGTGAGTGATGAGCTTGCTCAAAAGATCCTGAGCGTCAGGGTGAACGTAGGGAGGGTACTTGACTCTTCCGCGAAGGATATTTTCGTAAATCTTCAGAGGACTGCCAGAGTCCCAGAAAGGCGTAAAACCGCAAAGCATTTCGAAGATGAGAATACCGAGCGACCACCTGTGTTGTCATTGTTAGCAGGCTTCAATTCGACTCAAAACAAGACAAACTCACCAGTCAACCGACTTGTTGTAACCCTTGGAGGAGACAACCTCAGGAGCGAGATAATCTGGAGTACCGCACAGGGTCCAAGTGATGTCGGGAACTTCTTTGGCGAAGCCGAAATCGGTAATCTTGAGATGGCCATGTCTGTCGAGGAGCAAGTTCTCAGGCTTCAGATCGCGGTAGATGATTTCCATCGAGTGCAGGTAGTCGAGGGCGAGCGTGACCTCGGCAGCGTAGAACTTGGCGACGGGGTTGGGGAATCTCTGTGCATCGAGTCAGTCGGATTGCCATGGGTCAAGCAAGACGAAGAATGTTACCTGAGACTTGCGCAGCAAGCTAAAGAGTTCACCGCCCTCGATAAAGTCCATGACCATGTAAAGGTTCTTGGAGTCCTGGAAGGTGCCCCAGAGAGTGATCAGGAAGGGATGCTTGACCTTTTGCAGCATGCGACGCTCGTCGTTGGTGTGCTCGACCTGCTTCATCTTGACAACCTGCTGCTTTTTGAGGACCTTGACGGCATAGAAGCGCTGGTTGTGCTTGGACTGGACCAGATGGACACGTCCGAAACTGCCGGTACCCAAGGTGCGGTTGATGGTAAAGTCCTGCAGCGTGTACTTGCCCTTTGTCTCGCGCACGGGGTTGGAGACTTGCTTGGGCTTCTCCATGGCACCATTGGCCATGTATGCAGAGTCGTGGGCGTTTTTGGGCTGTGCGGTTGGTTGGTTGATGAGATTTTGGATGCTGGCAGCATTCTGCTGCGGCTGCTGCTGCGACTGTTGCTGGGCGGGCTGCTGCGACTGCTGGTAGGGTTGCGACTGCTGTTGGAAGGATTGCTGGGGCTGCTGGATCTGTGGTTGAGCCTGCTGTTGCTGGATTGGGTATGATTGCTGGTGCTGCATGGGCTCGGCCGACTTTGGTTGCTCGACGTGAATTTCAGGAAGCGACGACTGGGCGGATGACTGGGGCTGGGAGGTGGATGTGGAAGTGGACTGGGACTGAGATTGCGCAGGGGCTTGCGATGCAGCAACTGAAGCAGCGGTCGTCGCCCTGGACAAAGCGGGGTCTGCTCCTTGGACGTGGTATGGCTGAGCTTGGTCGGCGACGTGGGTGAAGCAAAGGTGGCCTTGGTGGGAGACGAGACGGGCGAGCTCAGATCGTCCTTGGTCTTCTTCTTCTTAAGGAAGCCGAGCGATGGCATTGTGTGTCGTGCAAGAGCAACTGACTCCGCGCCCCGCAGCTGTGCTAGAACAAAGCGTCTGAGACTCCGTGTCCTAATTTACCACAATGACGTCGAGCGAGATGAGCTGTGACCGGCGATGCTGGACTGATAGCGACGACAACAGGGAGCTGGAGCTGGAGCTGGAGCTGGAGCTGAGCTTTGCGAGAAGGAGAGGAGGAGATCTTGCACCGAGTTAACTCTCCAGCAACGGACTAAAGAGCTAGTGGAGCCTGAGAACAACGTCCGTTATGCGCGCATCCAGACTCGCTGGAAAGGCAATGAGATCGTTGGAATGCGGGTACCACCGTCGGGCTTGTGCTCGTAGCGCCTCCCTCTCAGAAGCTGCCGCGCTTGACTCGACAGCTTGACGGCAATGGACAGCAATTCTATCTAGAGTCAAGACCTTTTCTTGACCCTGTCCGACTGCATCCCTGTCTGTCCCTGTGTCTACCCGTTCAAATGACGACGTGGCCCAACTTGCTTGTTGTTGGTTCCTTTTCCTTCCTCGCACCCCGCAGCAAATCGGCCGTGCGCGGCAAAGCCCCGATCCGTCATCCTGAAAGAGCAAGCCTCGCAAGCGTGTCGACCAGGAAACACTTCTGTCTCATGAACCCGCCCTGTCCGTTTCACGCCTCTCACACCGAGTCCTGTAACTGTCAATGCCACAAACTTGCAATTGCCATGTCCTTATCATAACCATCAACGAAACCATCGGAGTTGCTCGCATGGCCAGAAAACCCAATCTGTAGCGGCCCCGGGCTTGCCCTTATACTGCCAATAGAACCATTCGTTAATCGGCGTCGCGCGTCGTTGCTTATTGGGGTGTGGGCAGCTTTTTGCAACCGTTCAAGCTATTGGACTTGTCCTGTTTATCCCATCATCCTACAACGCATACTTGTGTTGGATCCCCTTTTCTCCTGCCATTTTTGTGCTCGCTTATCTGTTTGTCGATCTGCTAGAGCAAAATTGTGCCTGCCTGTGCGCATATGTTCTCTATTTGTGCTTGATCCGCTCGTCTTCACTTCTACAGCAAGGTGTCCATGTTCAGCTTATACGTCATATCCAATTGGACTTTTGGCAAGGCTGGAAGTAATTCAAGGCGGCCAATGTTTCATGATTCTATGTGCTACATAGCTTTGTCGAGGCTGTTATTTGAAAGGAACATCCAAGCCTGTTCACAAAGACAGAAAATGGGCCGTGTTGCCGCGAGAGCATTGCTTGACCACTCACTACACTCTAGTCAGTAATTATCCCACACAATCCAAGCACTCATGCTGCTCAGGGTGCTCATTCCCTCGAGGAGTGACCCTAAGCATACTGAGCCTTCGGAGGTGAACAAACACATACATGACTGAGTTTAAGGAACACCTTCCTGGAATGATCAAAAGAGATGAAACTTCCTTTCTATAGGAGCTATCCATCAGCCGAGTGCAAACACGACAACGCCAGAGATGCTGCAAAACTTACCTGTGACAAGCAAATGCTCAACCGCATCACCCTATCAATCCTCACCTTGTTCGTGCTGGGCAGCTCAAGAAGCCGGCTTTCCTCGTCGTGCTTTTCGTCAAACCAGCCAGACACAAAATAGCCTCTGCACCACACCAAGCCGCGAAGAAGATAGTCTTCAGGCAATGGCTTGGGGGCGCCTTTGAGGAAGCTGCCTCGCCGGCCTTCGTCCGCGACTCGATTCTCAATCGGCTCGGTCCTGATGAAACTGTTGAGGAAATCGACAATCTTCCCCCAAGGGATAGAACTTAGTACTTTTGTAATCACGGCGGCCGGTCCGATCGCCAGATTGTAGATGCTCCATAGAAAAGCCAGAATTGTATGTACATGAGGGAGGACGTTGAAGTCATTCTCTCGAGACAGAACCAGCGCGAGTGTGTTGGAAAGAAGATGCAGGGAATCGTCCAAGATGGGGTCGGCTCCTTGGTTACCAGAGTCCTAACGAATTTCCGCTTTAGCGTGGTGTTTCTATGGATGTAAAGGAGACTCTGCATTACCTTNTATTCCTTTCCTGTAAGCTTTTGATAAACAACTGTCAAAGTAGCCGTACCCGAAGCAAGCTGAAATGTTAGTGACGGCAATGAAGACACCATGATCCTTCCACTTGAGCGCCTGACGACGAATTTGCGCATCAAGCCATAGATGATACGTAGAAATGTTAACACGAAGTTGGATCCCATGATTGCGAGATCTGGAAGCCAACAGCTTCGCATGCAGGCAAAGAAACATGGAGTCCGTTCCGTCCACATAAGGCATCACTGCTCGCTCTGGCTCAATCTTTGTCAAGGGCAAGAGCAGCGAAGACAGTGATTCCATGGCAGACTCGAAAGGCTGAACACAAGTCAACGCTCGACAATAGTAGTATGCTTGTTGTATCGCATTCGGGCGTGCCAGTATGCCCAAGTGATGGTATAGTCTACCCACATCTGGGTTTCTGTTTGATGTCTTTGAATACCAATCACGGGCCACCCCGCCCCAAATCTCGCGATCTCTCATGTCTATCTCTTCAACGGCCATTCTATAACGTGCCAAGTCTCCAAGGCATTCGATCCAGGTGTCTTCGAAGGATGGGACCGTCTCGTAGAGTAGCGTGACTGTTTGGTATGCCAAGTATATGAATTGCAGCATGTAGTCAAGCGATTCCGGCAGACGTCGTCGCAGTACCTCCAGAAATGAATGGATACCGTGCTTCCACATCCGAGCTGGCATAGAGTACTTGATGGCCAGCTTGCGCAACGAAGAGCTGGTCGAGGGATGCTGTGATGCGGACAAGAAGTCATGATGTTCGTACAGCAAGGTTCGATGCACTGCAAAAAGTGCTTGCCATTGATNCAAAGAAAGATTCCCGCTGGCACGCATATGTGCAGCATCCAGCTTGATGCACTTTGCTTCAACCATAACCAATGCGGCATAAATACCCTTGATTTCCGCCGTAAACTCATCTTGAGACATGTAATCTGTTTGTCGCAAAGACCTTGACGCATTCAGCCCTGGTATTGATTGTGCAATGTCAAGATACAAGGTTTCCATCGGACGACGACGACGTTTCAAGCCTTCTGAGAATTCTTCCGGAGTTCGTGGATCGTATGGGTCTGGAAACAATGTGCGTCCTTCAGTCGCACTGACAGATGGTTCACTTGTCAGTGGAGGACACGCTGTTATATTCTCCTCTGCAGTAGGTCGTTTGATGTATTTTGAAGCCACGCATGAGGTCCTGATAGCAATCGCTTTGTCGTAGTCTTTGACCAATGCTGTGGCGTCTGCAGTGCAAACCTCTGAGCTTGCTGGTCGTTTCTTCGAGAGAGGGCTCACTCTGAGGTCAACCTCTCCAGCATGTTCCAAGGATAATCGTCCAAGTCTTGCCGCCGCTGTCAAATCAGATGGCAATATTCGAAGTGAGGTTTCATGGCCCTTCATGTTCCTTGTTTCGGTCAGAAGAGTTCTCGGTATCTGACTGGCTCTTGCACTCTTCTGTGGTGACTTGCGGCCGGGGTCCTGGGCCCTAGAGCAAGTCAATCGAATTGTTTCGGCAATCGGTCAAAGGAAGTGACCTAGGGGTTTCTGCTCTAGTCAAGCTCTGGATTGGATGGGGCTTGACACATACGGATTGACCGGTAAGGCATTGCTGTAAAGATCTGAAGTCATCCATTCTCCATCTTTGTCGCGCACTTTCCCCAGGCCATCGTGTGACTCTGAATGTGCTTGCAGCGGACGATAGTCATCATAGAATCCGGATCCATCGTCAATCTCAATGCAGCAGGAATCAAAAGATGGCTTGAGTGGTTCGTGGATTCGGCAGTGTAAGGCTTCATGTGGGTCCGCCATTACAATTAGATGATGGAAGTTGTGATTGCGGCGTGGTAGGCAAGCTTCTTAGCAGACTCATTCGTGTACTCTGCCTCGGATGTTTGAGAGCGATTTTCAAGAAAACAGAGGCCTGTCTCATGGAGATGCAAACGTCAGTACGCCGTGGACAGGTGGCATCGACAAAGTTTCCGCGTCACACCAAGTTGCTTGACACACGGGCACTCACCACGAACGGCCGAGAAGAAAAACTGGCAGTAAAAACTATGAGCGACCCGGCGGGTACATGATGGCAGAGACGGGGAAATGTTTATATGTGTGCACCGATAGTTAACTGGTCAACTCTTAATTTTCAAGGCAGACACACTAAGACGTAGTCCTTGTGGCTTGCTGAGGCAGGCAGACATGGGTTTCCCGAAGGATCATCGAGTGAGTTCACGCCAAGAAATACCCAGATGGGCGGGGTCTATCGTGTTCTAATTGGAGTCTTGAGAGGACTTTCTTCTTGTTCCTGAGGAGACCTGAGATGGAAGCTGACACATCTGCCTGTGCGACGTGAGATTTGTTTCTTCAGCTAGTCCTTTCGACCTTCCTCGAGACGATTTTCAACACGGCGAAAGATCATGCGCGTATTGTGCTGCCTCGCGTCAATAGGTCATGCAGCTTGTCACTGGTCACGCCATGGTCTACTTAGTCAACTTTCATGAGCGGCTACGAGCAAGTCGGTGGTCCGAATGGACTTTGATAGTAATGAGGTGATCACAATGCATACATCTTTGGCGAAGCACGGTCTCACCGCACCTTCTTGGTGACGAGGCAGCGTGACCATCCCAATCCTGGCTCAAAGCCAGTCGAGTTTTGATTTCAAGTCAAACCTGTAGCATGTTACAAGATCAGCCTTGATGGACGATGGCCTAGCGGTAGGTAAGCTGCAAGATTGTGAACAGTCTGCTGTGCGGCCGGGATCTCGTTTGCGCACAAGCATCTTTGGATGTCCAGGGTTTGTGCATGTCACTGCCAATGTAGTGCAGTTTTCAGGTGACTTGCGACTGCAGCGTGAATCGGTTGCACACGAGGTGTCGCGGCCCGTCATGCACCTCCTCCTTTCTGGACACGTCTCCAACGAGTCACAGAGCCCTGTCGCATTCCTCTTCGGCATGTGCTGGAACCAACAAAACCTGAGTGATCTCTGTCAAGTAACCTCTAAACAAAGCCAATATCTCTCGACGGACATGTACCGAATACCATTGATCTGAGGCGGATTATCATGCTCATCGACGTGACGACTTGCTTCTCTGAGTGGTTGATCTACTCATGTGAATGCAACCTCTTCGAAAACAATCGCGCGAGTCCTCATCACTGCAGCGAGCTCTACAACGAAATGTTGCAGAATGACTATGTTCGTCACGACATGGCTCAGAGTGGCGTCTCTGCTTTCCTTGTCATCGTCGCCTTTCGTTCGAGTATGAGCAACAGAATCTGATGCATATTCGAAGATCGTGTTGCTGGCCGAAGCTTCAGTGGAAATGAAGTGGACCTTGCCTCTCAATGTCTGGGCTTCGTTTTGCTTGGACTCGGTCTGAATTGACAGGTTCTCGGCTGGTAGAGTCTCCTCTTCGGGTGATTCTGGTGGTGGTGGCCTAAAGATCGAGTTCGGTTGCTGGCGTTGAGACGCTTGCGGAAGGGAGCTAGATCTTGGTGGCACGCTCGATAACGAACTATCTCTCATCCTCACAGGTGTTGGTGTTGATGACCTAGAGCCACTGGATTCGCGTGAGGTTGATCTTTGTCTCGATCCTGCTTGGAGGCGCTGTATCTGTCGGTTCTCAGTCGGTCGCGCAGATTCAGTAGACTGTCTAGTGGAAGCAGCGGAACTTCTGGGCTGAGTTAGCAAGTCTTCGTGACCAGCTCCACCGAGGATTGCGACCCGTTTCTCGATCAGATGATCAATAATGGGGATGTCCGAGCGCATACTGTTAACCTGGCGATTCAGAGCGCGCAGGACTGCAAGCAATAGTGGGTCCCCGGAGTGGTCTCGGCGCTCCTGAGAATACACGGATTGCAGCAGACGGAGGTTTGCAGCTTCTTCCTCGTCTAGACTAGTGCTTTCAAAAGTTGGTTCGAGTGTTGTTGGCTGATAGTCCATCCTAGGCACAGCAAGCCAGCCATCAAGGCCAACGTCGGCACATGACGCCAGACATATTGTCGCCTCGGTTAAGGCAAGATTGACATCGACGCTGTTGGTAAAGAAGGACCCAAAAAGCGCAGCAATTGATTGGATATATGGATCATCAGGCAGAATTTTCAGGACGGAAGAGTCTCTGGGAGCTTTGTTGGCAACCTGGACTTCGAGGGCAACGGTAATGTCCTGGCAGGCAGTGGCATACGCTTCGTCGACGTCGATCTCACCACCAAGACCTATGGCGATTTGAACCAGGCCATCTGTCTCGACGCACAGTGCCTGGATGGTCCTCTTCTCTTCTGGTGACAAGAATGACTTGGATTGCAGTAAAGTAGAGGTGGTATATGTGCGATGCCTTGTCAGCATGACTGACGAAAGCTTTAGAGCCGCGACGACCGTCTGGGAATTCTGTGATCGGATGCCATTGAGTATGAGATCGACCAGACTGAATAGCGTAGGTTCGAATTTGTCGTCGTCGTTGCCAGATTGTGTAAGCAACATGAGGGTGCTCTGCCTCCTTTGGACAGTAGGTGAGACGGGTTCTGATTGTTTGGCTTCAGGGATAGCCAAGAGATACTGAAGCACCATGCGAGTTAGATCCGGATGGTCTAGGGATTCGAATATGCTGGAAAGATAAGTAAGGACGGCGACAGAAGAACCACCATCGGTGTCAGAAGACTGGAGCAGTGAAGGATAGAGGAGCTGTTGTAAAAAGAGGACTCGGAAATGATCCAGTAGGGTGATCTTGACACTTTCAGACTTGCAGTGTTCCAAGACGTCCTGCCAGAAGGCAAGATGGGAGAGAAAGGTAGCCATATGAGTAGCATGTGTCGGCGAGAAGATGCTCTCGGTGGATGATAATTGTTGGGCGTCGACATAATCAGAGAGAGCAAGTATCATGGGCAGACGGTCGTGGTCGTGGAGGATGGACAGCTCACGGCTCAGCTGGCTGTACAAAGCGCCGAGTCCAGAGGCCATCAAGGTCGGCAGGTCACTTTCAATGATCCAATCCTCGAGACGTGTAGAGTTTGAGATTGCCTCGAAGATGTACAGTAAGCCAGTTCGAGCAAAGTCACCTATACGGCCGTCATGATGAATGCGATCAATTAGGAGATAGCACAATGGGAAGTCGTCCTTTTGGGTTTGGCCAGCAAAATGATTGGAGTCCTTGATCGAGTCGTCCTTGTTGGCGTGTGAGGAGAACCAGACGGAGAGGATGTCGGGCTGTATACGGATCTTTGCGACAACGGCAAACAGTAGCTCGACGACATGAGCCTCAATGTCTTCGCCGTAGCCACCTTGGTTTGAGTCTATGACACGCAGAGCAAAGCGCATGAAAGATTTGGCAAAGGTGGGCGAAGCGACAAAGTCTTCATCCTCGCTCTCGAGCAGCAGGCTGAACAGGATGACAGTCTGGCGTACTAGGCGTGCATCGCGAGAGGTCGAGGCAGCGCGGGCGACTACGCTGTATATTTGCGAGGATTGGGTAAAGTTGAGACAGAGGTGGGGAGCAGGGGAGCGGCTCTCTTCAGCGAGTAATGTGGTGATGGTCTGCAGCGAGGAATAGAGTTGGTCGAGGGCAGGGCCGTGGGATGCCAGGGTCTGTGGACGGCCGCATAGTTGTAGGATGGGATTGTAGGCTCGGCGGAAGCGCTGCAGACGTTGCTGCGGACTGGACGCTGCTGCCGTGGCAGACTTGTTGTTGCTCACGCCGTTGATGAGTTTCGTCCACTGCGCGACACGGGTCAGTGACTTGACGGTATACAGATCGGGTGCTACTCACAAAGTCCATCGAGGCGCTGGTGCAGGTTGTCAGGGCATTCTGGTCCTTGTCTGGCTTCGGCTGTCCGAGGAACCCCTTCCTTGCAGTCAGAGCATGTGCAAGTGAATCTGAAACGGGCCCCTTGATTCCTGAACTCTCCCCACATTTCACGAGAGCACCTTCCTCTCTGACGTACCCCCAATCGCTCGTCAACGCGGAAGGTACGCCCGAGATCGGTCAATTGCCATGCATACCATCCATTCTTTTGCCTCGCCTACTCATTCACACTATCTTCTTCTTTCTCCCCTCCCGCCAGCACCTTCCTTGTTTCTTCCTCCATCCGACTCCTCACATCAACCCGGCCGCCACCATGGGCACTTTGACGGCCGACCTTCCTCGTTTGCCCCAGTACTGTGACCATAAACTTCCCACCTCGTGCCGCTTATCCTCGATCCCAAATTGCTGTGCTTGTGCCGATGAGCGAGCACACCAGTCAAGTTACTCGACATACGTAGACGGTGTTGGCTTCGTCGCTAGAGGTGCTCGTTGGGACCGCTACTGCTGGCCTTGCTCTCGTACCAAGCACATGTCCATTCTGAACCTCACCGTACTGACGCCNTGCTCAGAGTTCTGGAGGAATCGAGTCGCCCAGACAAACCTACTGCCTACTCAAACTCGCATCCCACAAATACCCGATCAGTCCGATTTCCTGGAACGATGGTATCAATTTTACGACGGCTACCGGACCGTCAGTCGTCCTGATGGTACCCAAGAAAGAGTTGCCGTCTTGGGCGAACGCTTCAGAGATGTTTCTCCCGGTCGCCTCCCAAGAACCTTAGACGAGCTCAGAGCTGGTCAGGAACGAAGCGACGCTGATCACCGTCAGCACGTTGAAATCGCAACAAATGATGCTCCAGAAGGTCCTTCCCTAGAGGACGCTCTCGACCAGATGTTCCAGGAGGCCGATGAGGAGGAGCAGAATATCGAACGAAACACTGAACAAGACCAACCTCCTGCACTAATACACGCCCCATTTACCTTCAATTCGAACGACAGCCGTACAGATGCTCGTGTCGCAGGCCAAGTTATAAGAGCTGCCCCTTCAAGGAACCCCGAATACCAAGCCCGCAGAATCTCCGCTCTCAGACGCGAACTGCTCAGGATGCGTAATGGCATCGAACGAGTCATCTCTGGCCTCAGAGATCTTGGAGAACCCATACCCGATCACACAGAAACCACCAGTCGACTCTCCGAACTCGGAAGATCACTTGACGCCATGTCTGTCCCGCTGTCATCATCGTCTCATTCCGATTCTGTCAATCGTGAGACACGCGCTCCTGTCGTTGGCTCCGTCTATCGTAATCCTGAATTTACCAACGTTCAACAGCGCTTCGATGAAGCCCAACGACAATTGGAGCAAGCCCAGAGGTTCCGTGACCAAGCAGCAGTGGAGTTTCAACTGGCACAGGCCAGTCATACTGAAACTTCCGAGATACTCGAAGGTGCCGAGCTTGATCTAACTGAACACAGAGAGCAAGTCTCTCAACTTCGGCGTGAACAGCGTACTGCCGAGAATTATGCTCGCCTGTTTGGTTCACGGGAAGATATGGAAACCCAGGGTGCTGACTACGAAAGCCCGATTGGTGGCATGTTTACTCGTGCTTATGAAAGATTCAGAGTCGCCGAAGAAGTCAGACAAGACGAGAGGACTCTGCGACAAGTCTTGGAACACGAACAAATGGCCACTGGGCCACTCTTCTCTAATGACAACGAAGAAGCTCACCCGGCTGCTAATACGATCTACGAGGATGGTCTGAACGAATACTACTCCATGCTCAGACAACAAGACTGGGTGCAGAATATTCGAGAATCTACACCAAACAACAACGCCATTCCTGACACTAACCCTTCGAGCGTCGACGCCTCGAGTCCATCGGTAGACAGACGGGCAGAAGTGATTACATCTGAACAAGCTCCAACTTCAGCTGCATCGCAGCAGATGTCCACGTTGGAAAGGCTCCTGCGTAATACCCCTGAGCCTCAGAGAAGCTCCATCATTGCTCGGATGGAACAGAATGGAACGGCGGCCGCGATTAGAGAATCTGAGAGTGGCAACTATATCGACGTCTGGCGGCGCCTCCGCGATGCGTATGCCCCCTTCCGAGGCAACTGGGAAGAGGAAAGCGAATCATCAGAGGATGAAGACCGTGCCAGAGGCGGTCTCGATGCTGAAGATTCTGGACGTCCCGAACCTAAGGAAGATGTCGATATGACACTCAAGCTGGACTGCAAGATCTGCTACACACAAACCGCCGATACTGCTTGTCTTCCTTGTGGACATTTGGTGATGTGTCAATGGTGCAGTGCACAGCATTCGCCTGTCATGCAGCATGACAGAACGAGGCCACGTAAGCCAGCTAATTGCCCGGTTTGTCGTAAGAAGATCAAGCAGAAGGTGCGTATCTACCGAGCATGATCTTCTCACGAATCAAAAAGAACACATGTACAACATGCACTGCAGGTTGATAGTACGCTACAGTTGGATAGTGGTCAACCAGCCCCACACCTATGCAACGTAATATCTCGAGACAGTCTCTCTCTCCATTGTCTATTGAAGTAGATGGCGAGTGCCCTCCTCGTGTGCAAAAGACAGTCATAGTCTCGCAACAAACCCCTATCCACCCTGATATGTAGTGTGATTATATGTCATGAAAATGCACAGTCGCTTTCCCAGCAGCGACGTGGCCATACTCGTAGAGATACTCAAGGATAACTATTTCTCCAGGGATCTTGCTCTGCTTTGGAAAGTACTGTGCATTTCTATAGCTACACTGTGACAGTCTATCGCACACGGGGAGGATGTAATCCTGTCATGCGCTGTCGCGTGCGAGGACGATTATTCACAAATACTTCAACCTTCTCGGAGCCAGAGAGCATGGTTTCAGGGGCACTCGGCAATGTTTTCCCCGGAGCTGTGAGAAGCTGTCTGGAAACAAAGTGTGGCGCACTCTCCCTGATCTGCGTATCCCCATCACGGAAAGTTAAGCGAGTTTAGCCGTGGAGAAGCGCAGTCGGGTCTGCCCGATCAGGTAATGTTCCGCTAAATGGGATAGTCAGACTCGAGACACTTAAAGGAGATGCCCGGGCAGATAATACGAGTACATTGATCAATTCGATTTCGACGACAAAGAGTGAGAAATTATGGCGAGCCAAAAGACATTGCTATCAGAGCTTCGTGCTCGCAGTGCTGTTGATTGTGACACCCTAGATGTGGAAGGTATGCTTTATTTCAATACATGCACGACTAATAATGCTTCGATGCTTACTNNTCTTCAAGTTGCTCAGGCCTTGGGACCTTTTGTTGATTGCACATCGAACCAGGTGAGTTTTGGAACAATTGCTATCTTGACAAGAACTTGGACGCTAACATGCTTTTCANNTCAGGCCATCGTCAACATTGAACTGCAGAAACCAAAGAACGAACCCCTTATCGTCGAGTCCATCCAACAAGCCAAGCAGTTGTATTCTCAATATGCCTCTGAAGCCACCTTTGAACAATTCGCCTCTGAAGTCATGGTAAGCATCCTCTCCAGCGCAGTCCAAACCCACCGTCCTGGAACTCTAACATCTGCCCTTTTCGCACAAATACAGGCAGTCAGACTCTCAGCAAGAATGATCCCTTACCTCACCGGCCGCGCACTCATTCAAACAAACCCTTACAACGCCTACTCGACACCCGCCACCATCGCCAATGCCAAACGCATCATTGCCATTTACAACCAAGTCCTGCCCGAGCACCCGAGCAACCGTATCTGCATCAAAATCCCCAGTACCTGGGAAGGCATTGCTGCGTGCAAGCAGCTGGAACAGCAGGGTATCGTTACTCTAGCCACTACTTTGTTTTCTCTGGAGCAGGCTGCTGCTGCACATGCGGCGGGATGCAGTTACATTGCGCCATATGTGAATGAATTGGCTGTGCATTTTGTTGCTGGGTAAGTTTTTCCTTGGTGGTACTGAGAGGAAAGAAAAGTATACTGACAGAAGGAAAACAGACATATTGACAACGACAAAGGCTTTGCCCTCACCCGCGCCTGCCAAAACTTTTACGAAAGAATTGGGTCAAAGACACTGGTCATGCCTGCCTCACTGACTTCTGTGGATGAGTGTCTGCAAGTCGCTGGCGCACACCACATCACTATCTCTCCACCTTTGCTTGCTGCTCTTGCTGCTACTCCTTTCTCTGCTGCTCCCTCAATATTTGACGAAACCGACACTGCAGCAGAGGCAATTAATGATGCACAGCTTTTGGAGACGGTAAAGGATGAAGCTAGCTATAGGATCAGGTATACGCGCCTTAAGAATGGTATCCAGGAGAAAAAGCTGGTAGACGCCGTGAACATCTTTGCGGATTGTCAGGATAAAACTGAGGAGTTGGTGATAAGGTATAGTAAGTGACTAAGTTACTGCAGGTTGTATGGGAAACAACCTTTGAGTTTGCTTGCCTCTTGAACTAGTTTTTCGACGGCTTAAGCTTTATTTAGCTTTTGGGCATGAGGAGGAAGCACTATGTATTTGGCATGTGTGCTTTTGCATATTACCGGGTGTTTGCTTTTCGGCTTGTTTTACTGCAGAAGTATGCTTTGATAAGAACAAATGGAAGTTAGACTCTAGGATTTTGCTCTACTCAAAGGCTTTCAAATATCTCACCCTCTTTCTCCTTTGTCCATCAAATGGTTGCTATAGTATCAAACTACAAAACATACACAATTACTTATCGAAAATCAACGATTGAACTATAGAAAATGGCCCTGAAGTAGAATCTCTCCTTGGACGACAACTCGTTTTGATAAGTACTGTGTATGTCTGCAGCTTATACTACAATCGTCTCTAGCACATGCGGAGACAGAGCGATTATCAAGTGTGGTAGAAGAAAGAAGAGTAAAAGCGAAGACTATAACCAACTTCATATTCTCGAAAAGTCCCCCTTCAACAAAATGCGCAAGGGCCGATTCTACCCAGTGGTGCCTAGGATCTTGTTGGGCAAGCAAGAGAGGAGAGCAGTAATAGACTCATCTTGGGAGTGTGAGTTAGCAAGCATGTGGGTCTTGTTACAAACTCTCCCCTTAGGAATGCGATACAAGACAGAAAAGTAACAGAGAGACAGACAAACCATAGACAATAATTTCACATGTGTCATGGACAGTCACAGTCTCACAACTAATGTCTCTCTTATGGCAATATCTAGTGATACGATAAGCTGTATACTTGCACAACACCATCCAAAAAAAAATACAGCACCCTTGAGACTCGTGGTTCCGGCGGCTCTCTCTGGACCTCGTCTCTTATCAGCAAGTAATTGTGTTTTTCCACAGCTACACTGTGACTGACTTCAACACACACGGAGAGCGAAAAACAAGAGATAAGTGCATACAACAGCAGTACAAAACAACCACCAAAGCAAGATACACGCACATCAAAAACAGTATCCGATTCCATTCAAACACACTCAAGACAGATACTGTAAAGACCCAAACCACCACCATAACAACTACCTAACCCTCAACCCTCCCAACCCCTCCCCCTCCCGCAAACCACCCAGCTGCAACAACACAAGCAACAGACACAACGCCTACAGCCCCCAAAACCCCATTACTGGCAACAATCGTCTNCTCTTTGACTCTACCAATCTTCGTCTTTTCCTTTTGCCCCAAAACCTGTTTCCCATCACCCTCAATCTCATAATCACTCCATTGCACCTCAGCAATCATATTTTGATAGTCTACAACATTTTTGCTCCAGTTGTTGGTGATGAGGCCTTCGGTTGTTTTGTACCAGGAATTGCAGTTTGGGTCTGCGAATGCGGAGGCAGAGAGATCGGATTGGAGTTGCTCGTTGTATTGATCCATGCGTTGATCATTGGGGCGGATGGATAAATTCTTGCCTTGTTTGCGAGCTTGCAGGACAGGAGCGATTATAGCATTGATGTAGCGTGATTGGGCTTCAATCATCAGGATGATACTATTGTGGCCGAGATTGGTGTTGGGACCATACAACATCGAAAAGTTGGGCATTTTTGAGACGGTAATGCCGTAGAGGGCTTTCGCGCCGTGAGACCAGACTTTACTGAGGGGAGTGCCATTGTATCCGCGCATCTCGATTGGGTACATAAAGTCCAGAGTCTCGAAACCGGTGGCCAGGACAATGAGATCGTAGTCATTGGCTTCTTTTCCTTCAGTCTCGATGCCAGTTGCAGTGATGGAAGAGATCTTGTCGGTGATAAGTGAGACGTGAGGGAGTGCAAGAGTAGGATAATAGTCATCACTAATGATGATACGCTTGCAACCTGGATTGTAGCTTGGGAGTAGTTTTTTCTGCATCTCGGGATCATCAGGGAATGCGGCGTTCAGCATGTCTTTGTTGAATCTGCGGATCTCGTCTGCGCCGCTGGATGTTGTGTCCCCGACGATTTGATAGAAGGATTCGCGAAAGTCCATTTGCAGTGCTCGCTTTCGCCACATGAGTGGAGGGACATATCTGAACAGGCTTCTTGTCCAGGATGGGATGGGAGCATCCTGGCGAGGTATCAACCAGTTGGGTGTTCGTTGATATATGCCAACTTTACTAGCCACTTTTGCAATCTCCGGAATAATCTGGACGGCTGTGGCACNCTGTAGTCTGTGTTAGAACAACATATCCATCAAGAACTTGCAACAAGCACAAAACTTACCATTTCCAACAACGGCAATCCTCTTATCCTTGAGATCATAACTCCAATCCCAACGAGCAGAATGAATGAGTTTGCCCTTAAACTCCTTGATCCCAGGGATATCCGGCCACTTGGGCACATTCAATTGTCCCACCGCACTAACCAAAANATCGGCATTGATATCGTATTCGGGGTTAAACTCTGCATCTTTGCTTCCCTTTGCAGTGCTGACATGGATACGCCATTTCTTTGCTTCGTCATCCCAAGTTGCGTTTTCGACTGTCGTGTTGAAGCGCACATGTTGGTAGAGGTTATATTGCTGTGCTACACCCATCAGGTAGGAGAGGATCTCTTCCTGGCCAGGATATTCGCGAGTCCAGTCGCTGTTTTGTGCAAAGGAGTAGGAATATAGTTGAGACCATACATCACAGCAGGCACCAGGGTACTTGTTGTCGTGCCATGTTCCGCCAACGCCACTGCTCTTTTCGAGGATGATGAAGTTTTTGCAGTTGTTCTGTTTGATGAGATCGATGGCTGTGCACATGCCNNTGGTAGTGTGAAAGTCAACGACGAGAATCTCTGGTAAATGTGGCTATAACATACCTGATATGCCGGCACCTATAATCACCACTGCTGCGTTGGCATGGTCCTTGTTTCCAATTGGCACTTCAGGCCAGGGTTTATCTCCAATCATGATGTATAAATCTATACCAGAATCACTTTAGATCTTTGCTGTTTATGTTTGATGCTCAGCAGGAGTTGGACTGCGAAAACTTTCAAGAGCATACATGGCTGAATATGTATCTTGTGTCTCTTCGGAAGTCAAACACCCGGCCAATTGACCTCCGCACAGCAGTCCGCATACTTGCAGCAACGATATGAGTATGAACGACCGGATCGCCAACCTTGATTTCCTATGATGATGTCGAAGAAGGTGGGGGAAGGGTCTAAGGAAGAGGGGTTGCTTGGTGCCCCTCAGTGAAGCCTCGGTCTTCCCAAAACGGCAATTCTCGAGTTTGGAACCAGGTGACACAGCACCAGAATGCAAATAAATGATATACATTGTAGTTGTCGGTTATGTGATGCCATGCGCTCGAGTCATACTCGACTGACATAATTTCGTTGATGTAGTAACCGTGAATGGCTGCCAAGAGTAGATACATACGCGACATGACATGTTCAAGCCTTGGACCTAAACTTCTCTATGAAGTTTTCCGGAGCAGGTCCATCGATCATGAGAGGAAAGTCAGAATCCTCTCCCTTCTCACGATACTTCTTGTAAGCAGGTCTCTGGACTGCTCGTTTGAGGTACGGCAAAATGCTTTCGTACGAGCTCAGGTCAAGGCTGTAGAATGTACGCATCGTGGTGAGGGTAAAGACAGTCATAATGTCTGCGGCAGTAAACTCTTTGCCTGCCAACCACTCATTGCCGCGTCCGAGATGGCCATCAATGTGTCGCAGATATTGATCCAGTCTTGCTGTGTAGCGTTTGAAAGTATCGTTGCTGGGATCGATATCGGCAGACTTGAGCGACATGTTGCGACTCACGCCTGGCTGTAGAGAGCCGTTGCTGTAGTGGAACCAATAGAGATAGCTGGCATAATCCGGGTGTGATGGTGGCAGAGTAAGACGACCGTTTCCGTGCTTGTGGATGATATATTCGACACAGGCTGCACTCTCGCTCATGGTTAAATCACCATCCTGGATGACGGGAGCAGTGCCGATTTCGGTGAGATCTTTGAGGGCTTGGGGAGAGAAGAATGGGTCTCGGCGGTATAGCTTCAGGTCATAGTCAATGCCCAGCTCTTCGCAGAGCCAGACGATGCGCTCTGACTGAGAGACGCGCATATGGTGTACAATAAGCATGATGAGAGATGTGATGGGTTGTATACAGGAACTGCTGGTAAGACGATCAGAGATACGAAAGGACAAATCAGAAACAGTAGAAGAGCTAGATTATATAGAGCGATGGACACTCTGACGTCGTACGAGGTTGGATAGAAAGATTATACGGAAGATGAGGATGATCTTGGCTGAGGGTGTTGATTTGGAAGAAGATGCCAAGGTTGGGGTTCAGCACAGCGCATGACAGCGCATGACAGGGAGGAAGGAACGAGGGAAGCTTGTCGCATCATCACCACCTCGACATCTTCCAGTCTTCCTACACATCACCACACAAATGGCTCCTCCAGGTACATACACCAAGTCCATCACACACAAACAAAACACTGATGCCACCCCCAACAGAAGCAACCCAGAACACGCCGCTCGCACCCTCAGTAGAAAAGGCCTACTACCGCAAGTGCATCGAGCTCAAGCGCCGCCTGAACGACGTCGAAGAAGCCAACGATGCCGCCCGCCAGCGCAAAGCCCGCCTCAACAGAGCAATCATGAAGATGCGCCTCGAACGCGCCTTCCTGCTCGAACAACTCGCAACGCGTCTCCAAAACACAAACGACGGCCCCGATAAGACGGCGAGCCAGAACAACAACAATGCTACCACCACTACCACACACAGCGACTAGGAGTCGCAAGAGACGCCGCTACCCTACGATCAAGACTTTCTCGAGCATTTTGTTTATCAAGAAGAACCGAGTGCTACACAAGATGACGCTGAACCTGCCTCTACCAATACGGATACCACGGACGAGCCTGCCTCCACCAATACGATTATCACGGAATTAGCCTGGGGGGGTCTTATCGTGCGGCTCGTACTCTAATGGGTACGACTGGACCGACCGGTGACAGAAGGAACCCTCCCCGAAATCGATAGTCTTTGGCTACTCACAACACACCAAAGCCACGCGCAACCAAGGACTGTACTTGAGGCACCACTTCTCTGTTTGATTCGCGAATTCATCACGCCCCCTTCTTCTATCGATTTGTTTACACGGTCTATCATCGTTATCGACAACGCCGGGCCATGGCCGTCTTTATGCATCAAAACTTCAGGCGACACACACCTTGATATTTGCGCAAAAGCTGCAACTTGCAACAGGTCTCAACTTTCAAGATATCGAACACTCGCCGAGGCTGGCCGGATGCTGGAGCTCATCAAGCTGCTTACGGATCTTGGTGCATCACGGAGGCCGTCTTTTATGCTTAGGCTTGTGGTGAACAAGACTGCTGAGTACTGTTTTCGTTCCAAAACACGAGGGGGTATCCTACCTCTCTAATGTCTGTCATGGTATTACTCAGATCGCTCTGCTGATTATTCCTCCTCTTTCTCCTTAAGACCCTCACCCCGTGTGCCTTTGTGGTATCTCAAGAAGCCCAGATGAGGAATACCCTTCGGTAGTTCTGGAGTACTGTAGATATCAATACCGGCCGCATCGGCTATCATCTCCGCACTATCTTTCAATTGTTGTAGAAGTTCGTCGCCCTCTACTGCTTCGAGTACTTCGGCGTGCAGACTCCAAGGTCGCGCCAGATGTAGGTATTCGGCATTAGTCGTGCTAATGCTCTTTGCTTCTGCAATCTTGAGGCACGCTGTCAGAACCTCGGTCAACACGACTTGTGCTTTGTCAGGGCTGTATAACGGATTGTCGATACGGTCTTCGTCTGTGCTGTGGCCGTATGGGTCCAGTGGTTTCGAGAGTGTTCCCTCGGGGTAAATGAACTTTTGCAGGTACAGTTCGGCCAGCGTGATGTCTGCCGGCAAATAGTAGTTTTTGCGAGCTGTCAACAGCCATTGGTGCGCGAGTTTGATGCGCAGCTCGGGAGTGTTTGCGAATGCATCGTGGTGTGCTATATTTGCTTTTGGATTCAGATTGACATTCTGCTTGTAGAGGAAGGCGCCAAAATCTGCGAGTTTGTCTAGGAAGGATTGTTGCGGTATCGAGGGGTTGGTGGCCGAGTTTGCGTAGTATTCGCCTAGCTCGTGGGCGGCTTTGTAGTAGCCGCTGGCGGCGGCTTTGGTGATGTTATAGAGCCAGTCGTGGGTGTGCTGATTACCGGCCATGTAAAGATCGAGACGGGCGAGGTTGAAGTAGGCCATTGGGTCATCTCGCTCTGTGCCTGCTTGATAGGCTTTCAAGGCTGCGACGTACTGGCCCTGGGTATGGTAAAGATAGGCTAGCTCGATCCAAGGAGATGAGAGTTCGTCTTTTATCTTGCTGTACTTGTCGCCTGACTGTGTGCCGTCGTCTGTAGACATGACGTCGAGAGCCTTTTGGTATAGAGTGGCTGCTCGATCGACTTGGCGGGCATTGCGGGCTACATTGGCCTCCATGACTAGGGCGCGCACGTTACCCGTACTCGAAACCTTACGTAGACGGTCCAGTGCCATCACAGCGGTACGAGATGCCATGACGCCGGGTTTTGTCGCATCCTGGCGCAAAGCAGAGGCGACGACCTGAATAGTGGCCTCGGCATGACCGAGCTCAGCACATAGACTGACCAGCTGTCGACCAGTCTTTGCACATCCCACACTTCCCTTGTTACGCAAAATAAAGGTGAGACCGTAGACATCGTCGAGCGTCAAGGGGCTGAGCCATTCAAGACAAGATCTAGCACTCTGTAGGGGAGACATGCCGTCTTCCATGTTCATGCGCCAGAAAGCTAGGAAATTGGCTTGCTCTCGGGTCATATCCGCAGCGGCTTGCGTGGTGGTGCGGCATTCAATAGCTCTTTCTTGGGGCGTCAAGTCTGGCAATGACTTGACCCGTTGTGCAATGTCGACTTTCTCGGTCTGTTTTCTTGTCAACGCAGCCTCTCTTTCGGGGCCCAGCGCGACTGGTCGTTTGGCCCTTTCTTTCCAGCGCTGAGAAGGGGCCATTTTCCCTGTAGATGCCGTCCGTCGTTGACTGTAAAGACCGCATAGTTCCGTGGCCAGTATGCGCCGCGGCGCTCGTGTGCTGGCGGCGAGCAGTGACATGGTGCAATGCCAGTAGAGCGGTCCACGACGGGGATGCTGATCGGTGCCAGGAAAAGATCGAAGTTGGAAACACCAAGTCTGCCTGGATAGGCAGGTAGGTACCTTGGTGGACTGGATTCGAAGAAAGAGCGTCCATGCTTCACAGAACTTTATGCGAACCATGGACCGAGCGCAAGATGGTCAAAACGTCTATCACCAAAGTATTTATGCACAATCTAAACAGACGGATACATACAGGACCTAACAGATGTTTCTTCCATCATGTCCTCAAACGGTAACTTGTCGTTTGTGAACAAATGCAGCAATCATTCTGTTGGTGACTTTTGCAACCATAGACCAAAATCAAGAGCAGCCAGGTCGTCCTGCTCAAAGCTATAATATGCATCCGCATGTTCAGCATCCACAATTCCAGCAGCAGATGCAGGTAGCGATACCTCAAGATAACACCCACCAAAGACAAGACAGCGGATACTCTCAGGTCCAATCTCCTCAAACTTATGGCCCTCTGACTCACCATGCGAGCCAAGCTGCATCGCCTGTCAATCCATCTCAACCTCCTTCTACTGACTTCATATCACAAAGATCCAATGGAGCTCTACCGAATGGCTCGATGGTCTATCCTCAAGGCTTAGACACGGGGTTCGCCGAACATGGCATCAACCACATCCTGGCAAACCTCGAACGCCGATCTATGGTTTACGGAAGCAAAGTCGAAGCAATGCAATCTCAACTGACACAACTCGAAGAGACTGTCGTATCCTTCTGGCGGGATACCAGCTCCAAGTTCGAGATTGCGGGTTCAGTCGCCGAGCATGATGCGACCAAAGCTGGAGATTCTGGAGATCCATCCAAGAGCGATGCCAGATATGCTTGCGAATTTGGTCATACAGTCACTATCCAGGGCAAGGTAGACGCATCTTCGAGTAATCAGGAGTGCCAAAGTCTCACCCTCTCTGACCGGCAACCTGGAGTGCCTGCCGCGGAGCAAGAATCAAGTCCGGATGTCTTCCATGGATCTTCAAGACAACGACTTGACTGTTTGGCTAAGCTTGTAGCTGCCGAGCAGGCCGGAAACACACCAATGATTGATTGTTTTGACAAGGTCTTTGAAATGATCCAGTCAATCTCAGACCGGTTTGCGACTGTCGCTACGAAACAAGACCTCAAGGCTGTGCGTGTTGAAACAAAGCACGATCTGGAGTTGTTCCATATTGCGTTGCAGGAGGACCTTGGGATAAACCGCAAGAGAAATGTGCAAGATATCAAGACTCTGGTTGAAGAATCGAGACAGGATTTCACGCGCTTCCAAGGAGAGATGAGACAGGACCTCAAGACTCAAATCAACGAGCTTGATGAAGCTCCTTCCAACGATCGGGGCATACCGTTCTCTCCTAACGCTATACACGACGGGAGTCCAGATGCCAGATTGAGATATAGAAATGTGACAAGCCAAGGCACGCAAACTCTTACGCTGGAGGAACAGTCACTGGAAGGGCCGGCTCCAACCCTTGCTGCCTCTGTCGATATCAACAAGGGGTACCTGGAGATGGTAGCCCTCATCCTGAGCGGGATACGCGACATGGACCAAAGGGTCTCAGAGCTCTCCCATTGGGTCGAGCAGCAAGAAAATCGTGTATTACCTCAAGAAGTGCCAGCTTTGACAACAACGCAATCGCTTTTGACGAAATCGCAGAACTGCGGAGCAATGGAAGGTTTCTGGAATCACTTGCCAGTCTCCTCCAACCTTACATGAGCTCCACAAGTCCTAGCCTGGGAAGCAGTCGAGTACCTTCCGTATCGGCCTTAGAGCGTAGGACCATCTCAGAAGAAAAGTCGACCCAATCAATCACGGGTAGAAACCAATGTCAAGACTCCTAGAAGGAAGCAAGGTCAAGCCTTGACAAGGAGAAGAAAAAGAAGAAGCAGAAAACTAAACATCAGGTCGACATCAAGGGGGTCTTTGGCCACAAGCAACAGTTCCCCAGAGCGTCGGTCTCGACCAGTAGCAGTGGTGACTCTGCACAAGACCAGAACGTTCAAAAACGAAAGTGGGAGGAGCCAGAGGTTCCAAGGTCTCGAGTGGACTTGCTGCAGCAACAACAGCAAGCGTACCGCAAGAAACAAAAGACGAAGTGAATAATTTCATCTCGAAGTAGCTGGGGCGCAACGTGGTTGCATGTCGTCTGTAGCCGATAATAGGTCCGTACCGGTCTTCCAATAAACGTCTACACACACCACAAATTGGTTACATCTTCAATTGTACATGGAGAGATACCGAGTCCTTCGGCGGCTGTCGAGACACCGGTAATGAAGTGGTGAGCCTTGTTTCTGGTTCAATCGCATGTGAGGGTCGAGACGAGAGTCAAGTCGAGACCAATAACTTGCAAGGATTCCGAGCAGGTATTCTTTGTACTCCTTGCCCCGCTCAGCAGAGCAATCTCGAGATACATGGTAGTTTTCAACGGTGTTGAATCCTCACACCAGAGGATGCAAATTGAACAATGAATTGAGGCTGGTTGACGACCGAGCTTGAGACATGTTCGAGGCCAGGGACATGATCAAGATGGTATGCAATCATAAAAGTGCAGATGATGGAGCAAACGGCTGGGCTTTGAACATGTTTAGTTTGAGGCTCTGCCGCGCGACTCAGTTCGGATTGGGCCGGATGCGAGTGACGTTTGCTAGCTTCTCCCCACATGCAAACTAGTTCTCCGCACGCGCGGGACGAAGATGAAAGTCATGAGCAACGGCGGTTTCGAGGTCGAGGTTTGGCTAACCCAAGGTGGTGGTGTGTTGTGGGTGTGCATGTGCGATGGCTCGAACTCCTTGGGTTGGCGCGTAACGGTCAGGGGCCGGGGAAGTACACAGAGCAGCAGCTGGGCGATGGGAAGGTGATGGTTGAGTATGTATGCATCACGCCGTGGCCCAACCAATTCCATGTCTCCAACAAGCTCCAAGTATCTCCACTCCGCATTCCTGGTTTTCAGGTTTCTTGTCGCAGTGTGAGCGCAACTCTCGACTGTTTCGCAACCTTTCTGCTTTCTTGTTTCCTTTTTGCTATTCGGCGTCTATTGATCTTGTCCTTCGAGTCTCTGCCACAATACGTACTCGAGCCAGATCCTCCTATACCTGGCAGGATATCAATAATAAGACGACGTCACCGTGAGTCGCGAGCTTTGGTCACCAGGGCTCACGCCATCTCACACACATACTAGACGAGGAAGGCGACGCATTCGACCAGGCCCACCTGCCTCGCATAGAGTCGATCCAATCCGAGACTTGGTACGTATTTTTGGTGCCTTTGACAGCCCTCTCATCCTCGACGGATTATAACATTCTGTCCAATCCTCTTCCAAGTCGATTGTTGAACCTATCAAAATCCTAATCTATATCATTCTCCAAGCAACAAACTGACATCATGGCTTCGACAGCAAGCACTGCGTCGAACGAACCATTCTCAAACAATCTACAGGCTCCTGTGTTCGTCGACAAACCAGGACGACTGTCACCTCGGCTCAGCTTCACTTCGAGCAGACCTTCTTGGATCGGACCACAACACACAGCACGCTCAACCGCACCGGCATCGTCCACAATGGCAGAGAAGCAACAAATTCATTACAGCCACCCTGGCCTGCAGCCTCCCGTCTTCATTGCCGGTTCTATGTGCGAGCCGCAATGGGAACCGATAGAGATGAAGCAGAAAGAGAAGGAGGATGGCGAACTCGAATTTGAGCACGAGTTCGAAGCAGACCCTGGAGAGTACCAATACAAGTTCCGTCTCGGCCCTGGTGACTGGTGGGTGCTCGACGAGACCAAGCCGACTGGTAGGCAGAAGCGGTTTCACAATTGAAGGAAAGCATTACTGACACATGCACCTTANGTCGACGATGGATCTGGAATCCGCAACAACCTACTTGTCGTGGAACCCAAGCCTGTGCAAACAGAAGCCACCAAGGTCCCTGAACCACAAGCTGCACAAACAGCTGAAGAGAAGGAAATGCCCGTGCCAATACAAATCACAGATGCTCACGACAAGCACGAGGAATTGGTTGATGACATGGAAGATGATGATGACATCCCCGAGAGCGAGAAGAACCTCTTCAGGCACGAGACTGTCCAGATCCCCAATCGTACGGGCGAGAGTGACAAGGAGGACGAAGAAGAAGACCTTGAGAACGATGACGAGCAATTTGAAGAGCCGCCGCTTCTCGAGCATGAAAGATCTTTTCAGCGTGTGGACAGCCAGCACGGTACACCGTTCAAGACCGCTAACTTCGACCTCGATGATACCACCGAATCACCAATTGAGGTCGACGATTTCGCTGTTGACGAATACGATGCTCCGCCTCTTTTCAGACATGAAACTGGTGTCGCAAGCGACCTAGACCCCGATGAGGCACCGCTTTTTGCTCATGAGAGCATGTCTCCGGTCATGTCCGCAAGCTCGTTCTCGCCCTCATCTCGCAAGCAACGCAAGCCTGATCTTGAAGACGTCAACGACCCTTCTCTCGAGCCCTTCCCTGTCGACGAGGCTGGCATCCAGGCTCGCCTTCAGCGTGTGGCAACACGTCGTCGCGAGGACGAAGTTGTGTTTGAGGGAACTCCTCCTTCGCCATCTCTGGCCCAGACGAAGTCTTTCTCACCCCAAGCTCGTCCTGATCTCATACACAACGAGTCTAGCGATCTGAGTCATCTTGACGCTATTGATGAAACAGAGGAGGCAGATGAAGTAGACGATACACCCGCTGTGAAGCCCGCTGAAAAGAAGGATTCGGTCGTACAACCTGTTCCCATTAACATCAGGGTTCAGGACGTCTCCGAGATCGACAGCAACTCTTCATTCGTCGACGTCCCAGATGTTTCGAATCGCGGACCACCTACACCACCAATGACACCTACAGAACATGCCAGAGCCAAGGCTGCACCTCATGACGGAGCAGCCGACTCAAAGGACATACCTGCTCCTGTTGGAAGCCCTTGCTCTCGCAAGGACAATGCCACAGACCACATTGCCAACCGCGCCTCGCCTTCAGAAGCTCCAAAGACCGCGAAATCCTCCAAGCAGAAGGATTCAGAACTGGGCCTCGCATCGAAGGCTTGTATCTGGTTCATTGGTCTTTGTGGTGGTAAAACTCGCGCAGCGTGGGTTTACGAACACTCTGGACTTGCAACATTGCTAACTCGTTGCACAGTNGGTGTGGCAATCGCTATGGGCGTCGCCGCAGTCGCGTTCGCCATCAACACACGTTCCGCTTGAGTGATTCCGGTTTGTCGAATCCTCGACCGGAGACTGTTTCGTTGACAAATTTCTTATTTCATTTTCCATTGTTCTCTCTTATGTCTATCATACCTCAGAGTCGATTCTATCTCACACAGCGGGCGCAGGGCATGGGTCGGTCATGGTTTGTCACGAAGCATATGGTTACGGCTGACTCTCATGACATTCTACAATGCAACGAATGCAGAGATTGCTGCCGAAGCACGCGCAGACGGGCGAGCATCAAGGATGACCATCGAAGCCAGGGTGGTTTCTCGCTTAATTTGTTTCCTAGCCTCAGTCTCAATTCATATCTGATATGAGCGCTTTCCGCTCTACTGCTTGTACTCTACCAGAATTCTTGTTGATAGCCTCAGTATTTTATACATCAGCCTCGGCTTTGATCTGTTTTCGCGGAGCTCACCCACAATCGGAGGTCGCCGAGGAAATGCAACAAACTTACACAAAAGCTTTGATGAAGGCTTGATTTCTTCATCGCTGGAAAGATTAGGCACCCAATTCCTAAGCCTTGATCCTTGTGTTGTCGATAGATGACTGACACTGACTGTGATCGAGATATTACAGCGAGGCTGATTGCCTAGGAAAGAATTGGTTTGGTTGCTGCCCTAATTGTACATTTTATCAACGGTAGAAGCTCCGGCGTGCCCGAGCTTCACCCCACTTCACTAGCTTGATCTTGGTAGCAATGCCCACTGTTCTGCATATATCTTGATGGAAAGGCCGTTCTGTGAGGTGGCTTTCTCTTTCGCGTGAAGAGAGTTACATAGCACATGATTGTTGTTCGAGTGCTATGTGCAGGTATATGCTTGGTGGACGTCATACTCCAGAAAATCATACCTCCGAAGACCAGCTGGGGGGCGCCAGCAGCCTGGCGTCCGTACTAGCTTGTATAGCTCCAATGGAGATACGGTTGAGAATTGGCTATTAATCGCTGTCAGTGCGGGCGGCCAGAGAGCTGTCACGGATCAACTTTTCCATGATATGCTGGCTGGGGTTGCCCGCATCTCTGACTTGCCGATTATCAATCCTGAGGCCCATAAAAAGGTAAGAGCCGCCTTCTTTCTTGATTTCGAGTCTTGCTGTCCAACACCTCTCGTTCCAACCGTATACCACCAAAATGTTGTCCAAGTCTTTCGTTGCCCTGTCCCTTCTCTCGTCGTCGGTGTCGGCCGAGACTGTGCTGGGAGTTTATATGTTCCACAGACATGGAGATCGCACACCCAAGGCTCTTGCTCCTGCCAACCTGACCGACCTGGGTTACGCGCAGGTCTACAACTCTGGTGACTACTACCGTAGTCGCTACATCGACTCGGAGGCCGACCACAGAATCTTGGGCATCAACTCCGATATCGTCAAGCAATCGCAGATTGCTGCTTCCGCTCCTTCTGATACTGGTATGTTACATATCTCCGAGGAGAAAGACAGCGAGCAGTTTCTCTGACACATTCANACAGTTCTCCAGAACTCTGCCACTGGTTTCTTGCAGGGCCTTTACCCTCCTGTTGGCAATGCTTTGGGCACTCAGACTCTTAGAAACGGATCAAATGTGACTAGCCCGCTCAATGGCTACCAACTGATTCCCTTGGCCTTGACCACTACCGGCTCCGGCAGTGAGGACAACGGCTGGCTTCAATCTGCTTCTGGGTGTGCCAATGCTGTCAGCAGCTCCAACGAGTACTTCTCCAGCCCTCAGTACACAAGTCTCCTTGCCAGCACCCAGGACTTTTACAACAACCTTACTCCTGTGATCAATGCTACTTTTAGCTCGAGCCAGATCAGCTTCAAGAACGCTTACACCAGTAATTTGCGAATTTCTCTACGTTTTTATGTTCATCGCTAATCATGATATTCAGTCTATGATCTGATCCATGTTGCCGAGATCCACAATGCCACCATCAACTCATCTGACGTCCTTACCCCTGATGTTCTTCACCAGCTCCAGTCTCTGGCCGATGCACACGAGTGGGGTCTTGCTTACAACTCTTCCAACGACATGCGTGCCGTTGCCGGCAAGGTGCTCGCCGCCGAAATCGTCTCGTTCCTGAACGGCACCATCACCGGACAAGGCAAGAGCAAGTTCGGCGTCCAGTTCGGCGCCTACGCCACCTTTTCTTCCTTCTTCGGTCTCGCCGACTTGCCCGTGACCAACCCTGACTTCTACGGCATGACTGATTACGCCTCGTCCATGGCTTTCGAGCTCGTCACCAATGCTTCTACGTCGCCTTTCCCTGCTGCCAGTGATATTTCTGTTCGCTTCTTGTTCCACAACGGCACTACCAACTCCAGCAGCCCGCCTGTTGCTTACCCTCTCTTCGGCACTGGCAATGAACTCACCCCTTGGAACGACTTTGTCACTTCTATGGACAAGTTCAGCATTGGCAACACTCAGGCTTGGTGTACTGCTTGCGGCAACAGCACCGGTACCTGTGCTGCCTATGCCCCTGCCTCTTCCTCTGGCAGCAGTGGCTCCAGTGTCCAGAACAAGGCCAAGAGCGGCAATGGCTTGAGCCCTGCCGTCAATGGTGTTATTGGTGCCATGGTTACCTTGGCTGTTGTGCTCGGTCTCGAGGCTTTGGTGCTGTTGGTCGGTGGTCTCAGGGTCGTTAGCAAGAAGACCCTTGCTGCTGGCGCTGTTACCGCAGAGACCATTAGCGGTGGCAAGGCTGCGTAGAAGCGTTTTTCTTGATGTTTCTCACGATAGGTTTGGCAATGGGAGTGTGGTAGAGAGAGGGCCTTATGATTCCCTTTTCTGACTGACACTAGTCGATAAAGAATGACGAAATGTATATGATGAGCTTTTTGCATGAAAATCGATTGACACTTTTGCCTTTCCTTTCTGTCGTTGCGACTGTTTTGGTTGGTTTCCTTTCCTTGGATCTTCCTTCAGCCTTGAGGTTTGCTCCTTCCTCTTTTTCTTTCGACTTGTCATTCCTTCTTTTTCTGGTTCAAATTCATCGTTCCTTCCCTGAAAATTCCAGTTTCAAGTTCGTCGTTGCTTCTATTTGTGTTCTGACTCCACCGCTCTCTTCCTGTTTGTGTTTCAGCTCCATCGCTCCTTGCTGTTCCTTGGTGCATGTTCTGTTCTGCATCGTGCTTTTCTTTTGTGATCTGACTGCATCGTTCCTTCCTTTTGTATTTTCGATGCATTGTTCCCACTAGCATGCTACAAAATACAAGACACGCATCATGCAAAAATGGCACGACAAGCCAGAGGATCGGACCGCGAACCGCAAAACCATGTTAGGAACAAAAGACGAGTGCCTATTATACAAGCAAGCAGGCCAACAGTACGTGATCTGGGGTAAGCTTGCAAGATGATAGGACAAGAGGTCAAGATGGCGCGTTCTAGAACACAATATATAGCTTGGGCGCTTAGTATCTTGGCTCAGATCTAAGTATTTTTGCTATGTGCAACACGGCTATAATTTCTCCTCTCTTACTGCGGGATAGAAACTTGTGAACTGGCGAGAGGCATAAAGGCTTGAATAGAATAAAGATGTGACTGGAGGGAGTCTGCGATGTGTCTTTTAATGGCTATATACCCTGTTCCTTGCATGGGATTGTGCATTTTCATAGCTAGGTACCTGACATACGTTAGCATATGGAAAAAAGGTATCGAGGAGCCCAAAAGGCGGCTCTGATTAGGGTGATCATAAGTCTTCGTGATTTGTTATCTACATTGCCCTAGACCCCAGCCACTTAATATATCTCTGGAAAGCCTCAAATCTCTTGCTGTACCCTAGGGTAGGATCAGAGCCCTAGTAATATGTGTTTACATCCATATACAGTACTTGGGTGTGTGTGCCAAGCAAGGAGGACAAAACTTGCTTCTCAAATTGTGAGAAGAAAACAATTCCAGGCAGACTCAAGAGGAAAGACCCTCCGTTATAACTTCGGTTCATTAGCTATACATTACTTCAAACATGATGCATATACCACAGCACTTTTACGCAGAGTAACAGTACTTGTCAAAGCAAGCAGTGCAAGCTGCAGGCAACGCCCCTCCAGTCTTCTTCATAACCGCACACCCAAGACAAACAGGCCACTCCGCATCCCCATCTTGTGTCGCAATAGCATTACCATTGGCAATAATACCCGCCGTCTGATCCTCGCTGGTCTCAATAATAACAGTCTGGATATTGGACGCGTAGGTGTAATTGTTGTTGGGCAAATACACCACAGTAGCTGTTTCAGCGGTGTCGCAGCCAAAGAAAACAGCATGTTTATTAAGTCCTTGGGCGAGGAAAACGTCGAGGGTGGGTACAAAAGGCATACGAGAGAGTCCTTGTGCCATGGCTTGCTCGTAGGCGCCAACGATGGCAGTGCCAGAGGGGAATAAATCAGTGGTGTCGGCGCCATTGTCGGCGGCAATGATGACGTCTACATTGCGCTCGGATTGGATCAAGGGCCAGAAGGGCATTGCAGAGTTGCCTTCACCGCCATCCACGATTTGGATTTCTTGTTGTGCGTTGGTGAGGGTGGATGCTGGGTAGCCGTAAAAGGGGTTAGGGTAGGGAGCGTACAGATCGCGGGTGACGGGGCTGTGGGCGTTGAGGATGATGGCTTGCAGGGTCTGAACCAGCGATTGTGTGTTGTTCTGTGCGGGGATGGTGCTGCAGTAGTTGTTGAAGAGGGCAGAACTGGTGCCTGCTACGTAGCCCAGGTTGTCGTAGTTTTTGATGCACTTGCCAGATACAGTGGGCGCGCCATTGGTCAGTTTGGACCCGAGGTAGGCGGTTTGGGTGAAGGCGTTGACGTTGGAGTCCCAGGATCCGAACTCGTAGGGAGNTCTGTTGGATGACAAGTTAGCTACGGTGCGATTAGCGCATTGAGAGATACCTACGAATTCGTATTGTGTTCCATTGTCACGAGGAATGCATTCTCCTTCGAAAGTGTTGACGCCTCTAGCAGTGATGATAGGGAAGGGCACGGCGTGGCTGGTAAAGTTGGAAGAAGAGACCACGCTCGAGAGGGTCTTGCTGACCATGCCATCGGTTTTGAGATCTTCAGAGTTTGTGGAGAGAAGCTGGTATGAGAGCAATCTGCCGTAAACGTCGATGAGGGTAGGCTGGAATCCAGCCTTGGCTTTGTCGACAATGTCTTTGACCTAGTATAGTGTTAGTCAAATGATACAAGGTGATATTCCGGCAAGACTTACAATCTCGGCATATGCAACAGCAGACAAGAGGTGTGCAGGCACCAGAAGCGAGTCGGCAAAGGACTGAGACCAGAGGTTATCCCTCAGGTATGAGACAGTGGGCCAGTTCAGACCTGTCCAGGAGGTTGAGAACCATGCACCTCCGGAAAGAGACGTCTCGTAGGTGAATGCCTGGTAGAGACCGCTTGTAGAGAGATCCGAATCACGGGCATCCAGAGCCTGAACCAGACCAGCACCAGAGAGCAAGGCACGGTAGCCACCACCACTGAGGACCAATCCAACAGTGGGGAGATTTGTAGTAGCGAACGAAGGGTCGGTCTTCTGCAACCAAGCAGCGAGAGCAGCATCGGCCTTGGGCTTACGAGCAGCAATGTATGCAGCTTCGTCCGCGCCTACACTGTTGGCAGTGCGAACCAAGGGAGTGCTAGGGCAGCTTGCTGAGACGGGAGCATAGGGAGCGAGATTGATAGAACGAGTGTCAATGGCAGCGGCAGAGGCGTGGCCAGCGAGGCCTAGCAGAGACAGTTGCAGCAGAGCAGCGTAGGGAGCCATAACGATAGACAGAGTAAGATGTAAAGAGAGAGACTGGATGGAGCAAGGAAAGACGACGGCGAGAACCTACCTTTCATACTCTACCGGAATGGTTCATATAATCAGATAAAGGGTGCAAGGCAAGCACAGACGAGGAATGTACACGAAGAGCTTCTTCGGAAGAGATCCATTGTAAGCGAGCAGTGGTCGGCGCTGTTTCGAGAAGGACGGGAGAACAGGCGTGCTCGGCTATCTAGATTAACGGGTACGCACGTACTGAGTAAGAAAGGTGCATGTTAGATAGATTGATTGGCGGCCAGGTACGCAGTACGAGAGTCTGAGTTAACGAGCAGAGCCAGTAAAAGCGATTAGGCAGAGCATGAGAGATTGGTCGAGAGAGCACGGTCGAGATAACAGAGAAAATATGGTAAAATCTCGACCTCGGTCTCAATATGAAGGGACGAAAGTTTGAGACATGAGTCGTGACACGGATAGGTCGGGCTGCCGGCAACATGTGCCAACGTGAAGCCTGGGTGAATGCTATGCTCGAAACAACGAGGAATATCAGAAACAGAGTGGTGGAAGTGGCTGAAAAGCACTGAAGAGGAGAGAAGTGAAGGCGGATGGGCAAGAAGAGACAGCACATCAACTTCCAAGACAAAGCGCGAGCGAAACAGGGAATCATCAGCATGATCAACAAGGTTGTTGGCAGCGGGCCGACCAAATAAATAGAGATTCGACCCCACGTCTAGCGCGTTGTCGGAAGAGAAGCAGCAAGTGCAGTCGAAATGACAGACGGAGCGAGTGAAGGAGGACGCGATTTGGACCTGGAAAAGGAGCTGTCGTGCTCGGTAAGAGGCAGAAGAGAGAAGGTGGTAGTAAGGGACTAACGGTTCGTGACANNGATCTGCACCGACGTCCTCCACCGGCCTCTGACGTTGCTCGACTGCCTACACAGCTTCTGCGGAAGTTGCTTGAAAGAATGGTTCGCATGGCAGGCTTCTTCGAAGGGCCATGTATACTCATGCCCAGCATGTCGAGCCGTTGTGCGCGACACCAGGCCGAATGCGACGCTTAGCACGCTGCTCGACATGTTCCTGCAGGCTCACCCTGACAAAGGCAAGACGGCTCAAGAAAAGCTGGACATGGACAAGACGTACAAGCCTGGAGACAACGTAGTACCACCGGTAGACCTGGGCCAGGTATCAGATGATGAGGACGAGGAAGAACAACAAATGCTGGCCCAGGCGCGTGAGATGAGTCTCAACGACCTAGGCCTTGGGAACCGCCCAAGAGAGTCAACTCACACACGCCAGAATCGCCGTCGTGACGACTCGCCTCGCTCAGCCCGAGCCGATGCTTTGTCCCATCAGTCCAGTATACGCTCGCTTCTGAGCCAGTCCGATGTGGACTTGGGTGATATGGAAGATGAGATTATGCGCCATATCATTGACCATGGCCTTCTGGACGGTGTCGATATCAACAATCTGACTCCGGAACAGGAGGAAACCATCACTGATTCTATTGCGCGAGCATATCGTTCTCGCCGCCGTCAAGACCGCCGTGAACGCCATCATAACCGTGACCGCTCTGCTGCTCGTCCTTCTCCACGACCTTCTGCCCATCGCCATTCTCCTCACTCTTCATCATATAGACATTCTCCTTCGACCTCGACCCACAGACATTCTCCTTCGTCGTCAACCCAGCGCCGAACTACTTCGACTGCTACGACACTTAATCCTCATGCCTCGACTCCAGTCGAAACTCAATCCTCCCCAGCAAGGCGCCGTGCTGCCTCAGCTCATCATTCTCACCGAGTCGATACCACATCTGATCGGCACCGCCATCTAGCTCCTGATTCGCCTTCACGACCTTCCAATCACAGTTCGCCCGCTCTTCCCATTCCTTCCCGAGAAGAGTCAGTGACTGACGTGCCTGGTCCTTCGATAAGTTGTTCAAGGTGCGAGAAACCTGACATACAACACTCGCTACATTATAAATGCGACAAGTGCTCCGGCGGTAACTTCGATTTGTGTCTCGGATGCTATCGTGCAGGAAAAGGCTGTCTGAATTGGCATGGTTTTGGTCGCGCACCTTCGGCTCGATACCGCCCTCAAGCTGGTTTCGGTCCCGACCACGCAGACTATGACCCTCCTCATGTTCTGTCAGCCAGACGATACGACCANAAAACTGCACGCTTGGAGTCAGGTCTGTTTTGCGACGGATGTCAGGCATTTGCGAATGCTTGTTACTGGCATTGTAACACTTGCAACGACGGAGCATGGGGCTTCTGCAATGCCTGTGTTGAACAGGGCAAGCACTGCACCCACCCACTAGCCTCTGTTGCGCATACCTCCCAAGCTCCCAACTCTTCGCAACGACACTCACCATCAGAGTTATACCCACCACCACTAACGCCCACCAACTCTGCCTTCCACTTTGCCGTCCCCTCAGCATCTATACCCCTATTGCCACACGTACCCGACCCCTCCTCCTACATCCCCATTACCTTAGCGTCCTACTGTGACATCTGCCACTACTCGATCCCACCTTCACACGCTCGCTTCCACTGCAACACCTGCAACAAAGGCAACTACGACATCTGCAACTCCTGCTACCACTCCCTCGTCAACACAGGCAAGATATCCCGCGACAACGGCCCCTCAGGCTGGCGCCGCTGCCTCCGCTCCCACCGCATGACTATCATCGCCCACGAATACCACAACCACACACCCCACCGCATCATCATCCTCTCCATGGTCGGCGGCCACGCCCTCAAAGACTCCATTCCCTCCTCTCAAGACCACTGGCGCTGGAAAGAAAATGACGGCACTGCCAAAACTGCTTCTGCGGCTCTGTTTACTGCCTCTTCCTCTCCACACGCATTTCCACCTTCTGGAGGTATTGGACTTACAGTTCAGGCTCTGTGGTCGTACTTCCCTGGCGANGGGGTGAGGGATGAGTTGAGTTTTCCGCGGCATGCGATTGTTACTGAGGTGGAAGATATCAACGGCGATTGGTTCTGGGGTGTTTATGCTGGGGCCAAGGGACTGTTTCCTGGTAACTACGTTAGGGTCGTGTGATGAATGGCAGTGAAACTGCTTCTTTTGCATTTGCAAAACGGCAGTGCATGCGTATGGGGAGCATGGGGTGCATGTAATCTTGGATGCAATGTTCCCCGGAGTATTGATCGGTGTTGCATGGTGAAGCATCACCGTTCGTTGCATGCATGCAGCTTGGGAGAAGCAATGTTGACGTTGCATGCATGGGAAAGCGGCAGTGTCGTTATTGCCATGAGAGAAGCAGTATCGTTGTTGCATGTAGATATCGGGGAAAGATTGCGAGTTGGCCGTTTCTCTCGAGAAGCATGCATGCATGCAAGATGGACGATTTCAATAATGAGACACATGATCACTTTCTATTTCCACCTTGTGCATCTCTGCATATCCGCCGTGATGTGTCTAGGCGTCTCTCACCATCCCCTCGGCCATCAAACTCGTAAATGTAGCTTTTTGTTTGAGTAATGTACAGTAGTATACAGAAGATTGCAGACATACCTTATGTCTTTCTATAGCACCTCGTAATCCCCAATTCTTAGAGGCTTGTCCCAATCAGGGGCTTTCGTCTTTAGCTGCACACCATGCCACCCTTTGATCTCATCCTTGAGCACGGCATTGACCAAGCGATGTTGCTTGATCACACTCAAGCCCTTGAATTTTGCAGATACAATGTCCAAGGCGTACATGCTTCCACACCCACCGCTGACATCTTGAACCTGTATGTCGTCTGTGTCAGTTTTCCCATTGCTCCTTTCTGCTTTTTGCTTTTTGGCAGCACGAACCTCGAGCTTTGTGGGCGATAGTTCTGCAGCCAGCTTTTGGAAGATGTGGAGTTCTTTTTCGTCTAGATAGTCTGGGGCTTCGACTGCAGTGGAGGATGCTGTTGCTGCGTCTGAGGAGTTGTGTCTAAGTGACGGCGAGGTTGTGAGGATGGAGCGCTGTGTGAGAGTGGAGCGAGAAGAAGGCGACAAGTGGTGTAGTTGTCGCGCTGGGTGTGCTGCCGAGGCCAATGTGCGGGAAGAGGTTCTGAGGGCGGCGAAGGCGGTGGATGCACTGCGGAGGACTGCTCTTGAAGGTGCCATTGTGTTGTTAGATGGTGTGGATAATTGAAGGTTTGTGAGTGATAGAAGCTGTCTTGGTCATGGATTCGAGGGTCGAGCTATTGGTCAGCCTTGACCTTTGACAACCCCGCAGTCCACAGCACTTCCTCTCACCAACGCGTCACTGATAATGTCGCGTCGTCCTCGAACATCGCCATATCACTGCACATTCTTTCCAACATATCACAGAAACAATGGATAGATATCTCATTCAAATGACCGCTCCCACCGGCAACACAGCCGAGTACATAACCACAACNCCCTCCCAACCCACCCAATTAGCAGGCACCAAGCGCAGATCCATAGACGCCTCTGACTTACTAACCATCAACCTCGATGACTATGACATTCCCGATGGTCACCCCATGGACTCTTGCACCGTAGTCCGCGGCAAGATAAACCGCTTCCTCGAAGCCGGAGAAATGAAAGTGGGCCAGTTCTGCGACGCCATTGGTGTCTCTGGGAATGCTTATAGAAGATTTATGGCCCAGAGTGGCAAGTTTGCTGGCGAGGGGTGTGAGACTTATCAGAATGCTTGGCTTTTCTTCAAGAAGAGAGAGATGGCGGGTCTGAAGATTCCTACCAAAAAGCAAAAGACTGCTGGTGCTTCGTCATCTTCTGCTGCTGCATCCTCAGCTGGAAATAAGAGTGCCGTGACAGATATAAGTAGCATTCATCTCGATGGTAATGGAAACACTCTCATACAAACACTCTTCGGCCTAGGACCAGCTGACGAAGACAACCACCAAACAGGAGAACAAGACGACGCCGTAGAAGTCTACGACAGCTGCGACGAAATACGCAGAAAGATCTCAGCACACCTGCGCAAACCCAACGTCACAGCAGCCCAATTCTGCCGCGACCTGCTCGTCCAATACCACACCTCCAAGAAACCTCCCCAGATCCAATCCGGCCAATTGACAAAGTTCCGCGGCTACAAAGGCGCAGATACCGGCAATACTTCTTGTGTGTTTTATGCTGCGTATGTGTTNTTTGAGAAGGTGAGGTTGGCAGAGGGGAAGCCGAAGAGCAAACATAGACAGGAGATGGAAGAGATCTGGGGCGGGAAGGGTGGGTTTAATGTTACTAGGGGACATCACAGAGGGTACGTTGGCAATTTTTTCTTTCTTTTTATTATTGCTTTGCGTCGCTGGTTGAGTGTCGGTGAACTGACGGTAGCAACAGATTTNCTCGTCATGGGCAATGACAGACCCGTGCAAGATCAGTACGGTCGAGTTACCATCGTGCGAGGACGCTGATGATGTTCATGAGCACCTATGGGCTGTTCCTAGTGTCTACGAGGTCTCCAAGATGAGTAGCGTATTCAAGTGGCAGACTTTATCAATGAGAGTGTAAGTACTTCTTCTGAATATTGCACAAGCAGACCAGTCGTGGGCGAGGTAGAATGACCGTACAAAGAACTGCCGTCATCGAGGAAGCGCTGGTCGTAACAGCAGCCATACACGCGACGGCGGTAACAGCAGCGACTGGACTGTCCATCTCGATTCGCGCATCTGACAACAGCACTGGAACCGAGTCTGAACAAGTGTCTCGAGAAAGACGTATCGTCCTACACGATACTCTTGAGATCGGACACATCCGCCATCGAGAGTGTCATTGTTGCAAGCTCTCTTTGGTATACAATCTCGACTACCAAGCACTCCGTGCTTCGCGAAATCGAACACTGTGTGTTCTAGTCCGCTCAAGGTTCATAACATCTCTCCTGATACGGCTGGGCTGATCTTGATCACTGACTTGCTCTCGGTGGAATGGATGCCATGCCTACAGTCCTCTTTAACCGGCTTGGATCTTCTTCCTACTCCAGTAGGAGCAAAAAAACAGGCATCCGGCAACACGATACACCTACCTCGTTCCTTCTAAGCGCTTTCCAACGAAAATGTTCTCCACCCTAGTGCAAAACATCTCGTCTGCTTCACCGGTACGGTCTAGTGGACCTTCCCGAGTTCTTCAAGGCGTCCAGGAGAACACAACAAAGGACCCAACCTCGCACAAACTGGTCGCAAGAACCGGATCCACATACCCTTTGCAGTTGCTGAAAAACACACAAACAAAGAACCACTAGCGGAAGCACAAACAACCAGAACACCAACCAGAAAAAGCACCACAGCAACTTGGTGTCACGTGGTCTTGCGGATACTGGGCAACTGCATCGTCTTTGCACCACTTTCTTTTCTGTGTGTTGGGGAAAAGGCGAATCATCTGTCCTCGAGACTCGGGTACAGTGCAGTCCTGACATCTCACAAGCACCATAGCCATCATACACCCATACTTGTTCTCCTCACTAGTCACGCCAGCACATAGACATCGATGGAACCGACACGCATATGTTGCGTCTTGCTCCACAGGCACGTCAATAAACGAACATACATATCCTTGGGTTGCATTACCAGCGAGAACGATGGGGCAAGAAAAAGAGGGTCTCCTGTCATGCTATACATGCACACTGTACTCGTGTTTTTCTGCTGCAGGGTTCTTGAGTATAGTGTACGGAAACTCGGCGCCTGCGTGCGATGCTGGTTTAAACGAAGAAACACATGCACATGCATCATGCAATCACCATGTCACCTTTTTCTCCTCACCAACGAAACACTTCTGGGGTTGGGATTACTGCTGCAACACACTGCACACTAAAGAGGTGCAATAAACGTAGAATAGTTGGGAAAGGTGGAGCAATGTCTCTTTGATTGCATGCAACGAAGGCGTCTACCTTGAGGGGACGGAGGTCTTGGTAACTCCCAAGAAGCACATTTCCTCATGACTGTGCTCTGTGTGTCGCGGTTTCTTTTTGGACTTATCCATCATCGTTGTTATCCTTTCTCGAAATCACAGTCTCGACTCTCTTCGACCATTGCAACCAGCAGTTTCTTTGCAATCCTTCAACACTCAAAGGGCAGTTGGTGGATGAGCTGAGACGGAGAATCAGGCTAGCGCAATCTCGTGGTTCCTAAACTCTATTGGTTGGGCAAGAAATCTAGGTTGAGCAATGAAACGTTGTTTTCCTTCCCGCTCTGAACTCTTTTTGCAAAGTCACTTGGTCTAGTTCTTTTCAGCCACAAATGATCTTCATGGCTTTTGCTCAACAATTGTGTTTGTCACATGTAATTGGGAGATTGGTTGATTTGTAGCGAAAAGGTATGGATATAGTTTGATTTGCTAGAATGACAATGTTAAGGTGTATTGGGTGTTTTGCGCAATACTCTGGAGATAATGTAGAGACAGCCACGGGCAGCAGCGGGAAGAGCGGGCAGAGTTTGCCAGAGATGGTATGGGATAGACAGGGGTTGTGAAGGAGTGTCAGCTATGCTACAATAACGCCATCACTAAGAGTCTTTTGAGGGTTCTGTACAGTAACAGTTGTACATCTTTCTGCTTTTTGGACTGGAAGAGTAGGCGCCCATGGTTCACCGCTTTGGGGGTGCTGTCAGTGCTTCTCATGTTCATGTACCCCAGCTGCTGAGAAGTGGTAGACACACAGACACACCATCTACACAATGTACAACTTTGGTGACTGCGGAGTGCAAGGAAGCGCAAGCGCAAGGCGACGCAGCTGAAGGGAAGTTACACCCGATGTTGGGTAGCGTCTGGGCCTGCTCTGCCTTCTCTGCCCGCTGGACAGTTACCCCGAGTACTGTGGCACGTAGAGCATGGACTGCTGTATGCCGCCCATATCTCTCTGAAAAAACGCGTTCGAAGATCCAAAACTTACGGTGGTGATTTGTCGAACCCTGAGGCTGATCGGGAAAGTGTGTTTTGATAGACGATATGTCTGCCGAGTATTGTGGTTGGAGGACTTGCTCCGCGGTTGGTAAACGCAGATAGCCACAGCTCACTTCCTAACTGAGCAGTCGCATGGCTTTTGTGGCTGGGACCATTTGGCAGATCTGTACGGCGTACGGAGGTTAAACTCACAGCCAAATGTCCATGGGAGGTTCAAAGAAGTCTCAAACTCTTTCTTGTTGCTTCACATCACCGTGGCAAGTCATGTGTCTGGCACACAAGCAAAAGTGCATGTTGATCAGGGTCTTGATGTCAGCAAGAAAAAGTATACTTTTCAGATCTTAGGGAAAAGGGGTTCAGAGGATTGCGGAGACCACTCCTCCCTCTGCTTGTCTTTCTCTCCTCACTCTTTGCCCCAACAAACCTCCACAGCGAGCACGAAACAAGTCGTTGACTGTTCGTCGGGGTCTCCGCGTCCCCATCACTCCACCTGTCTCTGCAATCGGACCGACCAAGATGTCGAGTATGCGCGAAAGCAGCGCCGAAGTGTGGATATCAATTTCACTCCACGAAATCCTTCGGACCTTTTTACCCATTGACGTTGGGAAAATCTGGAGTTGCATCTGCGAGTGGGATCTATGCTCTGGAAGCATGGCTGCAAAGTTCGGCTGGTTCAACAAAAAAATGAATCTCCAATAAACATGTTCGGCAGGATGGGGTTCTGTTTCTCCACGGATATCTAGCCGATCTTGGGGCGGAAAGAGGAATGTGATTGACGCGCACAAGAATAGAACACCAATACCAAGCAAGAGCAAAAAACAAGGGATGCCCGTGGAGATTTGCCAGAGTTCGGAAGGTACTCTGATACTTTGAGACGTACAATGTCCAGCGACCCTGCGGAGGAGGTCGAGTGCGGGGCATCCTTGCCCGTGCTACAAGAAACATCAATCTCATGTTTCCAAATCTGCAGTGTCCAGCGCATCTGCATGCCGTGTGCTGAGGCTGGCCTTGTTGTCCCATATCTTTGCCACTGCGTCCAAGACTATCAGATCCAAATGTCGTGATAACGAGATTGTAAGCAAAAGATTGAGCCAAGCCCTTGAACCCCGCTTCCTAGAGAGCGACGCGAGAATGCCAGTGCCAGCCAGTGAGGACAACACATGGTCTCTGACTGCACTTCCACTCGTATGCTGTGCAGCCCGCACGCGTGCATCGGGTCCTCTGGTGTCTTGTCCATATCTATGAGACATGGTGTGATGTCTGCTGCCAAGAGGATAGACGTAGTCTAGCACTGTCTTTTGACGAGTTGCCTCTTAGTCTTGACACGCAAGTCTTCTCAGCAGGAACCTGCACTCGTGGCTCGAGGCCGATGGGTATTGATACATGTCAAAGATGTGCATGGGTAGATCCTGTATGTACAGTGGACAGACGACCCCCAAGACCTGCTGCATCTAGGTACAAGCCAACGGTCTTGCCGCCCCGAGGGCAAATGTACCCATGTACATCTTGTACATTGCTTGCTTGCGCAAGACGAACCGCAAACCGCTATTCCCATTCGAGAAATGAGTTTGTGTGTTTCCAATGGTCGAGATATGGATCCGTTGCTGTGTCAATGGAGATGTCTTAACTCAAATCAGACAACAATAGAGGAAACAACACTCGAGGTGGCTGTCCAGCAAAGATCCAGACATGCCACGGCAACAATGTAGTTGACAATTAACCATTTTTTATGCATGATGGTTTCTGTTGCGTCTGCTCGTAAATGCAGCGCAAGCGTTGTTGAGATATTGCCAGGTGTCGCGCACGGTTCTTTTGAGCGTGTAGAGGGTAAAACGCCCCAGTCTCGCCAACGTCTTGTTCAACACCCCAGGAACATCCTCTACAAAAATTGGTGTGGCTTGTTGATGTGTGTTGTGTGGAAGGAAGTTGTTGAAAAGAACGCCTGGTGAGCCGCCAGATTTGCTGAACGTCAGAGGCGCGAGTGGCGCGTGTGTATGCTGCACGCTAATTTCGACCAACCGCAACAATTAATAAATTATCGGTCGGGGCCGTGAGCCGTGATTGTTTGAACTGCTGAATTATCTGTGTGCCGGACAGTGGCGTTGTTTGTGTGGTCCACAAGAAGTCGAACAAGAAGATTTTACGTCAAAGACTCTGTTGCATACAGTTGGTGCCGATAGCGAGCTGTCAGTGATATGTGTAAGTTGTACCGACCGGTTAAGACAGTCTTTTGAAGGCTGACAGGATTCTTGTCCTTCGACACGCGGTATCGGACTGGTCGCGCGCTTGTAAGATAGCGGGTCGCGGAAAGCGTTTACGGTGAGAGAAAAAGAGATTCGTTGAAGCTGGTGAGGCTGGTTAGCAGCAGAAAAAATAGAGTGCTATAAGCATCGCAGAATTTGTGAGGCAGGTTTGCGATTGATGTGTTTCGTGTTTCATCAGTTGCGATTGCTGGCAAGAGCTGCTTACACTATCATCTTGCGCATTGACCTGTGAGCTATGGCATTTGTACTATCGCCTTTGTTTTCCAATCCGCGTGTGGCCATTTCGGCTCCGCTGCCTTTCAAAGCAGGTCCCACGAGCGTCTGGGGAACTCGAGATGTTGTAGGAAGTCAAAGAATATGTCATTGCCTCGTGCTCGAGGTCAGACCATACTTGACTCGCTAGTGGTTGGGTAAAACCGTCAAGTGGAATTGCAGAGAGTTGATATGGAGAAATTCCATCGGTACTGGACGCGGCCGACTTCGCAGATCACGGTACAACCTAATAGGAGCGAGCGCGCGATCTGTATAAGAAGACTTATTTTGCTCGCGCAGCGTGAGCGGGAAGATCTTCTTGTTTCACAGCAGAAAGGCGCGACAGCATGTCACTGCGGTGGCTCTGAGAAAACTGAGCCCTGGAGACGATGAAACGGCAATGACGCTGGCTTCAGCTACTTTTTGCCGATGGGTGGAGATGCCCGTTCTTTGAGCCTCCTTTTCACCACGCTCAGGGAGCGAGTGCCCTGTTGAATGGGTCGGTCCAAGCTATGCATAGCACGACAGCGTCATTGCTGACAGACAAACCACGCACTGATGCCGACGAGCAAGATCGTGCACGCGACGCGGTGGACCTAATGACAAAATTTCTTCACAAGTTCACCTCAACAGGATGATATCTCACTGGCAGAATTTTACCATCGCGATTGTTAAATGAGATCGAAGATAGGGTCGATGCAATCGCAGTACGCGTACTTGCCTCGTCGGTGAGCTTTTCCTCACAATATAATTCTTCGTTTAGGTTGCCTGTCACTACCAGACGAATCAGGGATTAGTGGGATGCTGCTGCGGAGGTGAGGTGACCGATATCTGGGCACAGCGGAGATGTGTGGGCGTGAAGGAGAAGAAGGACCGGTTTTTGCTGACTGGGTCAGACACGCACCAGTTGGCAGTCTTGACCGATTTGCCGGCCCGAGCTTAGCCGCTTGCGCACAAGTCAAGAGTTAAAAATTCAGAGAGGAATGTGGACGTTTGGGGATGATCTGGAGAAACTCTGTCGGGCCCGGAATAGCACAACGACTGGTTCTCTAGAGAAACCGTGTTTGTGCCAGAGATAAGGAAGGTCGTTGCAATCGCGAATGGACGGCAACATCAGTTTTCCGCAACGCAGCCGAGAAATGAGTTTCTATCTAGAAGTGGTATCACCGTCAGCAGATAGTAGCAAGACCAGATGTTAGCAGGCATGCCGGAGTCAGCATCGCAACGGAGACAGCATGACAACGACACAGTCGTCCTCGGAAGCACGGACGCCGGCCGTCACTAGCCACAGAGACACTTGAGCGCTTATGGCTAGACTTTCCGCCGTCATACCACAGGAGACGTGATGAGCGTTCGGAAACGGCCACGACCGCGTAGACCTGATGCTCGCTGAGATCGACGAAATCGTCAACATCATCGGCTTGGGCTTTGGATTTGCATGCTGAATTCAGATGTTTCTTGCGTCGCGCTTGAGAAAAGGTGGAGAGCAGCAGAAAAAATAGAGGCAGCCAAGTGAGTAGGGATCGGATACGGCACTCGTCTCTCCTGACTCCAAGATTTGTGTGGTGCATTAGTTTTGGCTGCGCAACCGCTGGGGCATGTCGAGTGGCATGGTACAGAGACAAGATACCTCAGTAGCACTGCGGCTGCGCGTAACATGTGGTCGAGTACTTTGTCTGTGCCTGAACCAGCAGGGCGCCAGGGCGGTCCTTTGTTTCTGTTGTATTATTGTCCGGGGCCCGGGCTGCCCCTCGATTAGGCGTGGTGTCTGCTGTTGCCGTTGTGCCCGTCGCCGGCCAGCCCAGAACAGCAAGCTGCTGCAAGACGCTGCTCACTACGATCCCCAACGCGCTGCAGGCGGAACGCTGCCAGAGCCAATCCTCGCTTGTCAAACCTTGTCCCGGCTCCCTGTTCCTGGTCGTGCATGGGGTTGAAGCCACACTCGAATCCTGCCGCATCCGTGATTCGCGCCCGCACCCGCTTCAACCCTTCAACGACGCTCAACCAACCGCACCACCAGTTAACTGCCCACACTTCCCCAATCGCCCTGGAGCCTGGGTTCCTTGCTTTTTATCATTGCCTGTTCCCGCACATCGATTTTTCTTCCTCCCGGCTTGTGTCTTGACCATCTGTTGTTTGCTCGACTTTTGTTGCGTTGTTGCGTCTCGGGCTTTCCTTTATCAATCGTCATAGCATCGGCATCATCATTCCAACCGATCCGATTTGGGCAGTCACGACGCACTCTAGGTTGGAACATACCAAGAAGCCGCAACTCCCGCTTTCGGTTTGCACGAGGAATTGCTGTGCCTTTTCTCACTCGCCAGGAAATATCATCAAGAATTTGCCTGTGAACGGTGCGGCTTTCACTAGCTGATATCGGAATACAACCACCAAACCTATACACACTTACCTACTCCCCCTCACCAGCCTCATCGAATATCTATCCGTAAGTATCCGGCCAACAGTCAGAGCCTATTTTCCCCACGTGCCGGGACTGACCTGCAACCATAGTGTTGCGCAACCCTTCTGATGCTTGCCGGCCTTTGAAGTCTACACACCCCTCCTCTGGCATTTTCGACACAACTCACGAAATGCCTTACACACCGCCCTCTCACCAGTCACCGGCCTCGTCTAAGACGGCGAGCCCGGTCATGAGCCGCTCATCATCATTCAGCGCAGAGAGCACAGGAACACGGTCGCCGGCCTCGCCGAGACCTGCACTTCCTCGCTCGGTATCATCGACAACTTACCTGAACAAGCAACGACGAGGTCCCTCAATCTCTCAACAAGAGCCAGCTGGCCTGCCGCAATCTCCCGTCGATGACAACGACGAATCGAACAACGTCCGAATCATCGAGGGTGTCATCTCTAACAACGGTAGCATCCGCCAGTCACCTTCTCCTGTGAACAATCTGTTGATTCCGACAGGTGCCATCTTGTCACCNCCCGACTCATCCGAGAACTCAGACGGTGAAGACGCTGCCGAAGCACCAAGAGGGCGTAACAGCTTCTCCCACACCTGGGGTGAACTGGAGCAAGCCGTGCGGTCCATCGAACTTAAGCGGGAAGGATCTCCTGCAAGGAATGGTGTCTCTTTCTCCGAGCCCACCACCACCATCCACTCACCCACAGCACTGAGTGCCACAGCACGCAAGATCACGCACTCGAGGTCATCCACAGAGACAGCCATCCTAATCCCCGACCGTATCGTTACCGAGTCTCCGTCAGAAGAGAGCGAAGACGACGACGACGATGAGTTGCGCGTCAAGCCCCCGCTTGTGAGAAAGAAGTCTGGTGAGTTGGTCAAGCCTGCCCTCAGACCATCGTCGAGACGCAGATACTCCAGCATGCCCGGCACTCCCACCTATTCCAAGTCGGTCCACTTCAACGACAACGGTAACCAAACCAGACACTTCCTGCAGGTCGAGAAGCCGTCTGCTATCAGTGCCGGCTCTTCGCCCGTTGACACGTACGATGAGGAGACCGAGTACCCTTTCGAAGGCAAGGACAACTCGAACAAGCTTGAGTGGCACCTCAGGCTCGCAAACTTCCCAGAGGACACGCACGAGCGAAGTTACCAGCCCGTCCGCGTCGAGAAGGTCTACCTTTCGACCGACACAAAAACTCTCATCGGTACTGTCGCTGTGGCAAACATCTCGTTCCAAAAGCACGTCGCTGCTCGCTTCACTCTTGACTACTGGAAGACCACTTCTGAGGTTATGGCCGAGTTTGACAGCGATGTCCGCAAGCAAAACCCCCATGACGGTTATGACCGCTTCACCTTCAACATCCGCCTGTCTGATCAAGCCAACCTGGAGAACAAGACATTGCTGCTGTGCGTCCGTTACAACTCTGGAGGCCAGGAACACTGGGATAGCAACAACGGCATGAACTACCAGATCGACTTCGTCAAGAAGATGACCAAGTCGGCCTCGACCAGCTCACTGTCGTCTCTTTCCTCATCCTCATCGAGGCCTTCTCGCAACACCATCCCTCGTAGCAGACACTCTCCTCCCGTACCCCGTCAGGCACGCGATCTCTTTAGCGACGAGGATTTGCGTTCCAAGAGCTCGACGTACCACTTCGGCTCCCCAGAAAAGCTCACTGGTGACCCTGCTGCCCAGCCCCAGGTCAAGCTGAAGCCCCGCTCCAAGAGAGTGGATCTTACCCGTGTTGGATCTGCACCTGCAAACGGTCTCGGTGGAAGATATGACTTCGGAGCATCGCTCAGTGCCGCCTTGTCGAACGCCCAGGATAAGCTCGGAAAGCAAAGTGGATTACTGCCTCACTCTCAAACCTCCACTCAACCCCACGCCCACTACTTCTCACCCAGGACTACCAGTGAGGTCAAGCCTGTGGTCCCGGAGCGCCCCGATGCCATCACCACCGACAGACCCGCCATCGGATCCCAGCAATATAAAGACCTCGTGAACAAGTTCTGCTACGTAGGTTCCAACAAGACTTCCACCAAGGCCTAATCCCCATGGTGCTAATTATCAAATCAGTTCACTCCTGGATCTTCGGGCAAGTCATCGCCTTCGCCTCAAACAAGTTCCGGATCAAAGCCTAGCAGCACCGACGGTTCTGGCGACGGTGCATCGCCAAACGAGTACAGCCCTCAATCTGGTTCTGTCACTCCTACGCCGCCTCAAAGCCTGTCGCCTTTCCTCGACGGTGCCAACGACGGATTTACTAGCTGCAACGAAATCAGCAAGTTGATCTCCCGATCGGGCTCACCCGCGTCGATTAGCAACAGCAACAACTACGTTGCACGAGCTTACAGCTACCCTTACGCAAGGGACGGATATCTTTCGGAGTCGCACACCCCGACCGCCATCCGTGGTTAAATGCTAAAACCAATATATGATGTGCATTCTCACAGCACGACCGGAGCCAACACCTGTCTTCTCAGATGCTGCAATGCAACAATTACGATCAACCTCATTCGAACATGGGCAACCCCTTGTCAAATAAGGCACTTCGTCTTTTTCTTTTCTTTTCTTAACTTTTCCTTGGTATATCAAAGCGTTCCGGCATTGATCATTTCATCTCGCAAGGCGTTCCGGATTCTCCATGAAACGGCTCATGGTGTATAGATGGCCCTTGGAACGATGATCGCAAACATCCCTGTTTCGGTCTTCGTCAGCCTTGGGCCCTGTTTTTCGAGCGCAATACCTTTTCTGAAAAGTCGTTCTTGTTCTTTTCCTTTCTACCCTTGCTATTTTACATTTTCCTTTCTTCTTTTCTATTTCCTTTCTCTCTGTATTTGCTTACTTTTCCTTTCTCACTCATTGACGGAAACTGGGAGGTAGGTTGCTGTGCATGCATGTACAGAACATCATATGGGCGCTTGCATCGACTCTCAACTCTGGTTGTTAGTTAATTCGGAATCATGACAATAGGGAAGGTAGCTTTTTGATGGCTGGCGTGGGATTTTGGGAGGTTCCTATTACGAGAGAACGCGCATGGCACCATGTTCACGCTGGATTCTGGATGATGAACGGAGGACGTGTTTCCCCCAAGTGATGGTCACAAATCAATGCTTAGGAGGATGAAACATGGACTGAAGGCAACAGCAGAAATCAATATTTCTATTACTCGATCATCTACTTTGTCCCTCTGCGTATGTTATGTGATTGTCTTGCTGGAAGTCTGTTGTACGACTGGTGCACGTGGAATGATCTGGCTTGTGCACGATGCTTCCTTCCTCTTTCCTCCTTTTTCAACATTGCACTGTGTAGTCAAGCAAGACCTGTCACAAATCATCATTGCCATGTCGTCCTCTTCAGTCCCAACAGGACTTGTCATCGATCAGACGACCATACTATCGCTGCTGTCAACATTAGCCATTTTGGCCGCAGCCTACATAACATCTGTTTACACCCTCCCCAGCACCGCGAGCTCCAAAACCCGCTTCCTCTTCATCTGGCACGCCTTTGACGCGCTGATCCACTTCATCCTCGAAGGCAGCTTTCTCTACAACTGCTTCTTCTCCTTTGGGCCCACTCTACTCACCGAACCTCTGCTGCCGGCCAACGTACACTTTTTGGGTCGCGTGGGCAGAAACTATGGCGCTGCGTATGGAGAGCAGTGGCATAGTGCGCTTTGGCGCGAGTATGCGAAGGCGGATAGGAGATGGGCGGGCACTGATCTCACGGTTGTGAGTTTGGAGGTGTTGACGGTGTTTGTGGGTGGGCCATTGGCTTGTTGGGTTTGTTTGCAGTTGGTTAGGGAGAGGTGGGGCAGTGCGTGGTTTTGGNNATGTGTGTGCTTGCTACTGGGGAGCTGTATGGTGGTGAGTATTTCTATTCGCTGCTTTTTTGGCCAGGGTCGCTCGAGGAGACTTGGTCGATTGGTGTTGTCGTACTGATGGGAGTTCCTTTTAGGGTTCATGACTTTTGTACCTGAGTGGCTCAGCGGCTCGCCAAATCTGGTCACTTCGAACTGGATGTACAAGTAAGTTTCGCATGTTTTCTCTGTCGATGAACTCCTTATTCGCGGTCTTCTACCCTCACTTCTACCCAAACATGTACTCGAGGAAGACTTGATTCCCAGAATCGCATAACCTTATATGCTTTCCGCGGATGATCCAAGCCACCGCTTAGGAGAAAGTGGCTGCCTGTGACTTGATCACGAGGCACTTTCACTATACTTCTTCTTCCCTTTACATTCCCAGAGCAAGACCGAGAAACCCCTATACATACCAAGGAAATACAGAGACTGATGGAATATTGCACAGATGGGTGTACCTTTTCTTCTTCAACACCCTCTGGGTGTGGATCCCCCTCTGGATCCTCTATCAAGGCCACAGAGTCTTTACTTCTGCTTTGAATACCTCAACTTTCAAGCAAAAGACAAGATAGTTTGCTTGGAGGAAACGTCAAGCGCTTTAGTGTGTTCTTGACTCAGGGCGGTAGTTCCGGAAAACAAGTTTGCTATGAACCGTCAAAGCCACAGCCAAATCAACAAGATGTCTCAGAAGATCTGAGCGATCAACGATATGGAAGCTAGCGAAGAAGAATTGAGGTGTGCTGAAACCCGTTTCTCTTAACGGCCTTTAGACTATTCAGACAAACCACTGATCAAAACGGCGTGAACCACTGTATAAATCAATACTTTTGCTTTTAGAAAGCAAAGAATGAACATGTTTGCCATGGAAGGAGCAAAACGAACGGCCTATAATATAATGGCTTTCTGTTTGAACTCGGGAGTGATATAGTTACCCATCAGAATGCACAAATGTATCGACATAACACACAAACTCCACTGAGAGCAGATAAAACCCACTACTCTCAATGGACATCAACCAATTTGTAAATACTATACTGTATTTCTACGGCCTACAATACTACTATCTACCACTATAGGAGAGTAATTCCTACCTCCCCATTTCTCCCTCTCTAAGACTACTAAGCAGCACTACAATTTACTATAAAAATGCACAATGGTTTATAGAAACAAAGCACTGTCCAAAGAAACACATCACTATAACGGTGTCTCCCTGGAAACACAAGGGCATTGGTAAAGTACTGTGCGTTTCTATGGTATACTATAGTGCTATCTTGTTTAATGTGAGATAGAGGTGGAACATACAAGGCACAAGGACCTCGAACGGGTTTTAAACCGCGAGTGACTTCGCAGGGTGAGAAAATATATACAAATGCTTGGTGAAAGAGAGACTTGTACAAAAAGACAAGGGCCCCGAACTGAGTTCCAGCCGCGAATGACTTCGCAGCGCGATAAAGTCGATACAAATGTCTTATGAAACAGAGACTCAAATAGAGAAGACAAGGACCCCGAACTAACTCCTAGCCGCGAATGACGGCGCAGCGCGAGAAACTCATGAACAGATGTTTACGAAAAAGAGGCTCAGACAGACAAGACAAGCACCCCGAATTGGTATAAAACCGCGAGCGACTTCGCAGCGCGAGAACGTCGATACAAATACTTGGTGGAAGGAAAACTTGCATATAAAAAGGACAAGTACCTCGGACTGACATTAACACGCGAATCACTACACAACACGAATGGAAGAGCCCAAAACTTTCATACGAGATAGAGAGAAGAGAGCATTAACAATCATCATTTGAGCTATTATACAAGCATCAATTAGAGAAAAGCCAATAAAGCAGCATTCAGCCTTCAAGCCGTCTCCAAACCCCTTTCCCTGAATCTTGCATTTGCTCTGCCATCCCCAAACTCCAATCGCCTCTCTTCTCAAGCCCCAAAGTTCATGGTTTTCTCAATTTCTGGGTCCAACAACCATCTTCTGTATGACCCGAACTTTAGTGCAACTTCCATCTTCATGGTTGATCTCTTCGGTGAATAATTGACCATGATCTTCCAGATCTTCCAATCTTTGCTTTCGCCGTTTTCTTGCTTCTTCTCTGGCTTTTACGGCATCGATGCGTGAGGATTGGGTTTCTTCTGGCCAGAGCAGTCTGAATACTTTTTCGTTGGCTTTAATGTTCGCTAGGTCGAATGTGGTGTAGATTTCGTCATCTTCTTCGATGGTTGTGGCAGGAGTGGAGAAAGCAGTTTCTGCAGTTGAAGTAGATGCAGCAACAGAGGTTTGCTGTCTGACTGCAAATACAGTCTTGGAAAGTATACCTTTGTCCTCGAATAGTGGCAGCTCGCCCACGAATTCAGTGTGCAGTTGTCTCTGCACCCAGACTCTGACGTGGCCTTGAGGGACGTCGAGTTGAGCCCAAGCCATTTTGTGCTCGCCCATGCCTTGATGCAGGCTTCTTTGTCCCTCGGGATCAATCTTGACGGTTGAAGAAGTGCCATGAGGACGCAAGATTTCGTTTGTGACGGCGGCGTTGGCGGCGTTGAGGTAAGTGTAGTCGCCGCAGACGATGGCGGTGTCGTTCTCTGGTTCTTGTTCAGAGATGAGCCACTGTTTGCGGCAAACGGTGTAGACAAAGTAAGTAAGGTCTTCTTCTTGAATAGTCTCTGGCTGCTCTTTAGCTTCCTCTTCGTCTTTGCAGTTGTTGAGGTGTTTGTAGAGTGCTTGGATGGCAGCCGGTGGTAGGGATTTGCCTCCGGTGTGTGGATGACCGTCTTCTCTGAGATCGCTGAGATCGTTTGATTTTCGGAATTTTCTGCGCTTGGAGGACGTCTTCTTTCCCCCTTGGTCGTTTGCATCGTCATCGGCCCCATATTCGTCCTCACCGTCTTTTGAGAACGTAAAGCCACCGCCGGTAGCTTTGCCAACTTTTCCCAAAGTGGTGGCCTCAGTCTTTCTTGCAGCACCGGCTTGAGCAAGAGTGTGTCTGTGAACATCAGACTGAACAGCCTTCAAATCACTTTCAGCCTTGATACGCAGAGCTTTTTCGTCCCTTAAGCTCTCCTTTTGAGTCTGAGCCTGTGCCTTCAATATTTGGTACTTTTCCTCCACTTCGGCCTTGAGTTTGAGTTGCTTTTCGTGTTCAATACGCTCGCTGGTTTTGGCAGCTGATTCTTCTTCGAAAGTCTTGATGCGCTGTTGTAACTTTGCTTCTCTGGTCGTCCAGGCGGCTTCCTTTGTCGCCCAGACAAGTCTTTCTTGCTCTAGTTGATCAGCGAGTCGTTTCGCTTCTGGGAGTCTGACAGGAGGAGTTGGGATGACTGGAACTGGTGTAGTTTGCGCCACTGTCGAAGCTGGTGGAGCGAGTCTACTGGCGGTTGGTGCTGCAGGTCTCTGATGGTACTCATGTTCAAAAGGTACAACGCCTTGCATAGGCCGTGATTTTGCTGGTACCGCAAGTCTCTCTTGTTGCTTCAGAGCAAGTTTTGCATTGTAGAGTCTCTGTCTGGCCTTGAGAGTTTCAAGCTCATAAGGTGTCTGCGTAAGCATGAGAATCTCCACCACCTCAGCCCAGTTCTTCGGCTGCTCTTTTCTGTGCATGTATTCCCAGACTCGATTATCCAAGTCATTAGGCTTGAAATACATCAACTGCTCTCTGGGCATTCTGCTGACCGGTTCTTGAACGGAGCTGGATTGCATAGAAACCGACGGTACAGCTGGTGGAGAATCATGATGTTGCACAGAATCCTGAATCAAATCCAGAGGAGAAACAAAGTGCGGTCCTGCAGGCTGAGCAATGTTAGTGGTTTGGGTGTAGAGACTTGGGTCTGGCGGCGGGTAGTCAATGTCTTCTTGAAATTGACGAGGTTGCGGCTTGTCGGTACGATTCTTGCGAGGTTTGACTGTACTCAGTATGTCCTTGTGGTGTTTGAAGCCATCTGGTATGGAGGAGCGCTTAGGACGAGTAGCAGGCACAGGGGTTTGCTCCAATCCCGGGGCTGCGAGTGCTTGTTTACACGTTTCTGACTCGACGCAATTGCTGGNAGAATTGAGCGCGTTAGTGTGAGTGTTGTTCACATCGTGTTGTGTCCGGATCGTTTCGTCGCGATGGTGTGNCCCGGGTCGTCTCCCGGGTATCTTCTGCTCCCGGCTGCGACTGCCTGTGGTGTTGTCGTCGCTGGCTGTGCTTCTCATGTTCTTCGAAATTCGTGTGAGGGGTACNNTGTCTGGCTTGTGGTGAGACACATGTTGTCCGTGTTGTTCTGAAACAGTAGAACGACGCTGACGGCTTGGAGCCGGTTGAGATTGATGCCGTCCTCTGTCAGGCTGGCGGAGCGATGCGGGTGCAGGCTGTTGACGAGGTAAGCTGTTGTACGAGTGTCCCGGTTCAAGTCGAATAGGGTAGGGAGGTTGAAGTGATTGTTGATCGCGCTGATAGATATGAGATGTACCGTCGGAATGAGTGTTGCTTGCTTCTCTGTAGTTGTGCTGCTGTCCAGTTTTCGAAACGCCCGTACTCTCACTGCTGTAAACGAACAGAGGTGGAGTATCATACTTGTCTTCCTCTTGGACAGCGGCTTCCTCGGGACCACTGTTGTCGCTCGAATCACTTTCTTCCTGGAAAGGCCGGCGAGTAAGGATCGAGTTGCCCAAACCTGCCACGATGTTTTCGGGAACCTTCTGGCGATCTTGGGAGGTAGGCTGAGGGTTGTGCCTTGGGGGCTCGACTGGTGTGTTGCGTTGGGAACTCTCATCCATGGAGCCATAGATCGTGTAAGGATCGCCTCCGCTCATAAGGTTGTTGGGATTCGTTGTTCTTCGCTCGTAGTAGTCCTGCGGAGCTCGGGCATATTTCGAAGAGCCACTGATATGAGAAGAGAGACGCGATCTCTTGTACTCCCTTTCCTCCTCATCGGTGCGCAGAACACCTGATTGTATGTTGTTGCGCTTCTTGAGTCGTTCTTTAGGTGGCATATCTGGCGGCTGTCCAGAGATCGTGGACCTATGAGCAGGGTCCATAGTTGAAGAAGAGGATTGATGGTTCCGGAATGGCTTGACAAAGGAAGGAGACCAGAACCGGAATAACTTGATGAAGAAGGAAGGACAGGTATCTTGAAGAAAGAGTAAGGACAGGACCAAGATGACTTGATGAATATTAAAGAACGAGACCGGAACGACTTAGTGTATCCAACTTAACCCAAAGCTGAAAGAAGATGTTGAAGAGTAGAAGACGGGTCGTTAAGTATGGTGTACTGCGAGACGCACGTGCCACGTGTGAAATCACGCTCCGCGGTGAGTCGATCGAGAAGGGCTGTAGTGAGGCGGATTCGGAGTCGTCGACGAGGTGAAAGGAGGTTGAAGCCGGTCAAGATGAATCCTGGTGAGAGCTGTTCTGGAATCTGATTACGCTCCGCCCGGTTTCGCGCGAGGAAGTTGCTACTCACACAATGGGGAGATGGCATCCGATACTAAAGCTTTCAGCATCCCAGTGTCCATAGTCCTGTAGTGTATGACTATAAAAATGCATAATAGAAACCAGAAACAGAGCAGCGTCCACAGAGAGCTAGCACTTTCACAGGCTCTCTCTGGATACACCACTGGTTCTGAATACATTCGTGCATTTATAGTCTACCATTCAGTTGTAAAGTCTGGCGAGATGTAGTTTCTCAAGAGCATCTCATAGGGGCATGTCTTGTAGCATGCAGTTATAGAAATGCAGAGTGATGTTGTGAGAGAGGGCAATGTCCACAGAGAGCCAGCGTCTTCCCATGCTCTCTCTGGACACACTCCCAAGGCTGAATTTATTGTGCATTTCAATAGCTCGAAAACTGCCTTGCATCGGATTGGGGATCTGAAGAGTTGCTGTATCTCACAGCGCGAGGCCATGCAAAAAGTAGTTATCAAAATGCACAATAGTCTTTGACAGCAGAGAGCTGCCCACTGAGATCCATTATCGCCAGAGGCTCTCTGTGGACACATGCTTGGAACGAAGACTATCGTGCATTTCTATAGCTTTGAAATTCGTCCTATTTCGAGTTGAGAGCCGTGGTAGCCGGGGACGGTAGATGTCAGTACCTGTAAATCAGTTTCCTCGACCCTCTCTCTGGACCTACCTCAGAGTCAGAGTATATTGTGCATTTCTATAGCTTTGAATTCGCCCTGCATTGGATCCGGAGTAAAAGTCCTGAGATGTGCGCGTCAAGGCGGGAGAGAGGGGGTTCAGGAGTGAAAGAAATTGATTTTCGTATCCCATACCCAATGCATATAAACACGAACCTGATGACGTTTAGTCCCTGCTACTTGCCATCTCACCATATCTTCCTCTTTCTCTCGTCGTGTCGTAAGCCTGCAAAACTCTGGCTTGCGATTCATCGGTTTGCGAAAATGCGTAACCACGCTGTTTGCGCATGCGCTGTACTTGACGAACTTTGCGAATTGCCTTTTGGAATTGCTCCATCCNTATTTCGATGTCAGTGGGCCTCTGGAACGCGAACCAAAATGAAAATACGTACCTTGGTCGGTAGTCCTGGATGTTGTACTTCTGGATTTCCTGAACGTGATGGTAGGCTTGGGGGTAGTACATGCGCTTGGCATACTTCCAGGCATAATCTCTGAGAAGGCAAAGGATGGGAAGAACAATGATCGTCAACCAGAATGTAAGACTGGGGAACAGTCTTGGAACAACGCCAGCATACTCCATGCTGAATCCGAGCTTGGGTGCAACAGTCGCGTAGATGGGCAAGAAGATGAACCAGACTGCAAGACTGCCAGGTATCGCAATCACAGTGTACTTGGTCCACAGATTGGTGATGAGTGCTGCTTTACCAAGGGTAGTGATGAGACCTGCTGTGTAGAGAGCCGTTCCCCAGACCCAGTGTCCAGCAATCTTGCCATCGCTTTGTGGTGCATCCCACAACCAGATAAGTTCAGAGACAAAGTAAAGGATGAGAGAGTGGTAGAAGCCGTTTGCTACCCAGCTGAAGAAGGAATGCATTCTGAAGAACACACCCTTCTGACTGAGTTGGTAGAGTTGAGGGTATCGATCGAGCAAACGAGCTGAAACGTACTGGTCAAAAATACCAAGAACAAAGGGAGGCATCACTGTGAAGAGGACGTTATAGAAACTCATCGTCCAGGATTCGAAGATGACTTCTCCAGAGAAGCCATTTTGGAAAGAGTACCAGAATTGGGTCATGAAAAGTGCCGTGTTCTTGTAGTAGAAATACAAGATCATCTTGGAGATTCTTTGATATGACCAGGCTCCGTGGACGAGCAACAGCTTGCGAAGGTACCGGAATTGCGCAATCGAAACATCGGCCGAACGTGCTGCTTGAAGACCTTCAACACCTGAGATACCGATACCAATGTGTGCAGCTTGAATCATGGAGACATCATTGGCACCGTCACCGATGGCTAGGAGAATGGCTTTCTTGTGGCGCTTGACCAGCTTGACAACAAGTGCTTTTGAAGCGGCGAGACACGACTATAGATGGTTAGCAGGTGTTGTCCATGGTGAAAACAAAAATACATACCAGCAAATCACAGCTTTGCACATAACGGCCAAGTCCAAGAAGAGCTTCTCCATGTCTTNTTCAAGTGCAAAGGTGAGAGATTTTCCATCAATGACTAGTGCCAGAGTTTCGATTGTAATACCAGCCTGGAATTGACTTTGCACAGCACTCATCTTCTTTTGCAAGTTGTCCCTAGTAGCGGCTGCAGTCTCTTCGTTGATAATGAGAAGAGTCATGTCCTCGCTGATTAGCTTACAACTCATGCCAATGTTGATGGCAGTTTCTTGTCTGTCTCCAGTCAAGACCCAAATCTTGATGCCAGCCGTCTGTAAGGTGTGGATAGTGTCTGGGACGCCGTCTTGCAGCTTGTCTTCAATAGCTGTAGCGCCGAGTAGCGTGAAGTCGTGCTCAATAAGCTCGGCTGCCTTGTCCATTTCATCAGCACGATTACCGCCGACAGTGGTCGCAGCTTCGTTGAAGACTCGCTGCCATTGTCTGAACTCCTCTTCTGGGACCTCGCGCATAGCGAGACACAAGGTTCTCAGGCCTTCTGCAGCATACTCCTCAAGATGTTGTAGAGTCGCCTCGACGAATGGGTTATCCCCACCTAGACGTTCCAGAATGACAGTATCGGCACCTTTGCAGTAGCATCTGATCTTGCCGTCAGGACATCTAAAGATAGTCGACATGCGCTTTCTGGTTGAGTTAAACTCGCAGACAGCCAAAAGCTCATACTCGGATTGTTCTCCAGAGACCTCAATCATGACTGAGCGCGGTTTGCGTGCGACGAACTTGTATCCGAGCGTGACAGCTCCTTCTACCAACGCGCCTTCGTCGGGTGAAGCTGCTTGATACTTGATTTTGCCACCCTTCTCGGCGCTCGTCTCGGGAATGACTGTATGACAGGTGGACAACAAGGTCAAGAATTGGTTGATGATCTCAGCCGATGGATGATTTCTTCGGTTGTGCTCCAAGCGGGTGAAGTCGAATATTCCCATATCGCCGTTCTCTCCAGTTGCTCTTCTGTCCTCGGGAACTTCATCGGCATACTGTATTCCAGCGATTGAGCTTTGTCTAAACTCCATCATGTTACATGTGAGAGTACCAGTTTTGTCGGAAAAGATGTATTCGACCTGACCCAATTCTTCGACCAAAGAGGACGTCCTGCAGTTAGCGGGTGTATCCGTTTTGTCGTAGTAGATGTCGAGATCCGAGCTAATGAGAATGGCTTGCCAGTATTTGATGATCTCGATAGTAACGAAAAGCGAAATAGGTACCAAGTTTGAGTACAGCACCCAGTTAGTGAAGAAGTCACTGAAAAACTGCTTTCCGCCGTTGACAGGCGTATAAGCTAGGTACCACATCTTCTTGCCTGAGGTGGCACGCATCGTGAGATCTCCGATAGAACTGATGATACTCAGAGTGACAAGAATGCCACCGAGCATAAGGATTTGCACGTTCACCAAGCGCTCAACAGCGGTCTTCTTGATCGGAGTAGCTGTAGCGTTACGCATGAGCTTTGTCTCATGACCGGTGAAAACGACGATTCCATGCACCCAGGGCGTGTTTCTCAGAGTAGCGCCACGCAAGAGAAGTTGCTCGGGATTTAAAGGCAGCTCCTTCTCGCCGCCACCAGATTGCATCGTCATAGTCGCCTCGAATGTATAAAGACTGCTGTTGGGAGGCTCAGAGCGAATTCTACCACCGAGTCTGCTGATATCAGCAGGACTAACGAGGTTGGCAGTCTCTGGAATTGCCTGTTTGATCTTCAAGTTTGTCTCACCATCGAGGTTCGCAGTTTCGATGTAGCACAGCCCCTCAGGTTCCGAACTGGCTAGCAGGACAAGATCGGCCGGGAAGGGCTCTTCGGATTCTACACGAACGACATCTCCGACTGCTATGTTGATCCAGTTGCTGTCCTGAAAAGTCGAGCCTCGTAACACACGGGCTTTCGAGGTGTTGAGCTGTTTGTCCTGAGACTTTCTGCGCGAGTCCTCGACCATTTCCTTACCAGCTGAGACCAAGAGTACAATTCCTAACGGCACGATAGTGGTGTACCTACTTGTGGGAGACACACCGGGAATTTGTTGCAGGATTGCCGTGAACAAGAAGAACAAGTTGGCATATTTGGAGAACTGCTCAAACAAGAACTTTGGCAAAAAGGTTGCAAAGTTGTACTTGGAGGTCGAGACATGGTTGTCCACGTACTTGTTGGCAGCATTTGCGGGAGGATTGTTGAGATGAATTATGCGAGGGCCAGCCGCATTAGGATCCGGACCTGAACGACCAAGGCCAAACTTGAATTTGGCTCCCGGTGTGCGCTTTTGNNGAGTGGGAGGCGCAGACGGCAGAGCATCAACACCACCAGATGCGATGTGAGACGAACGAGCACCAGTTTCAGTCAAGGGCAGATCCATCTCTGAATAACCGCCAGCGTTGGCACCGAACATGTTCTTGGCGCGATCCACGATGCTCCCTCCGATACCCATTATGCTATTTCTGTTGCGGCCATGGCTGGTGAAACGTGATTCGTCCAAGCCTGGCATATTGTCCTCATCAACACCTCCTCCGGCTGCGTAGTAGTCCCTGTCATCCGGAATGTCGTCAAGATCTGAGTAAGGCTGATAATTGTTCAGATCCGAGGTTTGAGAGTATTGTCTTCCTATCGTATCGTGCATGGGAACGTGTAGGCCAGTGGTACTCGGAGCACCAGGACCTCCCGGCAGACCAGCTGTCGAAGAGGAGCCCACGAAGTCATCGTAACTGGTCGAGGCACGAGGGGCATCGGAGGAGTCTATGTTGTGGTGTAGGAGCAGGTGGTCGTCATCGGTTGGTGGAGGCTTGCCGGAATTGTAGATGGGCTGGTCGTCCAGGTCCAGTAGGAGGTCTGAATTGGCAGACGGAGACGCCTGACCGTGAGGTCTCCCGGCCATGGTTGTTGGAAAAAGTGTCGGCAATGCGCGCACGATTGCTGGCAGTCGCGTCGAGGAGAGAGTATTCGAGAGGTGGCTCGCGGGTCAATACGGGGTCAGCGAGGCAGATGCGACCATTCGGTAGACGGCGGCAAGGCTTCCTGAGCAGGGACGAGGCGGCCGGGCGTGACGAGCAGGAGGTCAACAGCGATGCGGGTGGTATTGCGAGGGCATGAATGCTAGAGAGACAGCGAGATGAAAATAGCAATGGGCTGTGTAGCTGTGGCCTGCCTCGTTCTGAAGCGTTGCGCGTAGCAGCACGCTTGCGCCCGGCTGCGACTTCCTCACCCACTCAGGAGGTGCCCGTCCATCCAATCGGCCACGAACCTCTCCGCCTGAACCCTGAACATCCACCTTCAGCGCTGCTTCCTTCATCCATGAACATCAGTTCAGTCTGATCTATGCAGGGTGCATGCTAGTCCCTAAGTGAGCATACATCTTCTATCTCTTCCACGTCTTCGAGATGCCACTCCGACACACCCCAAACCCCTCTCCAGCCACATCGGCCTTTCTCGTACTCCAAGGCTTGGTAGTCGTCTTGACCGCTGACTATCTGGTCGCTGCCGCTCAGTCCCGTCCGAGCAGTTTCTCTTCAGCTCTGCGAGGACTCAACATAATCAGAGCGCCACCTCCTTTTCGACAGCTTCACGAGCCAGACGACCATGACTTGCATAAAAGTCAATGAAGTGGGGAGTCGAGTTGAGCTGATACGAGCTCTTCGGGCCATTTGGTGGGAACCACGGCCAACACCACCTCAATGTGTCTCTTGAAACTTGGCCGAATCTCTCAACTCAATCGAGTATCTATCTTGAACTCTGGAAGCACTGGCAATATTGTATGCAGGTCAACATGTTTCTCGAGCAAATGTCATGCCCCACAGGCAGTTCGACAGGGTGGTAGGCACGACAACGTTGGACGAATCTCATTTGCGTCTTTACGCGTGCGCTTTTCATCTGAGAGACCAAACATCAGTCTCTCAGCCAAGGTCTGGTTTGTATCGTCTGGAGTTTAGATATAAGTAGTCGTAACTACTATTGCACGAGAAGACTATATTGAGACAAGAATTCGAGAACCTATTTACCAAACCATTCAACATCATCCGGCTTCATAAGACATACTTTGGCAACCCTTGTCTTGATATTTGGCTTTCCCACGTACCTAGACGAGACATCGACTACCATAGATCAAGAAAGGATCCTACTCAAATATCAGACAGTGTTGTTGGTAGATGTAATGCATGTAGACAGAGCAAGCGCATTGACCAGGTCCCCGGTGACGCTAACGAAGCCCATTACAAGTTTCCCCCAGACACGCGCAGTCGACGCGCTCCTGCCTTCACTTTGATGCGACCCTTTGACCAGAATTAACAAGGCAACAAGCACGGCGCATCATGGACGACTCTGACTCTTCCAGCCTCTCATCGGCACCACCGACCGACGACGAGAAGCCACTCGCTCCCATCTTCACAAAAATGGCAAAGGGCAAGAAGGCCGCTCCCAGAAAGAAGAAGGCTCCTGTTACTCCTCCCACTCCGCCCTCACCGCCGCGACCCAAGCGATCTCCTTCTCCACCCCACGAGGAGTCTCTAGCTGACAATCCTGATGTCGCCGTATGTTGACCCGACCTTACACGCGTACCGACACGACATGGCACACATGCTAACCGTAGAATTGACCAGTTCCTTGTCATGTTCCGATCTCGCTTCAGCCATGCATTCTCGTCGAAACTAGCCCATTTCGGTCCTCAAGACATCGAGAGAGGTGTCGCCGAATCTCCTCCGTCGCCGCAAATTGAAGAGTTGATGTGCGCCATGCTCGCACTGGTCCTGAACCGCAAGAAGCCCGTCGAGTTAGTCCCAGGCACATCGCGGCTCGACTCAACACAGCACTGACACTCAAGCAGACGCGGCCATCACGGTCGCGCAATGGAAGAAGCTTTGTCGACACAGAAACACCAATGGCCGCTGTCATGGAACCGTGTCAATCCTCTTGCCGGCAGCAGAACCTTNCCCGACATGTCGCCCGCCGAACGTTTGAACCTGCTCCGCACTCTCGCAATCTGGTCGCTCACTTCATCCGACATTGTCTCACAAACCATCAAGGACTCGTACAAGGTTTCACGCCGCGAAGATGACATCAATCAACCGTTGTCAGTCCAGCATTGGGGTTATGACGGCGACAAGAGAAAGTACTATTTGATCGAGGGGCAAGAGGATACCAGCTTCCGCGTGTACCGCGAATCCAATCGTCTTAGCCAACACCCTCAATGGTGGAGTGTTGCTGAAACCATTGACGAGGTCAATGCCCTGGCAGAGAAGCTCGAGACTAAAGACACCACTCAAGCTGCTCGCCGTCTGGCTGACAAGGTCAAGGCCGCTGTGCCACGATTTGAGGCATCTGAGGAGGTGAGTTTGCGCAAAATCACCTTCTACACATGCATGCTGACCCATTTGCAGAAACGCA